GTGCCCAGGTGGTATTTTTGAAGATTTCTTAGTTTAGGGATTAAAATGGATTTTAAACCCCTAAAAAGGATTAGACAAACCAATAAATCATGCTTATTGATTTTTTTTCACTTATAACTTGTACTTATAGTTAAATAAAAGATATAGATTCGAATACAAATAATTGGGAATAGAAATTTTGTACAGTTACTAAACGCATTTCTGTTCTTTTTCTATTTCAGGAATAGAAATTTTGCGCAGTTACCAAACACATTTTTATTCTAGAAATAGAAATTTTGTGCAGTTACCAAACGCATTATTTTGCTCAGAAACTCTTCCAGGAAATAGAAATAGAAAAAACTATTTCTGAAAAGAAATTGTTCCCAAAAATAGAAACGTTACCATACGCACCCTAATTGTCTGAAAAGTCCCAAATCTATTATATGGAGGTCAATTCAGTCCTAAACATTTCCAATGTACCAATTTAGTCCTAAAACTTTTGACGATTTGTCAATTGAGTCATTAACCTTTTGGAGATTTGTCAATTTAATCCTAAACCTATTCCTTGGATATTTGGACGGAAACACTATATTGGTAAATCGTCTAAACGTTTAAGACTAAATCGGTAAATTATTATAAAGGTTTATGACTAAATTGATACAATCGAAAAGTTTAGGACTAGATCGACAAATCGTTAAAAGGTTTAGAACTAAATTGGCACAATTGAGAGGTTTTCGGATTGAATTAGCCTCTATACACGGTTCCCTCCATAAACCCGCCTCGTACACGGGGGCATAAGATGGCAGCACTGAGGCCACGCCCCCGGTTAGCCAAAACCATGGATTTGATTCGGTCCGCAATGATCAAGAGGACCAGGCGAGCGCATCCATGTCCGAAGGGAACGCTCCACGGCTCGTTCCCACACATGGACAGACAGTACAGAGTCTACAGACTCCCACAACATGCACCTCAGGCAAAACCCAGATAAAAGCATGGGGGGGGCAGGCACGAGGGCTGGGCCCCATTGCGCACTAGAAATGATTCACTCGGTTCCGACACGCAGTAAAACGGTTGAAAGAGAGCGACACCTGCGACCGCAACTCTCTTTCTCTCTCTCGCGCGCGATTTGTCAAAACGACTAGAAATGATTTCACATTTCGTTTTTCCTCTCGCACCTTCCGAACGACTGACCTAACCGATATTTAACTACCGTGATAAGATACGATGCTTCAGCTTTCGCCATTGTCTTAGTTGACCTCGGACCGTCGTCGTCGTCATCGTCGCCACGTTAGACCTCTGACCGGAGTCTTCGCGTCCTGCCCCTGAATTCTCGCAAGGGCTTGTTGCGGACCATCCGGTGCGATCCGGTTCGCGGATGTAATAAGATGAACATTCAATCCTTGACGAAGACTTCGCGTGGGATGTTTTGGTGAGGTGAGGATTGGCTGATAAGGAAGGGAGGGAAAGCAAAAGGCCGCTTCTCTTTCAAGCCCCGATTTCCTCCGTGGAAAAGAGAGGGAAATGCCATTTGCCATGTATGCTTTTGTTGCTTTTTTCAAAAGCGGCTTCTTTTCCTTACCCGAAAGGAAATTTTGACAATGCCCCGGGAAAATCGACGCGCACTTTCCGACGGTTCTTTCGTGAAGTTGGGTTTATCTCGCCGGAACGAATAAATTATTTACGCCGAATATTTTTCTCTAGCATTTTCAATAACATTTTCGCGGTGCCGGCGAGAAGGGGGGAAAAATTCTCCATTCCTCCGTATTTTAAATTTCCTTTTCCGTGGGTCGTGAGCTCCATGAAAGTTCCGATGATGCGCCCCCCCACCTAATTTGTAATACGGCCACGTTCGTAAATAAGACTAAAAACCTTGTTTGAAGGGGAAAAATTTGACTTGCGAATTGGAAAGTGAGCCGTGTGTTCTTTCTTTAAGACACAACGGCAGTTGACGTAGAAGAGTGGCCGTCGATGACTTCACACATGTCTTGGTCCTCCCCAAAAAAAAAAGGCCGAGGAAAAAAAATTCATAGATTAAGGAAAGGTGAACTGCATGGAATCTGGGTATATTTTAAGTGCATATATGTTGATTGGGAACATTCCTGATCAACCCAAAAAGGGCCCCTTTATTTACCGCAAACCCACGCTGCCAAGCAAATGATGAGATTACCCAAAAAAAAGGTAGGCACTAGGTAGGATAAAAGAAAGAAAAACCACAGTCGACAAATCTGACCCGAGCTTTCGAGCGAGAAAGAAAAGTATCGCATTATATCGTTGTCATAAATTTAACACGATCTTTCAAACTTATAAAAGAAATATGCACGGTGTAAACCGTGTTACAAAAACGATATATCTCGTCTGTAACCGAAAGGTCCTAATCTGGAAAAAAAACGACTTTGAGCGTTTTTTTTATGAAGATAATCTTTTTGATGCTTATTTAGAGAAGACGGTATGATTCCAATGCCGACGAGACACCGTGAAATCGATAGCAAGACGAAGTGGGTTGTGTTTGGAGGGCTGAGAATGTGCCGTTATTAATCGCTTATCAACACGGCGAGAGCTGTGTAGGTCGATAACAGACAAGACAACGATAAGACTAAACGAACGTTAAATGACGTTGTTTTTGTAACAGTGGTGCAATATTGTGTGTTTTTTTTTTTATCGTGTTGATCAAATATTGTGTTTCCCGTATTAAATTTATTTTAGTGAATTTTTTTTTTTACTTTATTCTTAATTGGTCAGTTAAAAAAGAAAAGGTGGGTAGGCTCGCGGTAAGAAACGACTGTTCATTCACTAATCTCTCACGTGATGCCCTTTTTTGGAGAGAACCCCGCAGCTCTATTATCGACAAAATTGAAATCCGAAATGATCCTCCTTCAACTACTGCCCCCACGCGCCGTCGCACGGCGCTTGATCCGCACTCGCCGTCTTCTCCTAAATAAATATTCCGATTAAAACAAGGCCAAATCTAATTGACCCGGAAGAGGGCGAGTATCGGTGAGATTGTACTCTCGCGAGTGCTCTTCCTTGCTCATAACGTTGGTGAAGGATGAGCGATTCGCATCTATCTGGGACCCGACTAATGGAAGCATAGCTTTCATAATTTATTTAGCTATTAATTTAACGTTTCTTTTTTGTGTTTTAGATTTTAGGGAAAATGATACGAACTGTCTTTGAACTTGGGTTCAGTATGCAATGTAACCCATGAATTTTTAATTTGTTTAATGTAGGCCATGAACTCTAGCCTAATGTTCAATGTGATTTCCGAACTTTTAAGTTGTTCAATATAGTCTCTAGACTTTTGGTACATATTCAATGTAGTCCATAAAATATATGAAAATGTTGAATATAGTTTCAAGGACTAAATTGAACGTGTATCAAATGTTCAGGGACAACAATAAACAGATTAAATATTCATGGATTATATTGCACATCGGGCCAAAGTTCAGGGATTGTTTGCGTAATTTTCCTTAGATTTTACCACCATGATATCGTCCATCAACATCTTTGGATATAAAAAAAATAAAATCTTAAGCATCTACATGTGCAATAAACAATATTTTTCTCTATAATATCTTGATTCGTGTTTTCGATTGGCTTTATAAGATTTTTTGTGCGATGACCGTTCCATTTACCTTTTTGTTTCAACCTTATATTTGCATCAAGAAGACTTAATCCCGTACTAAATGAATCAATGTTTCTTTTATTTGGTCCAAAAACACCTCCATTAGGTCTTACCATTTAGTGAATTTGAATTATCAACTTATATGATCGCTTGAAATGCATATTCGTTTTATATCCTTACACCTTCGATAAACAATGCGTATGTATTTATGGCAATATCAACACGGGGGAAAATTAAGAGATCACTCCCAACACAAAATAAAGTGAAGTTCGGTCCATGTTGATTGCATCGTGTTCGAAATCAAGTCAACTTGCTTCGTACTGTGTTATTAATTAGTTCATATTCAAGTTAAGTTTGACTAATGTAACATTTTTAACTAACGAAACAAATTCTGACCCCCCAAAAAAATAAAAACTAACAAAACAATTTGATTTTCAATTAAAGACACACGAATAGCACGTTCAAGTTACCTCACTCAATTTGTTTCGAGCCATAAATGTACATTTGTAAATTGATCGTACACATCAAAACTTTGAACATCTATCTAGCCTAGACCTATCAAAATGGGTTAAAAACCCATATCTTAACCCGTATATCGCTAAATGGGTCATAGATGGATTAGTTATACTCACTAAATGGGTATAAACATAATATGAGTGTTTAATTGGATTATAAATGGGTCATATAAACTCAACTCATATTTCTTGCTTTTATTTTCATATCAGTTTGGGTATGAATTTCTCTAGATTGAATTAAATATGGAAGTGTTTTACCAATATGGGTCAGGTCGGATATGGTTATTAGATTTGCATTACATGAAAATAGGTTAAAATGAATCTATTTGCGTTGGATCATTTTCGATCCGACACATCCATTTAACAGGTTTAATCTAATCTTTACTTAATAAATTTTGACCCAAAAAAAAAAATAAAGACCTTTACTTATTAAATAAAAATACGAACTGAGTGGGAACTATCGCTAACTCGCGTTAGCTTAACCACCGAATTTGGTGGGCTGTCGGGGAAAAGAGGCAGCGGCAGAATTGGTGGGAATCGGGAATGTCCAGCCGCCGCCATTCCCAAATCCGTCCACGGCCCCGCGGAAATTACCGACCTTGCCCTTCCCGCAAATAGGAAATTTTATATTTTTTTTCACCGCGGGCGGCGGCGGTGAATCCGGGGGACGGCACGCGCCGCGGCCGCGCGCGTGGACGCGGCCGGCAGGCCCGCCCGCAGTTTCAAGATTCGATGTCAAGCGAACGACTTCCCTTCCGAGCAGAGATATAACATGCAATTGCATGTGTGTCTTGTCCAAACGACTCGCTCAGCTCGCTCTTCTTCTTCTTCCTTTTCGTTTCGTTTTTGTGTTTTTTTTAGAGAGAGAAGTGGTGGGGCAGAGAGCAACGGCTCGGAAGCAGCAGCAGCAGCTGCAGAAGAGGCGAACTTGCCTCTCTCTCTCTCTCTCTCTCTCTGTAGGAGACTCGCCGTACCTTTTTCTCTCTCCCCGAATGCTGCTCCGCTTCTCTCTCCTGGGTTTAAGCGGTACATCTCTTTCCTCCTCTTTCCCCTCTCTCTCGCTTTTCTCTTTAACCATTCTGGTTGTACTTTAAGGTTTTTCTTTTTTATAATCTCGATATGCCCGCCGGGCACTTTCTTGATGCTCTTCTTCCAAGACCCATCTCTCTCTCTCTCGCGCGCGCGCTCTCTTTCGTTCTCCATTTATCTGAACTCCAGCGAATCTTAACACTTAAGTCTCGCCCGCCGCCCCTTTTCCTTTTCCTTTGATCTTCGGGGTAAACCGCACCCGAGCGCCTTCCCCCTTTTTCCCTGGTAGCTGATTGCGTACGGTCGTGCTCCGAACTTTCTCTCTCTCTCTCTCTCTCTCTATCCGCATTTTCGACGTGATTCGGTGGCCTTTTTGGTTCTCTGTGAGTGCGCTGCGATTCTTGAATCGACCCGGTTGGTCATGTTGTGTGCGCCGGATGGTCTTTTTCAGCCCGTCTCGAGATTTTTGGAATGCCGTTTTCCGTTCGCTTCTTTGTCTGTTGCCTCGTGTCCGCGAGCTTCGAAGTGCTCGGCGAAGTTGATTTTTTGTGGTCGGGGATGGTAGATCGTTTGTCCTGACGACTCTCCGTGATTTTCTTCTGTGCTGGTTGTTGCAGATTGGAGAGTGAGGTGCGTGTTGCTGTGAGTAAAGAGAGGGGAAATAGAGGAATGAAGATGGTGTGGAGATCGAGGGGGAGGAGAAGATCTGCATCTGCTGTGGATGGGGCGGACTTGAAGATCTACGTGCAGTTCTTGCTGGGGTTCCTGTTGATTTTTGCGGCTCGCATTTCGCTTGGCGACACTAATCCTGGTGATGGTAAGGCTGGATTTTATACATCTCTCTCTTCTTTTCTTCTTCTTTTTTTTTTTTTGGGGGGGAGGGTGGTTGAAGCAACTCTTTTCTGGGTTGCTGAAGGAATGGAGGAACTGGGGGAGCAATTACTGTTTCGAAAGGGAGGAAAATCCAATTCGGGAAAATTGAAACTAGAGTTTCCCAGATGCCGAAACAAATATTGCCCCTGTATGAATTGCTCCAGTTCGATCAGTTAGATCAGGATAGGTCACTAATTGTTTATTTCAGTTTTTGGGTAGCTAGCTGATTATACAATTTGAACAGTTTGGACTCTTTAACTATGTCACTCCCAACTCTAAAATCTCTCCGAAGTTAAATGAGGATGGATTTCAAGTTTTTTTTTTTTGTTTTTTGGTTAATCATGATTGCAGATTGGGGGGTTATCTATGGCATATTAGATGGAAGATGCCAGTTTTTGTTAAATTGCTTTTCAATCGATTTTTTCGCTTCTCCATCACACTTCCTGTGTTTTTGTTCATTTCTTTTTGAGAAGTAAAGGTACTTACCAGAACTTAATCATCTGCATTGTTGCTTGTTGGTGTAGTTACCGCGATAAATAACTTGTATGTGGCTCTGGGATCCCCTGTTCTTCCTGGGTGGGTTGCTAGCGGAGGAGACCCGTGTGGAGGTTCATGGCAAGGAGTTATTTGCAATAACACCAATATAAAATCAATGTAAGTTTGCATTCTTTTCCTCTCGAGAATTTCCGCGGATGTTCACGTCACTCATTTTCCATTTTTATTTGACCGCGTGGCTTCACAGTACTATTAATGGAGCCAATTTGGGAGGCGAACTGGGGGATAGCTTGGGGACCTTTGCTTCAATCAGAACTATGTAAGTCTATTTCCTCTCTCCGTCTTAGCACGAGCATCTGTTTGGATGCAAAAGCGGCATTCGTGTCTCCGTGAATGACTCCAGTAATGTTTCCCATTTCTGCGCGATTGCTCTCGTCACTACATAATGAAGAGGCCTTCATTGAAGGAAACTTAGCTGAGTGATTCGCCTTATATGGAGTTTGGGAAGTGTCGATGCTAAAGTGGCATTATTGATAATAGGTTTGTTCTATTCCAATGTATGATGTACTAATTTTATCTCACTGAGATGCTACGTTATCATTTAGTAGGTGATTGTGCTATAAGATTGGCTGAAGATAGTCATTCTACCTAGATGACATACTGTGGCATTTGTGCTAAACTTCAGACCCGTTATGTTCCTCTCTAGGCAATCTCATGTAGTCTCGTTGACATATTTCCATTTTCTTATTGCAGAGATCTCAGCAACAACCGCATAGGCGGCAGCATTCCATCAAATTTGCCGGCTACCATGCAAAACCTGTATGTTATTTTGTGATTGACTGAGGAAAACAACTTTTGCTTTTTCTGTGTGTGCCTCATTTGTATGAAAGATGTAATAGTTGTCACTTTTGGCAGTTTTCTTTCAGGTAATCAGTTCACTGGAAGCATCCCAAGTTCTGTGTCTTCTCTGACTGAACTGTCGGCCATGTAATCACTGCTTTCTTAACTATGGCTTTTTCTTTCAGCTGAAACTCGATTACCTTTGCTGTTATCTCTTCTGAGCTTTATCTTTCTTTGTATTTCAGGTCTCTAAATAACAATCTTTTGAGTGGTGAAATTCCGGATGCTTTCCAATCCCTTACAGGATTAATCAATTTGTAGGTTTTTGTTATCTACTTCACGAAAGCCTTATATGAATTTTCTTGACATATGTCGTGATAGAAAGTGTTCCTGTGCAGCGACTTATTTAGTAATAATTTGAGTGGGCATCTTCCTCCTTCTATGGGAAATCTATCATCTTTGACCACCCTGTGAGTACTTACTGTACACGCGAGATGCATATGTGATCGTGAATTCCTTCTCTGTTATCTGATTTTACTCCTGAATTTGCAGACACATACAGAACAACCAGTTATCGGGAACCCTTGATGTTCTACAAGATCTTCCCCTAAGAGATCTGTACTTTTCTTAACTTTGCTTAAAATTACTTTGATATATTTGTTGGAATTTATAGTGCTTCATTCCAAGTTCTGCTTTTTCATAGCCCTCCACTTATTTGCATCTTTTTATGTATCGTGTTGTACAGGAATGTAGAGAATAACCTTTTCTCTGGACCTATACCTTATAAATTACTGAGTATCCCGACCTTTAGGTGAGAGCTACTTTTTAAATGCACTCTGCTACTTCATTAATGTATTTGCCGTCATGCTTAATCATTTTTGCCCACCTTTCCATCATTTTATATTATTCTGATATGATAGCAGAGGAAATGGTAATATCTGTTGAATTTATGCTACTATTGCACTCTGTGATCTTCATGGGAGATTTTTTATTGCATAAGTTTGGTAACTCTGTGATTGCTGAAATTGAATTTTAAGCGGCCATGATGGCATAATTCTTTGAACTCTTTTAAGTATGTCAAAATGTCTTGTTCTTCTTCCTTGGGGACATTTATATTTGACTTTGGTGTGTCAGGGGCACATTTTGCTGATCGCTTTGTAATCTGCAGGAAAGATGGAAATCCTTTCAATAATTCCAGTGACACTCCGTTACCTTCGCCTTCGACCCCAACGCCGCCATCATCAGGGACTCCTTTTTTCGGGGGCGGGCCGCCGTCTTCCACTAAAGCACCGCCAAAACCGGCGGATGGACCATCTGCAACAGAGCAATCAAAATCTGGTTCCTCAAAAAAGTCTTCCACCAAAAGAATCGTCTGGATAACAATAGCAGTAGTCTTATCATTTATGATTTTGGCTCTAGCAGTCGCACTTTCCATATCTGCATGTACTAGAAGAAGACACGAGGTTGACAGAATTCCCAAGAGGCACGACATCGGTGCATATAATGGCAAAAGAGAGAATCCTAGGGAAAATCCTTCTTTAGTCCTGCCACTGAGTCATGCAGATAAAGGCAAGTAAACTGGTCCAGTCTTTGGTGCTGTATAACTGACATTTTAACTGCGTCAATTTTTTGTCAAAGCTTGATCACTAAGATGGAGTTTCTTCCTGCAGTACCTAGAGAGACAGCTGTGAAGCTGTCGGAGGATCATCAACCAGAGAGCAGGAAAGTGTGGGCCGTTCCGAGGACACAAAACGAGCGAGAAAGAAATGCACAGAGAACTGGTCTGATGCCTGATGGGGTAGATCAGGAGATTGATGTGAGTGCACTTGATGTGTACTTGATACCTCCTCCCCCACCCCCTCTGCCTCCTCCGCCGCCTCCTCCGCCACCACCCGAAATTATTGTGAAGCCCGCTGTGCCTGAAGAAACAGAGGCCACAAAGCCTTCCACGAGAACTCGTATTCCTCTGGTTTCTGCCAAGTCCTTCAACATTGCATCCCTTCAGCAATTCACGAACAGCTTCTCTCAAGAAAATCTAATTGGAAGTGGCATGCTTGGTAGTGTGTATAGGGCAGAGCTTCCTGATGGCAAGGTAACAGTTCGTATGGCTAAATTTTTTTGGGTTCCAGTTCTTTTGATGCCGAGCTTCTGATATGTGATTCATTTATTTTTTTTTATGTTAAGCTGAATATTCAGTTTTTTAAATCCTGGACTTTTCACTCGTTCTGATAAGCTCATATATATGATTGATGGCGCGATGTGCGTGCTCGAGTATGGACCTTCTGAAGAATGCTTCCAGTTCAGTACATTTTCATTGAAATCGATTCGAGTTAAGAAAGGCAAAGAGAAACATAACTTTTGTTTCAGGCGTACGACTTCTGAATAGACTATACTATCATGTTCCTGATTTATGTTAGGGGTTTGGGTTGCTCTTACTATCCGGTTGTCTCATTGACTATTGCTTTATTGGTTGAGACTCTCTTATTTGTCGTCTAAATTCTTCATAATGTCATAGTATGATATGGGGAATCAGCTAAGCCTGGCACAATTCACCATAACATCCATAAGATGAAGTTTACAAATACATGGGATGCGGCATTTTCGAATTTGTTGTGTGAACTTTAGACAGATGCAAAAGGATTTTAAATTAATGTTCAATTCTGTTACCATACATGAAATGGACGTGATCTTGCTTGAGTGGCTTGAAAGTTGTTTCGTCTCGCAAGTGTATACTTACCTGTAGTTTTCTGGATGGTTGCACAGTTGCTGGCGGTCAAGAAATTAGACAAGAGGGCTTCCAGTCAGCAGAAGGATGTCGAGTTTCTGGAATTGGTGAACAATATTGACAAGATTCGACATGCAAACGTCGTGGAACTCATGGGTTACTGTGCTGAGCATGGCGAAAGGCTTCTGATATATGAGTATTGCAGTTGTGGGACATTGCAGGATGCGCTTCATTCAGACGATGATTTAAAGAAGAATTTGAGTTGGAATTTCCGCATTAGGATGGCGCTTGACACTGCCAGAGCCTTAGAGTAAGTCGATCCATATTCAGGCACAATTAGAGCGGGGTTTCTTTTAATCCTGTCTGATTATCATGTAGAAGCATTTGCTGTATAATGAGCTAATAGTGTAATTATTTTATGTGCACAGGTACTTGCACGAGGTCTGTGAGCCACCTATTGTGCATAGGAACTTCAAGTCCTCGAATATTCTCCTTGACGATGATCTTTCTGTGCACGTTTCTGAGTGTGGTTTAGCTGCATTGATTTCTTCAGGCTCAGTTAGCCAGGTACCCTATTTTCAACTTGACGGGATGTCAAAATGCAGCAATCCATCCCATTGTATGCTAAACCACTCATAAAAGTTCCCTCTAATACATCCTCTTATCAATTTTGCCATTTGGAACAACTGTAACGGGAATCTAAGCCATGTACGAATTCACTCATCCTTGTCATGCTCGTTTGTCATCCAAAATTTTCAGTATGAAGTGATGAACTAGCGGGTTGGTTTTGTGGTAGTACTACTGTTGCTTGAAATTTAAATTAGTTTGTTTCTTTTTCAGTTGTCAGGGCAACTTCTATCTACTTATGGATATGGAGCTCCCGAGTTCGAGTCCGGAATTTATACAATCCGAAGTGACGTCTACAGCTTTGGGGTAGTCATGTTAGAACTTCTGACTGGCCGAAAATCCTATGATAGGTAAGACCTTAACTTACAGTTCGGTTTGATAATTGGGTTACAAAATTTGTTTCCAGGTGTGGCTTTATCCGAATTTTTTTTTTCCCTGATAAATCATTTTCAGGTCACGGAATCGAGGAGAGCAATTTCTGGTTAGATGGGCAATCCCTCAACTCCATGACATCGATGCATTGTCCAGAATGGTCGATCCTTCTGTTAAGGGGCAGTATTCCGCCAAATCCTTGTCGCGGTTTGCTGATATCATATCTCGCTGCGTTCAGGTGAGAGCTCTCGGCGCTTCGAAGTGTTTGTATTATGCTTTCAGATCTCTCTCGCTCTCTCTCATTTGTTCTTGTTTTCACAGTCGGAGCCAGAATTCAGGCCATCGATGTCGGAAGTAGTCCAAGACCTCTCAGACATGATTAGGAGGGACCCTTCTCCATGAGATCATAGCTCAAAGACCATCATCAACAAACACTCAAGGAATGGTGACCCTCTACTTGTTAATGCCTGATGAATCGTGAAATTGATCTGCCATGATCCCATGAGGAATTCTTTTGTAAGCAAGCTGAGAAGAAGAAATGGCCCTCTTACTAACATAGGACATGTTCTGATTCCGTATCCTTAAAATGATTCGAGCGGGCGATCCGACAGCATTATGCCCCTCCGGAGGAGGTAACGGAGCTCAAGATTCTGGTCCGATTCGTTTGTGATCGTTGCTGTTGTGTGCGTGCTAAGCATCAAGACGATGCAGGAACGGAGAATGTTCAAAACCCCCAATCGTTTCGAAATCCTTGTTTTGTTTTTGGCTGATCTTGATAAGCTGAGGTTCTCTGAACTCGGTGTCCGTTGTGTAGGCTTGTATCGGATATGTCGTTGTGCTGCTCAATCTTTTCCGGCTCAATTCAGAGTCAGTTTGCCTTTGTCAAGTATGCACCATGTAGAACTGCTCTCGCCTATGTAATTCTCAAAAAACAAAAAAAAATTTGTCTCTCTTCTTTTGGTAATTGCAAACTGTAGAAACCAAAGATTAGCTAAAATTTCATTTGTTTCACAGAAAATGAATGATTCGAAAAATATTTTTTTAAAAATTATCATTTGTATGAATGAATAAAAAATATTTTCATCATACATAAGTTATTGATTAGCTATAAAAGTCTTTTTAATTAAGTAAGTGATTATTTTGATTATTTATTTTTTCGCAAAATAAACGAATTTAATTAGCTATTTATTTAATCTAAAGTAGTGTCTGATTTTCTGAGTTCTAGTTCCGTCAGACAATGACTATCGTTTTCAAAGAAAAATGGGCCAATCACCGACCGTGCTTTCGAATCGGCCAAGGTACGAGGGGGCAGAATCCAGCGGTTCCCACGTGCGGGCCCCTTCCCAACACGAACCCCCGGGAGTTGTCGGGAGGGGCCCGCGCGCGTACTGGTTTGGCACCGCTGTTTGTTGTTCACCGCTTGAAAATCTGGACACCTCGGAAAAAGGGGAAAAAAACAAGGGTTAATATCACGAAAAACTCTAAACTAGTACACTTGTGACATATTTATTCAAAATTATTTTTTTGATCATAAAAAATTTCAAGCTGGTATATCTGTGACAATTTTACCCGAACATACCACAAAAAACCTCAAACCGGTACACCTGTGACAATTTTACCCCGAACTTACCACAAAAAACCCTAAACTGGTACACACGTAACAATTTTATCCCGAACTAATTTTTTAATAATATTTTTTTTTTGAATTTTTGAATTTTTCTTTTTTTTTTCTTCATCTTCAACCTCTGGGCGGTCGCCGGACCGGCGACCGGCCAGAGGCGGATGTCGGGAAGGTTGGCCCCGCCGACCGCTGGCGAGGCTCGACCTTGTCGGCGTGGGCGAGGGCTGCCCTCGCCGGCCGCTAGCGAGGCTCGACCTTGCCAGCGTGGGTGAGGGCTGCCCTCGCCCAACTCAGGCGAGGGTTGCCCTCGCCCACCCAGGCGAGGCCTGTTCTCGTCCGACGCCGGCGAGGGCAGCCCTCGCCCGACGCCGGCGAGGGCGGCCCTCGCCAGCGGCCAACGGGGCTGACATCGTCGGCTTCCGCCTCTAGCCGGTCGTCGATCCGGCTACCGGCCAGAGGTTGAAGATGAAGAAAAAAAAGAAAAAATTAATAAAAATTCAAAAAAATAAAAAATAATATTAAAAATTTAATTAAGGGTAAAATTGTCACATATGTACCAGTTTGGGATTTTCTGTGGTAAGTTCAGGGTAAAATTGTCACAAGTGTACCAGTTTGGGGTTTTCTGTGGTAAGTTCAGGGTAAAATTGTCACAAGTGTACCAGTTTGGGGTTTTCTGTGGTAAGTTCAGGGTAAAATTGTCACAAGTGTACCAGTTTAAGGTTTTTGGTGGTCAAAAAAATAGTTCGGGGTAAAATTGTCATAGGTGTACCAGTTTGAGGTTTTTTATGGTCAAAAAAATAGTTTGGGGTAAATGTGTCACAAGTGTACTAGTTTAGGATTTTTTGTGGTATTAACCCAAAAAAAAAAGGAAATAAAAGGAAACTAGTGACCGCCCCATTTCGCAAAATTAATTTCGGAAAAGTCGTCACTGATTCTTTTTATAAAAAAAAATCCATTCGTTTATCATATTTAATTGTCAAATTAGAGTTTTATCGAGAAATAAAAAGAAAACAGAGAATGCCGAGTGCAGCCATAAAATTTAAAAGCAAAACAAATATGTATAAATTTAAAAACAAAATAACTATATATATATTTAAAAGTAAAATAAAAATTTAAAAGCAAAATAAATATATATATATATATACACGTGTGTGTCTGTCCTTTTTATGGACTCCAGCGATGCTATTGAAAGACAAAAAAGAAAAATATTTTCACTCCAAATGTAATTGACGTGACGCCAACATTTCCACGCTTTTCACTCCAACCCACTCGCACCCACCGGAGCGTGCTGGCCACGCGCCTCCATGTCCCCTCCATTTCTCTCCCTCTTTTTCCAATCTTTGTATAATCCCTCCTCTTCCGTCATATAAATATTTGAATAAACAGGGTAGACCGGGCATAAAACTTCATTCGGTCATTTTTAAGAGCCTCACATTCGATGCGAAATTTTTTAAAGTCATAAAAAAAAGAGATAATGACATAAACAGTCCATGAATCTTAACCCAATGTGTAATTTGATTATTGAATTTTTAATTTGTTCAGTGTAGTTCCTGAACTTTACCTTAATGTCCAATGTGATCCCCCTGAACTTTTAATTTATTCAATGCGATTTTTGGACTTTTGGTACATATTCAATTTAGTTCTTGAACTATATGTAAAAGTTTGATGTAGTCCATGAACTTAAATTAATTGAAGTACTACATTGAATATTTTCATATAGTTCGGGACTGAATTGAACATGTACTAACAGTTCATGAACGACATTGAACAAATTAAAAATTTAGGGATCACATTGAACATTAGAATAAAGTTCATGGACTACATGAACAAATTAAAAGTTCATGGACCAAATTGTACATTGAATCAAAATTCAGAGACTGTTTATGTCTTTTTCCCTACAAAATTATCTCTCTCGGCACCCGCTCACTATTTATTGATTCGAGCTCGGTGAGCCTCGCATAAAAAAACCCACCAAAATGCTACAGCAAGTTCGTAAGCCATTGTCATCTTTGACCTGGGCTTTACCAAATTGGCCGTGCCGGGTCAGCCCGGCAAGAGCAGAGGGGCTGAGTCGAGCCGGCCGTCAAACGGCGCCGCCACCGCCGCTACGGTATTTCCCAACATCCGTCTTTTTTTTCTTCTTCTCGTCAAAACTTTCTACGTTTGTTTTTAAAATGGGAAGCAGGTCTGCACTTTCTTCTCTTTCCTGCGTACGCGCGTGCCCGTCTTGTCCCCTTTCGCGCGTGACTTTCGATTTCAAACGTGTGATTAGCATTAATCTTAGTTAATAAAACACAATAATTCCCATGCTTTATGCTGTTTTTTGCCCGCAATTCACGTAAACATCGATTAAACCCATCGGTACGGTGCATCCTCCCCCGCTTTCCTCCTCCACCTCCTTCTTCATCTTCTTCATCAAGCTCTCATCTTTCCCGAATTTCTCCCTCTGTTAGAGCAAGGCAGGGAATACCCATCTGTAGAAAGCCCTGAATCTCTTGAGAACCAAAAAGGGTCGTCTTTATGCTCGTGACATCTCCCCGTTTTCACCGTTCTTTGGGTTTCTTAATCTCAATCTCTGTGTAGTAAGTATACCCTTTTGTTTACCTTTCCTTCAAGTTCCAGAAAGTCTCTTCCTTTACGATTCTCTCCTTTTCTAATCCTCCGATTCTGTATTGGGAGCTCGTATCTCTCAGCCAGTGTCTTGGGTTCGAAGCATTTCAAACGTGCACTCCAAGTGTTCGTTTTCCCTCGCTTTCTCCGTCAAGAAGATTTTGTTTCTATTATTAGCCCCCATAACAGTTACATTCAACTGAGCCCGCGTTCTATTAAATGCCTAGCTTGTCGTATTGACTGTTATGGGATCATTATTTTTTCTTTTAGCAAAATGAGATCATTACTTGAAACACCCATTTCTCTGATTGCAAAGGGCCGTTTTTATGTTGAAAACTGTCGAGCATTCAGCTTAAATGCTGTTCATAAGCCCTAAGAAGCGACTTTGGTTACACTTTCGAACATCCTTGCGACTACCCTGAGCTTTTCTTTTAGCCAGGAATCTTGGGATACTCTCACAGCCACCTTTTTGAAGAGCATGAGGAAAAATGCTAATTCTAACCTGGTAAGGATTTTCAGTGATCGGAAATGGATCGTGCCGTTTTTCGCAAGTTTACTCATGTCGGTCACGCTATTGTTTTCTGCTGTTTTCGGGCTGTTTGGATCTCCTTATGGTGGAGATCAATCCGCATTTGAGGAGAAGTTGGACGATCGAAATGGGCTCTTTGTAGAATCAGAAATAGATAAATCGGCCAATACCAATGGCCATTTAGGTGGGGATGCACCCAGATTTGCGTATCTTATTTCGGGTACAAAAGGCGACAGTCAGAGGATGATGAGAACCCTACAAGCTGTTTATCATCCTAGAAACCAGTATATTCTGCATCTGGACCTTGAGGCGCCTCCTCGCGAACGGATGGATTTGACCCTGTATGTAAAGAATGATCCGACATTCCGTGAAGTAGAGAATGTTAGAGTAATGGCTCAGTCGAATTTGGTTACTTATAAGGGACCTACAATGATTGCAAGTACACTTCAGGCCATTGCAATTATGTTGAGGGAGAATTTGCGATGGGACTGGTTTATAAATCTCAGCGCTGCGGATTATCCTCTTATGACGCAGGATGGTCAGTATGAGATTCTTATTTTCGAGTTTTACTTGCTCTTGTTAGCTTGGTTTTCTCGATCAAGTAATGTTGCCTTCTTCGGTAGAGCTTTTGTTATGAGCTAGTTTTGGAATTTACTCCGACAACCTAGCGTTTTAATTCGCATGGACTCTGAGGACGTCTCCACTTTGTTGAACTAGTGAACGGCCTGTGTACTTAATGTGTCTGAATTTGTAAGTTGCATTTGAAAATGATTTAGAAGTGACGGCTTTTCTTTTCCTTTTTCAAGGCACATAGTTTAGGAGGATTTGGATTTGTTGCGGGCCTTTCTGAATTCTTCAGATGCCCTGGAGTATGTTGCTGATGTTGTCATCTGACATTTTTAAAATTCACTTTGGCAATGAATTGGAAAACATGTACATGTCTGTCTGTGGTGCTTACTGGGTTGTTTGGATTTGAATACTGCTCTGGTTTATGCAGCTGATGCACCCATCAACTTCCGACATTTTAAATGTTTGATTTGTTTCCTGATTGTTGTGTATGTTTTGGAAGCACAAGCTGAACTTCGTTCTTCCCACCAGTTTGGTTTACTTTGCTTGGTTATAACTTTCAGATGTCCATGTTCTTTCCAAAAATGGTATCAGCATCAGTTAGGGAACTTTTAGCATCTTGCTCCATGTGATGGACCTGCTCATGTCTCCACCATGGCTTCTGATCTACGAAGAGGAAAGTTTTGTTTGCGAGTCCGGCTCATTCGGAGAAGACATTTCCTTTTCTAGACCAAGAAATAATTCTCTCCATTTTCTTTTCCTTCCAGTGGACATTTGCTTTTCTTGTGTTTCATACGGTCAGAAGCCAATTTTCCTTTGAATCTGCTCTGCCTCTCATGTTACGCATCAACTAACTAGTTGCAGCATAAGTTGTTTTTTGTTAGAGCTTTCCTTTTGAAGTCAAGTTCTCTCATTGGTTGGTCTTTGCAAATAAAGTTTTGTTTTCCTTCTATTTGTGCAGATCTGCTGTTTGTGTTTAGCAATTTGTCCAGAAGCCTGAATTTTATTGAACATGCTCAGATTGCTGGGTGGAAATTGTACGTAATACAAAATCTTGCGACTATTCTGATGAAAACCCTTTGAGTTCATGTTTTCATCTTCTATGTCAACTATGGTTCAACAATCTGTGGCTATACTTTCAGGGACCAAAGGGCGAAACCAATCATCATCGATCCAGGGCTGTACTTGTCAAAAAAGTCTGACATATCTTTGACCACTCAACGTCGATCACTGCCAACATCCTTTAAGTTGTTTACTGGTGAGTACATGGGTTAGCTTACTTCAGAGTCCATCCCATCATATACATCGTGCTTGAACCTTATTATCAGTGATTGCTGTACACCTAAGATGTAGGAGTCGTGCAAAAGGATGTTCAAAATAGTTTGTCCTGGGACGAGCTTCATTAACTTGTTGACAAGCATGGGAATGGTGTGTTTTCTGCTGTAAAGGCGAAACAGATGAGGAAGGGTGTATAAGGAGATGATGTCTGAGGACAATCGTCCTACAATGTCCAATTTTGCTCAGCCTTGCACTTTTGACAGGACCGATGTAATGAATGATGGTTGACTTTGAGAAATGTGCTAGTAGATCATGATAACAAGGATTTGACAATTTTCATCATCAAGCAGAAATCGCATCTCCAGAACCATTAACATTGGTCCAAGTTCCAAATCCCCTGATTTTTACGTGATCCCTGTTTTGACCTATTCTGTCCGCTCTTCACTAAACAGGATCGGCGTGGGTGATGCTAACCCGTGATTTTCTCGAGTACTGCATTTGGGGATGGGATAACCTTCCTAGAACCATTCTCATGTACTACACAAACTTTATATCTTCTCCAGAAGCTTATTTTCACACCGTCGTTTGTAATGCCAAAGAGTACCGCAAGACTGCCATAAGCCATGACCTTCACTACATTGCTTGGGCCGATCCTCCGGGGCAGCATCCTCTTGACCTCTCCCTCAGGCATTTCGCTAAAATGGTTAAAAGCAAGGCCCCATTTGCGAGAAAGTTCCGCAAAGGTGATCCGGTCTTGGGTTTTATTGACAGCGAGCTTTTAGGTAGGACAAGCCGGTTCACACCGGGAGGGTGGTGCATTGGGAACTCAGATGGTGAGGCCGACCCTTGCTCCTTGCGGGGTGACGATTCGGTATTTAAGCCGGGACCTGGAGCTGTGAGATTGCTGGAGTTGCTTCGGGAGCTTTTGTCTGAAGGATTCCGGAGCAAGCAGTGCTCTTAAATGGTGAGTAGGATCTTAAGCAACCTCAAGTCTAAATTTTTGCATTTGTAGATCTCACAGTTGATGTAATCATTACAATTTAATTCGTCAGAATGAAACTGACTGTAGCTTTTTGATTGTGGTATGCTCTTATGATTTTCAATTGCTCTTAGCTAACTGCTTTCTCTTTTTATCAACACATCGGTTATGAAGATATGCTCTTCTGGTATAGTCTTTAGTTGCTTCAAAAGATACTCGTGGTCAAAAGTGATTACTGTCAACAAAGTCATAATTTAAATTCACAGTTCCACCATTGTGAGCAATAACATGCAGATATTGTTGATGTCACTGGAAGCCCATCTTAGCCTAGTCTTCCCTGGAAGACACTAATTTCACATACTTTTCTATTATCATTTCTGGTGAGAAGTCGGTAAAATATCCTCTCTCAACATCCAATCCTTCCTGGGCTGCTAGCATTTCGACCCGGTTCTGGACCCGGTCTGCTCCAATCTGGTTGGGCTCCAGTAGCATGCAAGCGATCTCGGTTGAGTCTTCGCCGTGAACCAAGCCCAGCGTTTGCACCGTCGGTAACCCTCCTCCCCGAGCACTCACCATACGGGCTATTCTCCGGGTGGCCGACACATCTGTCGACAGGATGGGGACATTGTACAGGGCAACCCATGACCGGGCTCCGATCATGGTGATGCCTCTCGTTCGAGATACGTGTGTCGGGCCCTCATCGGGCCTTTCAGGGAGGACTTCGGGCATCGTCCATCCAGCCCACTGGTTGCCCATGAAATTGGGCCGGTAGTAGCCGAGCTCACGCCTGATGGTGTCTAGGGCCTTTCCGGTTGGGTGCGCAGCAGCATACAGGTACACCGGTACTGAAAGTGTGAAAGAGAGTAAGTAGTTAAGGAAGGGACAGTGACCTAGAGATTGAAAAAATTAGTAGTCTTTCCATGCTCAGAAGAAATGAGCCATATGATCTATAATATAATTCTACTGAAATAAGTGGAAAAATTATATGCAGATTCATTTTAGGGATGAGATGGAAGAGACAAGTTTAAGTTTGTGCCACCTAAATAATTTTACTGTGACAAATAGGTGAATCCAAACATGGAATTGCAATGTTAGGGATGCTATTTGTTCATGCTTTATCTTCACACCATTACTACCTCTTTGTGCCTTTTATATGGATGAGAATTTATTAGGTATGTTGATAGTAAAGCCTTTCCAATTTTGAACATTCGATGAGAATATGCAGACAGCTCAACTAATGTATCAAGCATGGTATAGTCCACTGTTGATAGACTAAATAGAAGTCAAATATGTATAAATGCAAGAGGAACGACCAAACCTTGGAGTTTGAGGCCAATGTCAGCAGCCACAGCTTTGGCGAGCCAAGCCGCTTCATCAAGAGAAGCTCGGGCGAGCGGATGGAAGACGATGTCGTCCACCACCCCGAGCCGAGGGTGGGCTCCCGAGTGCAGTTCCAAGTTTATTGCCTCGAATGCGGCTTCGGCCATGGCAATGACGGTTTGTTGCAAGGGGCTGTACACGGCCTGGCCTGTGCAGTCATGGACAACGTAGGACACGAGAGTGTACCTGATGCGGTTGTAAGCCCGATCCTCAAACTTATTCACGACGATGGTCTCCGGGTCGAGGCGGGCCGCCCGTTCGATGGAGTCAAGTACGGCGCGGTTTCTTGATTCAGATATGTAGAGCTTGCAGCACAGGAGCATGCTAGTGCTGCTGACCCTCTTGTTCTCCTTGAACAAAGGCAAGCAGATAACAGAATGAAAGCTGTTTCTTTGTTTCTTCAAGCAAACGAAGTGAACGCAGATCACGTAGCTAATTCGTATGATTTAAAAGTACACGTCTCACATCTAATGCACTGCATGTGAAAAAAATTGTCAAAATTACGTCCATTGACAATGAAAATGTATGACATCTCATCTTAAGGACAGTTCTTAGCAGTCCTGGCTTTCGACCTCCTTCGTCCTAAATGTGAAGAAAGTTTCCCAGCAATGCCACTTGTGGATGAGAATCTTAATGAAGTTGAAGGTAGGGAGAGATAATCTCTGGAAAATGAATGCAGAAAGACATGAAATTTAAGTCAACTTTCGGAGTTATTTGTCCTATGACTTCGACTCCTCAAATGTAAAATACATTGGGCAGGTATTGTACATGTTTGAGATCCTTTCGATATATGTGGGAGTAATCTCACATGATTACTTTCCAAGCCCAGATAGAAGGTACGATCCACCCGGTAAAAAAATTGGGATTTTCTTCGATTTTTCAAAGAAACAAAGCTCGAACGGTGGATAAGATTTTAACCCTTAAATCATGATATCTCCACGAGCGACACGTCAGGGAGGCAGCCATCAAACAGCTGTGGGGCTGTCCCCTGTCTGCTGCTATTATTTTATTTTTTGACACGTGAACTCTTTTGTCTGTCTCCATCTTCTCCCTCTGCTCTCTTGACGTTCGCAATCTCGGGAGATTAGTCTCCGCAGGAAGTGTTTCAGTATTTGCTTTGCTATAATCCTTGTCTGCGTTAGTTTCTATTTGCTCGTTGAATCCGATCTTTTGCATGGTACATAGGATTTTGTTATCGGGGAAGAAGAAGATCATCTGAAGAAGAGAGCTTCATGCTCTGTGATCGGCTCGCTCGAAGCGACTGAGTTTCACTAAAAAGAAGAAGAGGAGAATTGACCCTTTTGAATGTACTTCTATGGCAGAAAGTAGAAACAGCAAGCAGCAGAAGATTTCTCCGTGGAACCAGAACCCTCCCATTTCAAGAGCAAAACTTGCCTCTAAACGCACACAAACAAACAGAGAGAGAGAGAGAGAGAGAGAGAGAGAGAGAGAGAGAGAGAGAGAGTACCTTGCAGCCATCGTTGAAAGCGGCGAGCTCACCCTCTGCTCTGCGTCGCATTGCTCACTTCCAAAGCGGTGGATGATCCAAGTATGCACACGAGAGAGAGAGAGAGAGAGAGCTCAAGGGAAATGCGTCAGAGCACTAAAACAAGTCGTCTGTTTTCTTCTTTGGGCTTTTTATATGGTTCTGCAACTGTCGCTGTATTTAGTTCCAAAGTCATCACGAAGACAATCGATCAAAGTGTAAAACCGTAAAACTGTAGAAAGAGGAAAGCGCGAGAGAACCCATACCCCCATCGCGTCACTGTAAAACTCGCAAGACTCGCGTGCCGACAACGGGTCTTTTCTGCCATTCAAACCTCAAGCTTTACACGTCCCTGCCTACCCTTCTCAGAACCGATCTTTGCTCTGTTTCCTAGGACCGACAAAAACAGAGGGTAGGCTCATGCTCAAAACACACAACGCCTCGAACGAACGAGCGCGCCTCGAACGAACGAGCGCGCGCGCGATTTCATCATACGGGTCGGATTGAGCGAGACTGGCGCAAGCACGTCCAGAGCAAAACGTTAACTTGCCGACGCGATCACGAGCAGTTGGATGAGTTGGGTGGTGCTTAGCTAAAGACGGGGAGAACACGACGAACAGAGATGAGGCGAAACAAAGGGAAAGGGAACAAAAACGTCAGAAAAACAGGGGACGAAAGAGATGGGATGGAGGGGAGGGAGGGCGGGCCTCTGGGACAGTTCACGCGAAAGCGACTAACAGAGAAAGCTCACCCAAACAAGATGAAGCATTAAAGTAATCTCTTCCCACGAGCCTCAAACCGATTTTGGCATCCCCAACTGAACTGATGCATCATCCCTTGTCCCAAAAGCCTTTTTGACATCTGTTAACAACAATGTCCGATTTTTAGATTCAGGGGTAAGTGCATTGGAAGTGCTAAAATTTATCACGGAAGTGTAATTTAATCTCGAATCTTTCAAAAAGTTCAATTAAGTTCTAAAACTTGTTAAGAAAATGCAATCAAAGTGCAATCGAAGTCCTCAAACTCGTCAAACTAGTCCAGTTGAGTCCTTTCGTTGATTGAATTTTTTTGAAAGTTTTAGAACTCGATTGCACTTTCGTGACAAGTTGTAGGACTCAATTGCACTTTTTAAAAGTTTCATGACTCAATTACACTTTCGTGATGAGTTTTAAGACTTTCAACGTACTTATCCCTTAAATTTAAGTAAAAAACGTGGAGGAAGACCTTCGTACATATCAAAAGCCTACAAAATCGGAGACGGACGATGCGGACTTACTTTAACATCCCTTTCGCGTGCAAGCCGGATAAAAAAAGGACACATCGAAATTCGACAGACAGGACGGCGGGATGCCGCACGCAAGCAATAAGCTGGAATGGAAGCCGGCTCTGATTGAGTTTACGACGGAGGAGATCACATGTACATAAGGAGCTTGTAAAGCCCGTAAACAAAGGAGGAGATCAATAATATCGATTCTCTTTGTTTCCAATGGTACAAAAACCATTAGCAAGATCGCACCCTTATTAATTGACTTAATATTTTTTATTTTTATAGAAATTTATTTTATAACTAAGATATATTTCGGATAAGCATGACCCATTAAATCAAATCTCGATGGATCTACACGCAAGAGATGACTTAAAATAACTGCATTGTTACGTTATGCATGCACATCACGATTTGTTTTATTATCCTGAAGTCAAACGTGAGCTCTTTGATTATTCCTTAAAATTTGTGGAAAAAGAAGACTAATAAATCACTAATTAGATTTTAAAAAAACGAGCACAACAATTAATCGCGTTTCGAAATGCCGGATTTTCCGTTCACCTTCAACTGTTTCGGTCCAAAATCAAGATCGAGTGATTGCACCGGATGTTTCCCACGAGTTAGAACGTCGCTGGACTTCTAAATCATGTCGGTTGTCTGGCGACATGGTGCTGGAATTATCATTCGCGATCAAAGTCGAATCTTTTCAGCGTGAATGCAATGAAAATGCAGGAATCTCAAGTCATGCTGGTTATTGAACTGATATAGCAGAATCTTTTCCAGTATCGGATTCGATCGTCCACATTGTCACGAGACACAAGCCGCGTCGCGTTTGCTCGCATTTTCAGCCTTAGCTAACACATTTCTTAGTTTTACCTACTAAATGAATCAGTAAGCCCGGTTTTCTTAAATTGTACTGCTTCGATCAAGCAGCGAATCGAATTGTCTGTGCATCTAACCTGTCAGTCCAACTGCTAGATCTTCGTCTTGACTCTCAAGTGAAGCCACTTATTGACATTGTTGTTGTTGTCGCAGTTGTACATGTTCCTGCTGCTGCTGCTGCTGCTGCTGCTGTTGCCATAGATTCATTTGAATCAAGCTACTTGTTAAACTACTCTCTTGGATCTGCGAAACCACAAATCAGAAGTTAGAACCAGGTGCAATTCATATTCATAACAAGTTTTATCTAACTAGACCTTTACTTATGAGCTGCTAAGAAAAAAGTTTCTGCAGTTACAGCAACTGCTAGCTACTATAGAACTTCGAATTTCGATTTCTCTGTATTAACATGGGCTTGTGCACAGCACAGAGTCAAACTGCTCTCCTTGAGAAAATGTTTAACCTGACCGGCTAAATCAAGCATCACTATCCAAGTTTACCAATACCCTGGTTAAGTATATGCGATTCAGATGACAATGCAGCGAAAGACTTTGCATGATATAGCTCATTATGCACATACACATGTCGAAGCAAATGCGGTTCAGTAATCATGTTTTCTCTAAGATGCCGCAGCAAACATGCGACATATCATCCTAGGGCATTAAACGCTTTCATAGAGTTAGAGACTTGAGTTGGTTTTTTCACCTCTAGCTTGGATATGGTCCTAAGACACTCCAGGCACTCCTCCAAGAGCAGCTTTTCTTGCCCAACCACCTTCGCCAACTCTGAGAGCAATGGGACGGTGCCATCTCCCTGTAAGGACCTAAGATCTCAGATTGCCATAGACCAAATAAAAGCAGCCGGATGAGGAGTTTGACTTCGGTATTTGGTTCTCACCGAAGGGGAAATATCGGTTATTGCTGACTTGATAGACGTCGTGAGATCCAACGCGTGTCGGAGAGCGAACGAAGTAGATTGTGGCTCGACCTGTACAAGGTTATTCTCCATTTAGGCCTACCTCTACAGATATTTCACGTTTTATAAAGGATCTAATTGAAGATGATCATCATACCTCTGCACCTTCTATGAGCGGTAATCTACCGACAATAGATTGCAAAGACTCGGTTGTCTTGGAAATTGCTAGCGAGTGTCGCCTTTCCATGTCTCCCCAAGTTTCCAGTGGTCTAATCTACAGAAAGTGATGTATTTCAGTCAGACTGGCTTAATTCAGATAGATAAATAGTAAAACGGTTCAATCGCAAACATTTGTGCGAGATTACTACAAGATTCCATACTGACTTGGGTATGGAGTATCAGGTTCAGCTTCATTTGGAACTTTTCTTTCTCCATCTGTAATTTCTTCTGGAGCACAGAATGTTGCAATTTTGTGAGGCTGCTCCAAGCACATACTAAATTTCTCTGAAAGGACAGGAAATTAGCAATAAATTAGTACAAGACTTTCATCGCATGCCTATTGGTCCAGCCATACGATATGACATATATACTCCTAACTTCATATTTACAATCAACTGAGAAAATACAATCCATGTCTCGATCCTAATGTGAATGCAGATGCCACAGACGTACGTATATTTCAGCTCTCTAAATATTTATCATAGAAGAACGTGTTATGCTTAAAACCCATATGCTTGAGGAAAATTCCCCAGTTCATCTCCTTATTGACAGCGTGATTAACGTAATCTCGGAAGTCTTATTGTCGGAATGAATTAACAATATGCAGCTTTAACCTTGAGAATTGACAGAAATTATGTTTTGAGTGCCACACACCTCAGTCTGGCTAGTGATATTCGAGTTCCCAGCATCGGCTTTAGCATTCGCATACTGCCATTGTATCAACCGATTATGAAGCAGACGAAGTTGATGAACGTTTTCTGCACCAGCAGGACCCAGAGGAGATGAATGAGATGAGGATTTCTTGCTCTTGAACAAGTCAAGTCCCATATTAAGCAACTTTTCCACACCATTATGCCTCGAGGGACTCGACGGTGGCTTCAAGTTCGAAAAAGACAACGGCCTCTCTTTATTTTCTACAGACATTGGAGACGAACCTGACCTGCCGGGTGACAGAGCCCATTGCGACATTGCACTCCCGTACCCAGTGAGCGAACTAGCCCTCTTGATTGCACCTTTTACTGTAAACTTGTTCGACCTAGCGGTTTCATCGAACGACAGAGGATGCTGAACATTCGAATCTGAAGTCCACCTGCTGGACCTTCCTGTTACATCGTTCATGTACTTGGATGAAACCTCTATACCAGCTTTCCCCATCATTGTCGTCGACGATAAATTGGATGCCGAAGAGGATACATCGCTGCATTCGGATTCGGATTCAAGAGAATGGTCCGTGAAAGTATCAGATTTCCTTCTGGAAGATTTCTTGTAAAGAGCATTTTCGTCAACAGAGAATCTTCCAGGGATTATCGGGGCAGGACTCTCCGACCCCTTGTTCGAAGACGACGATTTTCTGCCAGGAAACAATAATTTACCGGTGTACCTCATGGAACCGCCGAGAATCGGCCTGTGGTTCTCTTTACTGGCCCCTTTCACATTCTCGATTCTATTGATCTCGGTTACGCTCCTCTGCCTGCTCAAATGCGCGGGATTCTCAGCACTCACGACCTTATTTCCGCTTTTGCGGTCCAGAAGATCATTCAATCTGTCGTTCCCGAGGTGATCGGCAAGAGTGTCCAGTTTCGTGCTCGAGGACCGCGAAGGAGACGAGATCGCAGTCGCCGAAGGCCACAGCGATCCTCTGGCAAAGCCCAACTCCTCGAGGCTCCGGTGCTTCCGAGAATCTTGGGAGCTCGCGCCGGACTTACGCCGCATCGGCGATGAGCCACGGGTCGGCGACGGGATCCCGCTGTCGTGAGTGGGAGTCGACGTCGGCGAGAGGTACCGCGAGCTCACTTCGCGGGACTTGGGGCGTCGAGCCTTCAGGGGTTGATCTGAAGCTGTGGTCTCCTGGTGATTCTTCATCATTTTACTTGTTTGTGCACGGAAGCATTGGAGAGAGAGAGACAGAGATTGACGGAGATACGAGGGCTTGTTCAGTGAGCAGTGACGACGGTTAGTGATAAAAAAACAAACATTTGAAAGTGGCGGCAAAGTAGATACGGCCGGCGAGATTTTATTGGGAGGGTTTTTAGTAAAAGATAAAATGGCTTATGTAATGGCTGAAGTGTCATGTTTGGTTTCGCTCGATGTTAATCCACCACCACATGAGAGAAACAGGGGTAGTTTTGGCGTTTAGCATTTGGATGAGAGATGGAAGTTGTGTGGGACGGCCGACGGGCTCTACAAGGAACAGGAGGAGGAAACGAAGTGATTGGTCTGTTCGTTAATAGAGTTGCGCCGGCATGTTATTTCTAAGCAGTGCCCCAGGCCGGCACGTGGCCGGCACGGCTTCACTGTTCAGGTTCCCCAACTTTGGAGAGGCTGAGGTTGTTGGAGAGAGTCCAGGACAATCGGCAACGGTAGCTGAAAGTGATACCTGGTTAGTTGTTACTAAACATCACTCCTTTTTGTGCTTCAGACTTTCCAAATTATGATTCTTCCGACTCCCGCAGATTTCCTTCTTTTTTCAAGTCAAAAGGAAAGTCTCAGAGGCTCAGACCCACAATTTGCCAGGAGCTCCATGGTGTATAGAAAGGCAACAGTGACTTGCCACCTTAAACGAAATCAAATGCAGCAAGCAGAGCAGAGGAGAGAAACTTATGCGCGATTCATTCTCGAGGGAAACCTCGTAAAGCTGTCGATGCAGATAAATGAGCATAAAGGGCAACTCGATCCATTGTTCGACAATCCTAGTCAGGGATTCAGGCATGGAAAAACTAGCTCTTGCGATGCTCATGGCCCTAATTTGATGCCTAGTTTGTTCGCTCTAAATGCCATCATTCAGATACACTTGGGAGGAAAGAATAAAATGACACAGTAGAAAGTTATTGACCTTTGCCTTATACATGCTCACTGCCAATTGGTAGGGTGAATACATTTCGATCTGCAACTCGGTCGAAAGTTTGAGATCTCTAAATACAATATGCTGAACTCCAACAGAATAAGCATGGTACAAGGGAAGTAGACAGCAATCGAAAGAATGAAGCTAACAGGTCTGTACTTTCTGTTTACAGCTCAATCTGCCTTGTTAACATACAAAAACTAAACCTTCACGTGGTCATACAGAATATGTAGATTGATCTACACTGAGAGCAAAAACTATAAATCTGAGCCATGATACAACTACCATCAGCCATGCTAAAATACTAATGTTGATAAGAGTATTCAACCTTACTCTGTCCCTGAAAAGCACCGTGACATGATGGAAGAAACCGTCGACAATCAGTGAAAATTGCACCGTTGTAATAGAGGGTGAGTGTAATCAACGTACTTTTCCCAAAGAGGCTTGTACTTTTCCATCCCAATCTTCAACCACGGCTTTGAGTTGCCGTTATAGTGCAGGACAGCCCCCTTCTCTATCAACTGAGGATTCACATTTGTATAGCCAAGCCCCAACACGTGCCACGAGGGATCCAAGGGCTCAGTAAGCCCATAGAAAGTCAACAACCCGGGTGGGAGAGTCCCGAGTTTCCACAATGTCCGATCAATGTTGTTTTCCTGCCAGTAATGGTAGATACCTGTAACGTTCCTCCGCCTCCATTCCACCAAATCAAACACATTCATCCCAAATGCCCATCCACACGCGTCGGGATCAAAGTTTTCTCGTATGAGAGGGTGGGAGTAATTCAGATACTTATGGTACCGATGAAAAGTTTCCATGCATGTTTCTACAGCTCCATTGACATTGCCATTCAAATCGATGGAGAAAAGTCCAGACAGATCTTTCTGCACCACGACATCATCGTCCAGAAAAACGACTTTCTTCAGTACAGGAAATACTTCTGGGATATAGAACCTTAAATGGTTAAGCATGGATAGGTACTTAGGGTTCCGAAACTTGATGGGCGTCTTGCTCCCATCATTACTGCCAGAGAAGTAATAGCTCTGAGTTTCAGAGTCCTGGAGCTGCTTTAGAACAGGAACATAAGAAGCATTTAACCAGCTCAAGTCTTCAAATTTTTGGACATCAACAGTGACTCCTCGAAAATCATTCATATTGAACCATGCTTTCATTGGTGCATAATTTATCTCATCGGTCACAAGATGGAAGACAACTTTGTCAGGATTTCTTGAATTTATAGAGGTTGAGTTCACCACAACTGAAGTCGCAAGGATATTGTCGGAAAACACGCAGAAATGGAAGAGATTGCTATCCATAAGTTTGGCATCCATCTTACGTCCTTCATCGAGCTTTTGTAAGTTTGGTCTTTTGAACCATTCAGTTGTTAACCTAACTCCCAGGCAGAATAAGCTTTTTGGTATTTCTTCTGCAGCAATCTGGCCATACTTTGAGCTCTTCTCACTTACCGAACCCATCTGTTCTTCAAGAGCTTGGATTCTAGCTTTAAGTCTCATGATCATGGTTGCACTATCATAGTGCAGTTGTTGGGCTTGGAAAAGCAACAAGGCCAAGTCGCGGATTGATGTTTCTGATTCTGTAACCGTCAGGGGAGTTCGTCTAGTTGCAGCATTAGAGAGGAGGACCTGTGAATTACGAATCTGAGCACTCAATTCCCAAGCAAACTGTAGATTGTTACTTTCTTTTGCAATCACAACAAAAGCTTTTGCCAGAGATATCTGATCACTGATTTGTCTTGTGACAGAATTAGGGCTCAGCATTTCATCAGTAATGTTAAGGCCTTCCATGATTTTTTCACGCTGGTAATATCTCTGCGACAGAGGAGAAGAAAAATGAGGACTCCTACGTAAAACATCAGAGACAAGCTGATAGTAGAAGGAACAGATGAGTATAGAAAACCTCAATCACAGCCATAGTGCAAACAAGCAGATTAACAGTTTAGCTATCCAAGTAAAAAGAACAATTTAGTCTCACTCACAATATACTGTATGCCAAAAATTAATTGCATTACAAAAAAACACAATCACAAATTAGTGTCATTCCAAAGTAAGAAGATTATCTGTTTTTCATGCTAGTAACTAGATCACCTTACTGAAGGTCACAAACTACAATGCTTTAAAATGGTAAAGTCTGTGCACAGAATAGTAGGTAGAAATGCACTACATAATCTGATCTGCATACGGAAGATATTACATGAACTACACACGCACCAAATCCTCCATCCTAAACTCCTACTTGGAATAGTATTTACCACAGCTGGTCATAGCAAAGTCATTACTTCAGTACTTAAATCTCGAAACAGTGCTGACAGAAAAAAGAGAACATTATATAACAATTTTCAGTGAATCTCCAATGTATGCAAACGAAGTTCCTCAATTCCAAGTCATTAAGAGAAAACATCATTGAATGCACATTGCAGGCAAACATCTTTTCCTTTTTATTCTATTCTTACATCAGTTTTAATGTAAGAATTCGACATTATTGTGACCTACGGCAATAGAATCATCCACAACAAATGAGATATAATCCAGCTAATTCAAAACATGGAAAATCAAACTTCTCCTCTAGAACAAAATGAATGCTCATTTGGGTTTTCTTAGAATAACGAATCTGATTCTGAATAGTTGAACTTGATGGGTATGAATTTCCCCTTGCACAACCCTCATATTCGTCCTGGTAAAACATAAACAAGAACTCAAAAGAAAAAAAGAGTACATCCAGACAGATTAGCCCTCATAAGATATCAAACCATGATATCCATAATTGTGAAGCTTCAAACAATTACAGTGTCCAGTCCAGTTCTCCACGTACGCCATCTTCTTCGGGAGAGACTGAGCTGTCTATTACCCAAAAAAGATAAGTCACGTGACATCTAACTAAACTCCTGCAAGATTTAACCCATATATCAAATTGTTCTGTAAGGTCTCTCCAAGGTCTATCCACTAGATAATCACTGTCCCTCCTATGAATAAATCACTAAACTATGTGGTCATATCAGTGCTACATCATTTGCTTCTCAAATTCCATTTTTTCATCGAATTGCTTATGCGAGAACCTCTTAGTCAGCATTGAAAAAGATAAGTTTCCACTAGTGCTGCTACCATTTTCCCCAATTCGATAAATCAATGCTTTACAAGCTGACTAAAGAGACTTTCTCCCAACAGCAATTACATAGCACTTGTTTATTGTATATCCCAAGTACTTGATCGCAGATTTCAAGTAGTCCCTTCAACATTTCCCAATTCCAAGGTTGAGAAGACCTCAAATTTGCAACTAACATATGAAATATGTAAAGCAATTTCCGAACATATCCATAACAAAATCACAAGGTCGGAACTCGATGGCAGGAACGACATACATTTTCTTTGGTTCTTTCCCCAAAACAAGTGCAATGCAGATTCAGTCTGAATGCCGGCATCAGCATAAAAGCACAACTCAGAGACCGATAATCTTCACAATATTGTCAGTGAAACAAAGAGATTGACAAAATTGCGCTGTCGGCAGTTTTCATTTCCAGCCCAAGCAACTTATATTCGACCGCACAGTGAAAGAAAAGTAGAATCCAACAACCAAACGGACGGAATCAACCGACCCAGTTCAATTTCGGAAGAAAAAAGGGAAGGGAGGTCGCCAAAATCTTGCCTTGGACATGGAAGGCCTGGATTCGACTTGACTGTCCTTGCTCAGAATCACGATGAAGAGCAAGACAAGAATGCCGCACAATGTCCACCACACCACGTTGGGCCACCGCCGCTTCGCGGGTCTCCGGAAATCCGCGGCCCTCCGCCTCATTGCTCCGCCGAATTCCGAAACAAAAGCTACGAGGGGAGAAAACCAAGAGCCACCGCTTCCCAGAAAGGAGGGGGCGCCGAGAACGCGATGCGGATCGGGGACCGGGTGACGAGAGAAGGAGAGAGAGATCTGCAAGAAAGCTTGCGATCTCGCGTCGAAATTGTGGAGCCAAGGTGCTGCGCGGAAGCAGGCAATCACGGCATTGGGGGAGGTGGGGCGCTTGCTCGAGCAACGCAGAGAGGCTTTTCTTGTTTTTTCCCCTCGACAGGCAGACGATGTTTCAGCTACGCTGTTCTGTTCTTCTGTACTGAGACGGTCTTTTCACGTTGTTCTAGTTTGAGATCCATTTGTCAACCGCACTGCTGATCTCCATCACGTTTCCCCCCCCTTAAAAACTTCCATCTTTTTCCCCGGCTCTCCGGGCTTTTCTCCATAGTCTCCGAGGACCTATCCTCCGTCTGTACCTCGTCGGACTCTGGCTCGTTTTGTCATGTCTCCTGTGCAAATTATTATATCAGATAATTGACCATACGATAAATGTGGTTATTATGCTTTGTATTGAAAATACGATAGAGATAAATAAATGTGGTTATTATGCTTTGTATTGAAAATACGATAAAGATAAATTTGGGTACGATATGGTGCGATAAGGAATTATTAGTTTCTTCGGTACCGTTCCGTAGAAGGCCTCTCCTCACTTGTCAAAATTTGGAGTTTTTTTTTGTCTAATTTTGCGCCGGCCAAGTAGATGATCCATTATTGATTTGCATATACGGGCTTCCCGAAGGGACAAAAGGTTTCCGTCTTTATATCCCTAAAAAAATAAATTGAGTTGAGTATTTTGTCCTTAATGGTGGTGCTCTACCGGTCTATAGATGGTTTCGAGATATCTAAATGCGAAGCATTTCTAATATAACATTGACCGTATATTTACGTTATTGTTTTTATCATTATATGAGAGATGATATAAAAGAGTATGATGTAACAGATTTGATCCAATGGCTAATATAAATTAGTGGTTACAGAATGATAAGAACATTCCCTGATTGTTGTTGATTGTGCCTATCATCTATGGCAGAATTCTTCTTATTCTTGAGGAAGTAAGATAAACAAAAAGGTCAAGATCAAACATGTGCTGCTTTGTGCAGAGCTTTCATTAACATTGACCTCAAACATGAACTGATATCCCTCAAGCCCGAAGAGTTTGCGGTGAATAGGAATGCTGAGATCCCTGATTTGGATTTTCTGGCTTGCGGCTTTCCCGCCGCGGGATATAAGTATGAACTGCCTGGTTTTCTTCTCCATAGCAGCTTCTTGACTGAACTGAAGTTGGTGAGCTGCAAGCTGAATTGGCACTCAATTGTTGCATCTCAAGGAAATCACATCGAACGATGATCTGCTCAAGAACTTTATAGACGGGTGTCCGGCGCTCCAGAGTTTGGCTGTCCCGGATTGTTATGGCCTGCGTGAAATAAAATTGTGGTTCCCAGAAACTTAGGAGTTTGACAAATCGCTTGGGGTATTCTTAGAGAGTCAGAGAGTTACAGTCGCCTGTCCAAATATCAAGTCACTAAGCATCTCCTAATGGTTAGAGCGTCCGGAACTAGAGAACCTATCGTCTCTACGAGACGCATCCGTTGATTTCTGAGATTGTTGCTTCTGTGTACCCGATGAATATTGTGAGGTCCAACAGATTCTGGAGGAGCTCCATCGAGTACGAGTATTCACAATGCATCAACATCAAGTTTTGGGGAGTTGACCGTCCTGTACTCTTACTAATTACCATACCCTGTTATTTCTTACAACTGAACTGAAGCATTTCTCGTTGCTGTTGATCCAAGAACTTACAGATACCCTTCAAAACATCTAAGATCCACCAAACACCCGTCGAGTCAGGGGCCTTCTTTCGAGCTTTGTCGCCATCTCTGTCTCTCTCTCTCTCTCTTCTTTTCCTTCTTCTACTTGGTGGCGTGGGGGTGAGTAAAGCTCCTCCAAGGAAATGCCAGAAAGCATGGCTTTGCATTTCTGTGTTCTTTTCATGGTCTCATCCATGCCGGTGTGGCTTCTTCGTAAACTCCTTTTGCTGAATCTGCGCAGGCACGGCGTCTCGATTGTCTACATTATTCTAGCCGGGCATTAAACTTACATATCATGATCAATGATCATTAACTAGGCCTTGAGATCGTGCTACTTCTTTGCATTGCTAGTATGAACTCTGAAGCATCAATTAAAAGTCAAACGACATACCCAGCAGCACATGTCGGCTGCTCTATTCTTCTTTTGACGTGAGGAATGAAGACTTGCCGATCTTTCAACTGAGATCCGTCCCTTATGGTTAGTCAGATAGGGCAGAATTCCACTTTAATAGACTGTTGATGCAATTTGGTAAAAGCCAATTGTAAGAAGGAACAGAGGGAAAACTCGGAAACGCTAATGTTCGCGTGTAATCTTTGCCCTTCGTTTTCCTCAACGTTTAATTTTGGTCTCTTTGATGAAAATAGGTTCAGACTTCGGAGGCTATAATAGTCAAAAGAACATAACAGCTGATGATATTGACGAAAAAGATGATGAGTACAAATATTTTCATGTATACTACTTATTTCCAATGGAATATTTTGCACATCCGAAATACAATTTGATGAGGCTTAGAAAATGCCCTAAGCTGACATACACATATATAGTCCCAGATTCTCTCCAACAGGGGTATAAGAAAGGGCCGTACTAGATTGACCGTTGACTATGCTGACTTGGAGATGGTGGGGGAGTAGGTAGAAAAGACACGAGAGTGGGAGTGACCAAGAATGACCAAGAATGATAAATTAAAATTCGAGGAATAAATCAAATATTAACTATAGAGTATGGTCTAACTTCGGACTGAAAAAACCCCCAAATACCCTTGAACAAAAAAAAGGCACGAGATTATGGTCATGGTGTGCCCAATATGTGAAACCCACAAGTTACTTGATAGGATCGGAATTGCATCTCGCCATTAACCTCGGTAAACTTCGTCATTTAGAGTGAGAACCGTCTGGTCATATCGAGGTACATCGAAAAAAACGTCGGACTTTCCGGTATTTATTAAAGGGAATTCGAGGAGAGTAGTCTGATTATTTCTGGGTACCGTCAAATTATTCAAGATTCACATGCGCTCGTATACGAAGCGGGCAATTTCGAGTCAATTGGAGGACGGGCAAGACGGGTATTGAATGGTCGGGATGGAATTTCATAAAAAGCGAAACTAAAATCGATATGTCTCGCCTCACTCATTAAAGTGGTGGACCTGACTTATTAAGCTGAAGTGTGCACGACCGCCGAATATGACCAAAAGAACTCAAAGTTTGGTGGTTAGGGCTTGTCCCACTTTTATTCGGCTGATAATGATAGCATGGAAACATCATTTTCTTTTCTTTTTTCTTTCTTTGTTTTTTTTTGGGCAATTTCGGTACCGCCGCGCCAAGCGTGAATTAACATATTATTATTATTATTATTATCGTGTACATCAAAGCAAAGCTCATCTAACACGGAATTATAAGGATCATAGAAAAGTGAAAAGAATAAAAATCCTTAAATTTGTCCCCGCACCAAGTAAAACCAAATAAGTCAACCCTTTCGGACACGAATATTCAGTCGCATAAATTTGGGAGAAAAGAAAAAAAATTCCGAAAAGTTGTCCTTAGCTTAGCTAAAAAGAAATTGACAATTATTAAGTGAAGTTGGTATCCGCCACTGTCTCACTGTATAAAACCTTGCGCCATACTTCGGATGTCGATTAATTGTCAACCCCGTACGAGATAATTTGTCTTTGAATACTGTTATTACTGACTTTGATTATTATGTCGACAGGAAAATCGTGGAGTAATCTAAAGATGAAAATAAAGTTAACCAGATCAACTCTATGCTTACTAGTAAGATCATTCGACCAACAGGAAATAATGAACGCGCTGTAAAAGCAAATCACTAATCGAAGCTGAAAGCCAACAACTTAAATTTGTGCTTACTGTGTAGCATTCGATGGTTACGCACAACGGGTGATTACGAGAGGACGGACATATACATACATACATACATATATATATTCATGTTTGCCTGTTCATATATTTTTTTTAGCGCTATAGAAAAATCGGTATTATCAAGCCGTGCTATTATAAAGTCTCGATTTTTGCAATTTCAGAATTGGATATTCCACGTGTCAGAGACATTCGCCGCACATAACCTAACCATTTTGTTTTTTGAATTACACGCGGGGGCTGGTGATATTGATTTCTATTTTATTCACGTCGAGATGGGATCTGGCAATAGTTTAGATGAGGATGGACAGATGATAATATGGAAAAGAAGAGCAGCCAGAAGTGGAAAAACGATAGTTTATATGAGGATAGACAGATAATAAAAATGTAAGAAGAAGGAGAAGAGAGAGAGAGAGAGAGAAATGATGGTGTTCAACCATGGCGGACGCACCGAGGGATGGGTCCCATCAATTCCGTTTATTTATACGTACGTGATGCAGATGCTTTTGGCGCATCACTCCTCCACACACCTCTCCTGCCCCTTCGTCCTTCGTCCTTCCTTCCTTCTCTGTGTGTGTGTGTGGATCGATCGCCATGGGGGACGCTGCTGATGCTGGCATGGACGCCGTCCAGAGACGTCTCATGTTCGACGACGAGTACGTATCCAACCCCACCCACCCATTTCGTCCATCCTCCTCTTCGTCTTCTTGTTCTTCTTCGTCGTCGTCGTCTTCTTCTTCTTCTTCGGGGTTTTTTTGTCCTGTTTGGGGTTGTTTAGTCTTCTTTGTTCGGGGGATTTTGTGGGTAGATGGCAATTCGTTTCGATTTGGTCTTATGTTTAATGGGGTTCTCGGGTCTAATGGGATTGGGATTGGGGGGGTGTTCCCCCTGATTTTTCCCATCGGGAAGGCGCGACGCTTCTGGTAGCCGAGCCTCGGCTTCGAATGGAAGCTTTGTGTTGAGACTCTGGTCTCCGAGCTCCGTTAGTTGATCCGTTTACGGTTGCTGGCGTTGCTGCTCGGGAATTGCATGACGTGGTGAATTCGATCTAGCAAATTGTTTATATTTCATTTCTTTTCGATTTAGTCGTTTCATTTCTCCGGATCTTCTTCTTCTTCTTCTTCCTTTGCGTGTGTTTTGTTTTGCTTACCTCTGGTCTCGTTATGATTGTGTTGCAGATGCATCTTGGTGGATGAGAACGACAATGTTGTGGGTCACGAGTCGAAATACAACTGTAAGAATGCTTGTTCTGGCTACGCAATTGCTCTTATCTGGCCGATTTGGCCTGAATTATTTTGTTTTATGATGACCCACTTCCTGTGCCCTTCAATATGTTGTTCAAGATTCATTTTCTCAGTATCTACATGTATTTGCTGGTTGGCTTTCATTATCAACTCTTCCCAGTTTGTCGAAAATATTATGTGTGGAACAACAAGGATATGTTTATTGAATTTTTTGGCCTTCTTAGAACATTTTCTGGCCTGCCATCCATGGGTTGTGCTTCAGCCGGTTTTTCGAACATCATATATCACTAGTCGCTTTCTCCTAGGTGATATTGCAATTGAGTGGTTGGTGCTTCGATTATTTGCAGGTCATTTGATGGAGAAAATCGAGTCCTTGAATCTGTTGCATAGAGCCTTTAGTGTGTTCTTGTTCAACTCAAAGTATGAGCTGCTGCTTCAGGTATGCAATAAGCATTCATTCTGGCTATACTTCTTGTTGTGTTACTGCTGCTATTTTACCTTTCTTGCTGATAAGGTGGGTTGTCGTCACGGGCATATCTAACTTCTTGAGGCTTATCTATTTTTCTGGAACAGCAACGCTCTGCTACAAAGGTAACGTTCCCCCTTGTGTGGACAAACACCTGCTGCAGCCACCCATTGTACCGGGAGTCCGAGCTTATTGCTGAGAACGCCCTTGGTAATAGAGCATATTTTGCGCACTCTGCGTTTCTTGTTATCTGCATGACTGCATCTTTCTCATAGTAGTGGGAGACTTCCAATTCATGCATGTCCATGAGGCTAATTAAGTCTGCACTTTGGCGTCACTTGCATTCATATGATGGACAGGGGCGAGGAATGCTGCACAAAGGAAGCTCTTGGACGAACTGGGCATTCCTGCTGAAGATGTGCCCGTTGATGAATTCACTCCTCTGGGTCGAATGCTGTATAAGGCACCTTCTGATGGGAAGTGGGGAGAGCACGAACGTAATACCTTCTTACCTTATACCTCAGGCTTTCCTTTCTCTGGAAATTTTGGGTAGATTTTTAGTGCTGGTGTAGCGTATCTTGACTTTGGTAAATAACTGACATCATTTGTAATTCTTACCGGCATTTTTAAATTGTACGTCTTGGAAAATCCAACATTCTTATGGCACTACCAAATATGCCACTTAAGATCCGATGATGCACCTCGATTTATTTGGAAGGAATGTGGGTGGGGAAAAACCCAGCATGAGCCGCTTTGATATTTGGTTCTTGGTCTCTTCGGAGATATCTGATAAAATTTACATTTGGTTTTTGTTTATTCTTTTCTAGAATTTCTTATGTTAATAGATGTCAAATATTCGGTGGGTTGCTTCATGTTTCTTACTCATGCTCGTGGATGGCACGCAAGGGTCCTGATGTGTATGTAATTTTGCAGTCGATTACTTGCTGTTCATCGTTCGAGATGTGAAGGTCAATCCCAACCCCGATGAGGTTGCGGATATCAAATATGTGAACCGGGAGCAGTTGAAGGAGCTGTTGAGGAAAGCCGATGCAGGCGAGGGGGGTCTGAAGCTGTCGCCTTGGTTCAGATTAGTGGTGGACAACTTCTTGTTCAAGTGGTGGGATCATGTCGAGAAGGGGACACTGAAGGAAGCAGCTGACATGAAGACCATTCACAAGCTAACCTGAGATTCGTGTTTGAGTAGCAGCAGTCCAATAAGGACGTAGACTTGGACTTCAAATTGATGTTATGGAGCTGCTCAATCCCAATAATGTCGGACTTAAATTTCAAATTTCAATGGTCAAAACTTGTTTTCAGCCAGGGTCATGTCCAGTTATTGTGAACAGCCATTGCTATTGTTGGCAGCAGAGTTATTCTATGATCCCTGAGACCAATTACATGATTCGCCTGGAAAGTCACTGCTCGATTAAGGAACTTCATTAGAGCTAAAGTTATAATGCATATCGAGATAATGACTACCATATTGATAGAAATTGCCATCAAAATATGCTAATATTTTATGATTATATGATTTGCTTATTGTCAAAAGGCCAGAGCTCAAGCCACGATTTAATTTATGTCCGCTAGCTCCATGTAAATTCGATACGAGACATATTTGAGATAAATTTAGAACATGTAAATTTGACCTTGGATTTGGGTTGTGTCTTCACACATCACACCTTTTTTTTTATAGGTAGTCTCGGATAAACCGTATGAGGTACTCAATCGTTATTCGTTATTAAACAAAGCGAAAGCGATAAAAAGGGATGGGAAAAGGAAATAGAATTTCAAATCGACAAGGCGAAAGGTAATAAGGTAAAAGAAACGGGGTAGTGTTTGATTAATTGCAAATGATGTATGTTAGGATTGTGCAATCTAGACCGTTCTGAAAACCAATCTAGTTTCAAGTTCTTAATCTGAGTGAAGAACCATTTAGGAATCGAATCAATCGGACCGAATTTAGAACTAATTTCATGAAGTTTGAAAGTCCTAATTTTTCTCTTTAGCATCATTTTTCTATTTTTCTTTGTTATCTCCTGACACTTCAGGACTCTCTCTCTCGCTCGCTCTTGGCTCGTCGTTGCTAGTTCGAGCCTTGCAACCCTTGCTCGTCCTCGACTCGCCCTTGCTCATCCTCGACTCGCCACCCGTGCTCATTCTTGACTGGCCCTTGTTCATCTCTTACTTTGAATCCATTTTGTTACTCTTACTCATATTATCGTGCCCTCCCTCCCTCTCTCTCTCTCTGTCACTCCCCCTCCCTTTTGCTCTCCGACCCTTCAACGCGAACTCCAGAAGGCACCCCGCAAGCATCGGTGGCGCCTCTCCCGCGCGCGCCCCATGAGAAGCCTCCTCAGGGCTTCGCTCCCCCTCGCCGCGAGGCTCCTCCTTTCGCGGAGCCCGTTCGGGAACGGCGCGCCGCCGCGGGCCATAGGACCGGCGGAACTCGCCGCCGTCTCGTTTCGCCGTCCCTTCGCCAGGTGGGTCTTCACCCACGAGCCCCTTCCTCCCCCCGAATGGGTCGAGCCCTTCAGCGACGTCTCCGACATAGCCTCCTCCGCCCCGCAGGACCTCACCCCGTCCCCGTGGGTGGGTCACATTCTCGATCTCCTAGACGGGTCCGCGGACATGGAACCGAAGCTGGACGACTTCTGTCGGAAGTTCTTGATCAAGCTGTCCCCGAACTTCGTGTCCTTCGTGCTGCGGTCCGGTCAGGTTAAGGGTAGGCCGGACGTCGCCGTTAGGTTCTTCAGGTGGGCTGCTCGGCAGGGGAGGTACGAGCACAGGATTGAGTGTTACGTGTCTTTGATCGAGCTTCTCTCGATATCTGGGGATTTGGATGGAGTGGCGAGTGCCTTTGCGGGGTTGAGGAGCTCGGGGTTCTTGATGACGGTGTCGGCGGCGAATTCTCTGATCAAGAGCTTCGGCAGTGTTGGAATGGTGGAGGAGTTGTTGTGGGTGTGGAGGAAGATGAAGGAGAATGGTATCGAGCCGAGTTTGTATACCTACAACTTTTTGTTGAATGGTTTGGTGGATTCGAAGTTTGTCGAGTTGGCGGAGCGGGTCTTTGAGGTGATGGAGAATGGGAGGATTGGACCTGATACCGTGAGCTATAATATATTGGTGAAAGGATTTTGCAAGGTGGGTAAGACCCAGAAAGGGATGGAGAAACTAAGGGATATGGAAACGAAGAGCGTGGAGCCGGATAAGATCACATATTTGACTTTGATTCAGGCGTGTTATGGTGAAGGGGATTTCAATTCTTGTTTGAGACTTTACCGTGAGATGGAGGAGAAAGGTTTAGAAATCCCTCCTCATGCGTACAGTTTGGTCATAAGTGGGCTTTCCAAGGAGGGAAAATGTATGGAAGCTTATGCAGTTTATGCGAGCATGACTAGAAATGGATATAGAGCGAATGTTGCAATCTACACAGCTTTAATTGATTCATATGCAAAATGCGGGAGCATAGAAGAGGCAATGAGGCTCTTTGATAGAATGAAGGATGATGGGTTTCACCCGGATGAGGTCACGTACGGGGCTATCATTAACGGGCTGTCCAAAAATGGGAGGTTGGAGGAGGCACTTGCACACTTTGAGCACTGTCAGAATAGTGGGGTGACAGTTAATGCAATGATATATTCTAGTATTATTGATGGTCTAGGGAAGGCAGGGAGAGTGGATGAAGCTGAGAAATTTTTTGAGGAAATGGCCGATAAGGGATATTCACGGGATTCATATTGCTATAATGCCCTGATGGATGCATTTACGAAGTGTGGTAAAATAAATGAAGCACTGGCGCTCTTCAGGAAAATGGAAGATGAAGGTTGTGATCAAACAGTTTACACATTCACGATACTCATTGCTGGCCTTTTTGCGGAGCACCAAAATGAGGAGGCTTTGAAATTGTGGGACGTGATGATTGACAAAGGGATCACTCCAAATGCAGCATCTATCAGGGCTCTATCTACTGGACTTTGTCTCTCAGGCAAAGTGGCTAGAGCTTGTAAAATCTTGGATGAATTAGCACCAATGGGTATCATTCCTGATTCAGCTGTCGAAGATATGATCAATGTGTTGTGCAAAGCTGGCCGTATTAAGGAAGCTTGCAGATTGGCGGATGGAATTGTCGTTAGGGGTCGTGAAATACCGGGAAAAATACGGACTGTTCTTATTAATGCCTTGAGAAAGGCAGGGAACACAGATTTGGCCTTGAAGTTGATGCACAGCAAGATCGGTATTGGCTATGACCGAGTCGGCAGCTTTAAAAGAAGAGTTAAATTCCTGACTCTTGTTGATAGTTGAGTCTTTGGGAATTCTCTTGTTGCACTGTATTTATTGTCAGTTCTACCGTTTGTCTATGCAATAAACTGGGTAAGATTGTGGAAGAGCTGGAAAATCCTGGGTTCTCACTCTTATAGTCTACCTGGGCGTGGTTGATGAAGTTGTGATTTCAGAGTCTGTCAGAAGCCCGATTCTATTGATTCTGTACTGGTAATAGGAGTAGAAAAACTTGATTGACTACCTTAAGCTCCTTGGTGCCTATGATTCTGCAAAGATGTTTCGAGTGCATCAAAAGTTCCAATTCCAGGTCTGTGCTCTGCTTTATGTTATTCCTGTTCCTATCTTGACTATGATTACTATGGAACCTGTTGCATCTATGGATGGAAGTAGATTAGTTGGATGATATTTGTTACTTGACGATTATGGCCGTGGATTAGTTTCTGTAACCCGTAATAGATGCATGAGTCTACCGTCATTTGCATCTGATCAGAATTTTACTATATTTTATGTTTTTTTGGGAATTTACTATAGAGAAAGCAACTAAGAGCTCCTGCATTGCCATAAAAGATTTAAAATGTTGCGATTACTATTGCTTGAATCCTTCCATCCGATTGGTCCAATCTTACTTTGGATTTTGAGAGAAGAAGATTGAACAGCTCTCCTGTCATATTTGAAAGGGCATGGTATAGTTTCATATTTGTAGTTATACTAGTCCAATTTCGAGAAATAATTAGGACATGACTAACATCCAACCATGTTTATGTTCTGTTACTATTCCTGTAGCTACTTCAACTCCCAGCTGTTACTTGATCTAGTTCTGTTTATTTTTATTACAATTCGAGAGCTCTAGCAGACGGAAAAACCGAAGTAGGCACGTGTAGTATGAGACAAAAGTTTCTCCATCTGTAATTTGAGGCTAAGGCAGTTGCATGAGTTGATTTATTTCTAATAAATTTCAATCTTGTAATTTCCCCCTTTTTGTGCCCTTCAATTTGTTCTTTAAGTTTCATTTTCTCAGTATCTACATGTATTTGCTGGTTGGCCTAACATTATCAACTCTTCCCAGTTTGTCAAAAGTGTTATATGTCGGATAAGTATATAATCATTGAATTTTTTGGCCTTCTTTGAACATTTTCTGGTCTGCCATCCATGGATTGTGCTTTTGCTGGTTTTTTGTTCATCATATATAACTAGTTCCTTTCTCCTTGGTGATATTGCATTTCAGTGGTTGGTGCTTCGAAATCCGCAGGTCACTTGATGGAGACTATTGAGTCTGAGAATCTGTTGCATAGAGGCTTTGGTGTGTTTTTGTCAACTTAAAGTATGAGCTACTGCTTAAGGCATGCAATAAGCATTCACTGACTATTCTTCCTGTTGTGTTACTGCTCTAGGCTTTCTCACCTTTATTGCTGATAAGGCGGTCGTCGTTGGCATATCTAACTTTTTGAGGCTTATCTATTTTCTGGATCAGCAACGCCCTGCCACAAAGGCAATGTTCTCCCTTCTGCGGACAAACACCTGCCGCAGCCACCCATTGTACTGGGAGTCCGAGCTTATTGGTGAGAATGCCCTTGGTAACAGAGCATATTTTACGCACTCCGCGTTGCTTGTTATCTGCACGACTGCATCTTTCTCATAGTAGTGGAGACTCTAATTCATGCTTGTCCATGAGGCTAATTAAGTCTGTACTTTGTCGTCACTTGCAATCATTTGATGGACAGGGGCGAGGAATGCTGCACAAAGGAAGCTCTTGGACGAACTGGGCATTCCTGCTGAAAATGTGCCTGTTGATGAATTCATTCCTCTGGGTTGAATGCTGTATAAGGCACCTTCTGATGGGAAGTGGGGAGAGCACGAACGTAATAACTTTTTACCTTGTGACTCAAGCTCTCCTTTTTCTTTGGGAATTTTAGGTAGATTCCTAGTGCTGGTTTAGAGTATCTTGACTTTATTAGATAATTTGACATCAACTGTAATTCTTATGGCGTTTTTAAATTGTACGTCTTGGAAATCCAGCATTCTTATGGTACTATTAATATGCTGCTTAAGCTCCGTTGATGCACTCCAACTTGGGAGAAATGTGGGTGGAAAATCCTGCAAGAACGACTTTGATATTTGGTTCTTGGTGTCATCGGAGACATCCCAATAAAGTCGACATTTTAGTTCTTGCTATTCTCTTCTATATATATATTTTTAATAATTGTCAAATATTATGCGATAGAATGTAGGATATGTGATGATTTGCTTCAAGTTTCTTACTCATGGTCATGGATGGCATGCAAGAGTCGCTGATGTTTATGTAATTTCGCAGTTGATTACTGGCTGTTCATCGATCGAGACGTGAAGGTTAATCCAAACCCCGATGAGGTTGCCAGATGTTGAGTACGTGAACTGGGAGCAGTTGAAGGAGATGCTGAGGAAAGCCAATTGACGCAGGTGAGGAGGGTCTGAAGCTGTCACCCCGGTTCAGATTAAGTGGACAAATTTCTTGTTCAGCTGGTAGTGGGGATCATGTTGAGGAGAGGGGGACACTGAAGGAAGCAAGCTGATGTGAAAAAGCTTTCTCAAGTTAACCTGAGATTTGTGTTGAGCAGCAGTCCAATGAGGATGTTATTAAGCAGCTGCTGCTCAATCCCGAATTCAAAAGTCAAAACTTGTTTTCAGCCAGGGGTCATTTCCAGTCGTTGGGAACAGCCATTGCTATGCCATTGTTGGGTTTTTGAGAACTTTTAGGGGATGTTAGGTAACTGGCCAAACAGTACTCGATTTTATTCTTTTGTTTCTCGGAACAAAAAAAAATATAGAAATTCATTTGGTAAATTTTGTATTTCCGGGCATAAATTTGTTTTTAAAATCAGTTTTGGAACAGAATCAAGAATAAAAAAAAAAGCTGATTCTTGATTTTGAGAACAAGAATCAGAAATGGAAAAGAATTTTTTTTTCTTCTTTTTCTTGGCTGGTCTTCTTCCTGGCTTGTGGCTGGCCCGAGGCCAGCGCTAGCGAGGGCATCGTGGCCCTCGCCGGCGAGGGCCGCTCGTGGCTTGGGCGAGGATCCTGCAAGGGCGGCTCGCGGCGTGGGTGAGGGCGGTGGCGACGGTCTAGCCCTCGCCAGCTCTAGCCTGTGGCCGGTCGCTGGCGCCGGCAACTTGGCCATGGGCCAAGGGAAGGGAAGAAGAAAAAAAAAATGGAAAAAAAAAGAATAAAAAGGAGAAAGAAATATTAAAATATTTAAAATATTATTAAAAAAAAGAAATTTTGTGTAGTTACCAAATGTATTTATGTTCTTTTTCTATTTCAGGAATATACATTTTGAGGAGTTACTAAACGTCTTCGAATGCTTAAAAATTGTTTCTAGGAATGGAATAAAAAAAATTATTTCTGAATAGAAATTATTTTCGAAAACAGAATGGTTATCAAACGAACTCTTAGTATGAAGTTATAACCCTTTCCACATAACTTTTGTTAATTTTTAGGGAAAATTCTAAATAAGGGCTTGAAGTGCCATTATTTTCTCAAATAAGGGCATGAAATGGATTTTGTGTCAAATAAGGACCTGAAGTAATTATATCTATTTTAAAGAAGGGCCTGACCTTTCTTGTGGTGAGGGCATTTTTGTCTTTTTACTTTTTTTGAATTCTTTTCCTTTTTTCGTTCTTTTTTCTGGATTTCCCTTCTTCGGCTGGCCACCGGCGAAGCCCAGCGAGGGCTGGGCGAGGGTTGCCCTCACTCGATCTAGCGAGGGTCGCCCTCGTCGGCAACAGGCGAGGCGCCCTCGTCCTGGGCGGGGCCGGCCCTCGCTAGATCTAGGCGAGGGACGGCCTCGCTTGGGTGAGGCCCCCTCACCTAGATCTGGCGGGGCCGCCCTCGCCGGCCATGGGCGAGGTCGGCCCTCCCTAGATTTGGGCGAGGGTCGCCTCGCCAGCTGCTGGAGAGGGACGGCCTCACCCATATCTGGCGAGGGCCGACCTCGCCCATGACCGGCAAGGGCGGCCCCGCTCAGGACGAGGGTCGCCTCGCCCAAGCGAGGCCGTCCCTCGCCTGTTGCCGGCGAGGGTGACCCTTGCCCCGCCCTGCCGGGCTTCACCGGTGGTCGACCAGTCACCGGCAGGCCAACAGGGGAAACCAGAAAAAAGGAAAAAGAAAGAAAAGGAAAGGAAAAAAGAAAAAAATTAAATTAAAATTTAAAAAATTTTGGACGAAAATGCCCTTCACCTCGTTGGTCGGAATATTTCGCCGGCCGGTGACCGGCGAAATCATGTCCTTATTTGAAACTTTCATGGCCACTTCAGGTCCTTATTTGAGATCGACATGTCACTTCAGATCTTTATTTGACACAAAGTCCACTTCAGATCATTATTTAAGAAAATGAGGACACTTCAGGCTTTATTTGAAATTTTCCTTAATTTTTATGACTTGAAATTAAAACAGTGAAATCAGACTTTCAGCGCAAATGCAGTGAAATTGGTGGGGGACAGTGACCTGTTCGGCGTGTACAAACAGGAGGTCAACGTCAACGATTAAAGCAGCGTCAACATCCCCATCAAACGGTTGGTGGACTTCATAAAGCGCGTCCTCACCAATAAATAAATAGATAAATAGTTAAAGAGTGTGAGCTGATGCACGTGATTCTGGCAATTGTTTGTGTTTTTTTTTCTTTGTGCTTTTATTAATAAAAAATTAATCATACTTATTTTAAAACTACCTAATATAATGAAGACAAAAACACTTTATAATTTTTTACTGTTGTAGAAATATATATATAGAACCAAATTATTTTTAAAGGGGTAGCTGGCTAGTGGCTAGTACCTAAGTAGTATATATAGAATATAGTGAAAATGGTTGGATATGACAATTACTTTTTGATGTGATATTTGTTTTCGAAAGAGACCGAAACGAGAAATCGATCATGCATGTTGTGTCAATAGCTATAAACAATTTGATTGACGTTTTACATCATTTCATAAGTGCTCGTACATTAAGTCCGACGTACTTTCCATGAATTGAGAGCTCAAGATATTGTATTCTATTTAGCATTTCTTTCGACCTACTTTCCTAACTTTTCTATGTCAATGTCGTAAACACGCGTGATGCTAAGCTCGCTTACAATTCGTTTTAGTATTGTGTTTTTTTTTTTTTGGTAACCAAGGTGTTCGGGCCAGCTTGTGCGCACCTCGACTATTCATCGGAGGAGACTAAAGACAAAGAACCCACCGCCACGCCCCCACTTAAATCACAAATCTTCCGGTGGGAATCGAATTTGGGACCAATGCGCCTAACCATACAATCCCAAGTACGCCCTAATCAACTGAGCTACCCATGGGTGGGTCGTTTTAGTATTGTGTTGGTAAAACTGAATATATATTATGTTGAAAGACATAAAACTTAACTTAAAAGAAAACAAAATCTATGTTGATTAATTTATAGATGTTTAAAACCCAATGTCTATTTACTGCTGGTCGTCGAAAAAGATAACCGGAAAACTTTTTATGTCGAAATTTTTTTTATTACTACTGTCAAATTATTACGCTAACGTGAAATAAGCTCTCTTTTTCTATATGTTGTTTCTTAGTTTACGTGTATTTGTCAATGGATCCTATCAAATTGGAAGTTGTAACGCTCTTTTACAGAACTTTAACAGTATCTATGTGAACTTTGGCATATTGTAAAGTGAAAGACACATGATATTTGATTACTTGAATATACATGGGATTCATGTCTTTTTTTAATCGCGTTATGGATACGTAAACGTGTTCGAAAGTAGAATCTAAAGACCCGAACGATGCATAAAAAAAAATGTTAATTAAGAAGGTACATGTACTTAACAAACTAATTAGATTGATTTGGAATAATCTCTATAGCATACTTTTGCCCGTCGAAAGTATTATTAAAAAAAAACACGAAACTAAGGAAAAATGGGTCTTTTGAAAAATTAAAAATCGAAGAAAGAAAAATTAATTAAAAAGTACAGAATCGAAGGGAAATGAAAAAAAATTTGTGAGTGGGAGTGAGTAAGATCTTGCCCCCTTAAATAATCTTCGAGGCTCCTCTATTACTTGCCTTTATCTGAAAGTGATTTCGCAATTAATGCTCTTCTTTCCGACCGATTTAAACCAAGATTTAGATTTGGGCGTTCTTTTATCCCGAGCTAGATATAGATTCGGGATTTAGCACTTTCAACAACATGGTACCGGATGGGGACCCCTAACCTAGACGGGTATCGCTTCTTGGCAAAGCCGTAGCATCCGGAGAGAGAAATCTCGGCGTGCTCATCACCGATGACGACACGAGATCCGGCGATCGATCGCCATCGCGCTTCGATGCCGAGGCGAATCCATCCTTACGGAAACGAACGGGTGTCTGCAAGCTAGCTGTACCTGAGTTGTGTCGCTTTTTCAGATTAACTTGCTTCGCGGGATTTGCATATTTATTTTTCCTTTCCGACCAAGGAAGGGGGGAAAAATAAAATAAATAAATATATTCCACAGAAATTGCAAAATTTCGGAATGTTAAAATTGACGTTGACGACGTGTGAAAACGATTCCCTCCTTCCCTCCTGTGCGCATAAAATTCCTTTGCTTTCCTCCTTCCCCCTTTCTTCTCCCCGGACCTCCTGAGCTGGGACGACCGGCGGCGTTGGCACGCCTTCCTCCTGCTTCTCTACGCCGTCTCTGGTTTATGAGGTAATCGGTGGACAGCCCCTCCTCCTCCTCCTCCTCCTCCTTCTTCCCCCTTCAGCTTCTCCCCGTGGTTTTTGGGCCCTCTCGATTTCCCTTGCCTCCCCCCGCCCCGCACACGGTGCAGCGGCAGATCTGCTGCGACTTGTGAGGTTCTTCACGACGTGGGTTCCCGAGATCCACGCCTTTCCTTTTTGCTGTTGCTCGCGTGGGTGTCGTGGGAAAGTGTGGTGGTGCGGGTGGAGGGTCGGTGATGGTTTCGCTCTTCGATGGGTCTTTTTTTTTTTTTTTTCTCTTTTTACTGATTTGCATCTGGTTTAAGTTGCGCCCGTGACGGAGCAAAAGGTTGGATTTTTGGTTGTGGGTCGAGAACGTGGTGGAGTGATCGCTCGACCCACTTCACACTTGGACATGATATGTAGAGCCGAAAGAATAATCAGGACATAGGAAATCGGCTGCGTAGGTATGTACGTCATTCGTTCGGCCAATTGACAATCAGGAGACGGATGGTGTACATGTCTTGTTCGGTTGCTGTTGGTAGTGGCGGCCGGCGAGGTTTTCTGAAATTGTGATGTGGCTTGATCCATTGAAGTTAGTCTGTAAGAGATTTTCCTGTGCAAATGAACTCTACCCCCTCGATAAGATCAAATGGTCTTTGAAACTGTGATTGGTTCGATCTATTAGAATGAGCCTACCCAACCTCTTCTCTGCTATGAAGTACCGTTTCAATTAGATCAAATCCGTAGCCAATTGCTAGTGCTTACTATAGTTTCTTTGCTGATCCATTATGCTAATATTGTAGGTACTCATAAATACTTCTTCCGCTGTCTTTTTTCTGTTCTGTTGGTGCTCCCGAAGTTTACTTGCCTTTTTACCGAATAGTGGTATTAAGATCTGCTCATGTCGTTAGCGTATTTGGGATCACCTTCTTTTGACAGTTCTTCTGTCCTGTCTAAAGTTTCTAACTTAACAATCAGCACTGTCTAGTCTCAACATAGTTCTTCTGTCCTGTCTCAATTGATATGCCTTGTCAAAAATTAAATTGCGAGGTGTTCTCATCTCAGAAGCTGTTTCTTTTCTGCGAGAGAGAGAGAGAGAGAGAGAGAGAGAGAGAGAGAGAGAGAGAGAGAGAGAGAGAGAGAGAGAGAGAGAGAGAGAGAGAGAGAGAGAGAGAGGAAAGGGATTTGGGATTACTCTACTTGAGTGATGGAACACAAATTCCAGAGCAGCGACAGACTTGTCATTCGAGTTCTTCAAGAAGCGACAGAATTGTCTTTCTGCTGGAATGGTCATTCCAGTTTTTCAAACCTGTCTAACCAGCGGAAACGGAATTAGTATAGGAGTTATGATTCCGTTTCCAGCCAATTCTGCACACCAAACATGCTGTTACAAACAATGTCGAGTAGGAAGAAACTCATTCTTCAACTCTCAGTGGAAGTACTTGCGCTGCCATTTTCATGAATTGTTGAAGAACAGTCATGGTTGGAGGAGTTATGCAACTAATTTCTGGTATATAATTGTGAAAGGGGGAGGCTATGAGTTTCAAAGTTCAAACCAATAACTGTCTACTTTTAAGTAGGTCTTTTCAGTCTTGTTTTTATATTTTGATTATCTCTACAAGTGGACATAAGATGAGATAGTTCTGCTCTGTTTCATCGCATAACATATTTGCTGGCGCAGAAATTAATTTTAGTCCTTGTTTCACCCCTTTTCCAAATCTTGAGAAAGAAACTCGCAACCATGAGGGAGACGCAGTTTTCATTATATTTTGGTTGGGGTGGGGGGAGAGTGAATATAGTTTGCATATACTTTAACGACTTGTATGAGAGGTTTTGTTTTCCTCAAATTCCTTCTTTCCACTTTTTATCTTTCAATTGCATAGAGCTGTCTTTTAGTTTTTCAAGTCCATACAGGTGCTTGGAATAGGATGGCATTGGTCACCACTGCTGAAGTTTGTGATGCAAACCCCCAACTGATTGGGAGCGGTGAACTTCGGGCACTGCAACCTATTTTTCAGATCTATGGAAGTCGCCCAGTCTTCTCTGGACCAGTAGTCACACTTAAGGTCTTTGAGGACAATGTTTTGATTCGTGAGTTTCTAGAAGAAAAGGGCAACGGCAGAGTTCTTGTTGTTGATGGCGGCGGGAGCTTACGGTGTGCTATTCTTGGGGGAAATCCTGTTGTTCAGGCTCAAAATAATGGTTGGGCTGGCATAGTTGTGAATGGCTGCGTCAGAGATGTCGATGAGATCAACGGTTGCGATATTGGGGTGAGGGCATTGGCATCCCATCCAATGAAAGCCAATAAGAAGGGTATAGGCGAAAAGCATGTTCCCATAACTGTTGCTGGAACAAGGATCTCCGACGGGGAATGGCTTTATGCCGACACTGATGGAATCCTGATCTCCAGAACAGAACTTTGTGTTTAGTTTAAGCTAAGCACAAATTGGATCACAGGATGATTACTCTGGCGGGGATTTGTGACTTGGTTCGTGACCTTAATCGAAACATAAACAAAGCTAGCTTTGTTAGTTTCGAGCTGCGGACATTGAGCCATCCTTTCCCGTCTCTCTGTTGTATTTGAATCTTGCGTAGATATTCCTGTCAAATGCTATCGTATCGTATCGTATCGTGTTGTATGCACTTTTAAAATGCTTCGAGTTTCTTTCCCATTCTGCATGATGATTGAACTTGATGGTTTCGGTTATAAGTCCCTGAAATGAAGGTATATGACAGATGGAATTTGCAATTCCAAATGAAGGGCTTACTCACATTTACACGTTCTCAGGTTACCCAATGGAATGATCATCAGGGTCCACTGCTCTGTTTCTCAGGTTACTCCAATTTTATGCTTGCTATTACCAGGGAAATACCCTGGACTTAGATAACTTCCTCTCTTAATTCCCTCCTCAGGTAGTTAATGGAGGGGAGACATGAGAGTGAACTGAACCTTGTCGATGGAGTGTATCATACTCTCAATCGATTCAGTTCGGCTCTTAAGTCCACATGTGTTGAGCCCAAACGAATGCATTGTGCGCTTTGTAGTCCGTTTACAGAACATTGCACATCCCCATGGTATAAATGAATTAAACCCTACTCTCTTGCGAGATTAGATCGATGAACAAATGCGTCGGTGTAGATAGAGAAGCTCTTTTTGGCTCGTCTTTGCAGTTCACATGGGATAGATCACATCGAGCACACCACAAAAGTTAGATTTGAGGTTTGCATGAGCGTGAACTCGTGTGTGGTTATTTTGAGAGAGAGACCTCTTGAAGGAAAAAACATAAAATAAATAAAATGACGATTGTGAAATTTGGACCGGCAGGGTTATTTTATTTTACTGGGGCTAAGTATATTCGAAAGTCTAAAATTTATTATAAAAGTGCAATTGAGTCCTAAAACTTGTCACATGAGTATAATTGAGCCCTGAAATTTTCAAAAATTTCAATCAAATCATAAAACTTATCAAACTGATGTAATCGAGTCCTTCCGTTGCTTGAATTTTTTAAAAGTTTTAGAATTTGATTACATTTTCTAAAAATTTTAAGACTCAATTATATTTTCGAGATAAATTTTAGCACTTAATTGCACCTGCTCTTTGAAAGTTTTAAGACTCAAGTCACTTTCACCATAAGTTTTGTAACTTCCGGCGCCCTTATCCCTATCTGTTTTTTTTTTTTTAGTACCATCCTCGAACGAGGTTTTCTTGTCGATACACAGAACTTAACAGTTCGGATTCCCAGGAAGAACTGAGAAATGTGAACAGGAGGATGCTCTGCCCGGACGACTTCCCTCGTCCGCGTCTTGTCTCCGCCTCTCTTGGGTTTCCGCTCTCAGCCCAGTTCGATTGCGCCCCGCCGACTGTGAGTTGATCCCGCCTTTTGCTTCTTCAGTTTAATCCTCCGCCCACACGCCGAATTCATCTCGCTAGACCCTCTCTGATGCATACGTGATTGAGCTGGTTCCGATTCCGTGTCATCGTATCGAGATCGGAGCGTACTTTTCGGTTGATTCATCGCGTCGGGATGGAACCAAGGCGCGATTTTGATGAGGAAGACGGAATCAGCAGGAGGAACAGGGCAAAGGGTGTTGTTGCGAAAGACGAGCAAGGAGTGGACAGGATCAAGGATTTGCCGGATTCCATCTTGATTCACATCCTCTCGCTTCTGCCCGCTAGGGACGCCGTGAGGACCCTCATCATCCCTAGCTTCGGTCGCCTCTGGACTTCGATTTACAACCTGGACTTCGATTGGTGCCTGGACCACGATTGCTCGAACAGTTCGCCCTGGCACTGCAGTTACGACGAGGGCACCCTGTTGAGGTTCGCGGAGTTTGTTCGCCGCGTGGTCGCGCTCCACCAGGGCCCCAGGATTCGTAAGTTCCGCCTTCATTTCGAGTTCTCGATAGACCACCAATTGGATGAACTCATGTCCCTCGAGCTCGAGCCCGAGGAGCTAGCGATCATGATTAGGACTGGGGGATTGGCAGGTGAGGTCAATCGGTGGATCGAATTCGCGGTGAATAGAAAGGCTGAGACCCTTGATTTGGATTTTCTGGCGTGCGGCTATCCAAACGTGGGGTATAAGTATGAATTGCCTGACTTTGTTCTCCAGAGCAGCTTCTTAACTGAATTGAAGTTGGTGAGCTGCAAGGTGAATTTATCTACAAATATTGTCATGAGAGCGCTTAAAGTGTTGTATCTTAAGGAAATTGCGCTGAACGATGATTCGACCAAGAACTTCATAGACGGGTGTCCAGTGCTCGAGAGTTTGACCGTACTGGATTGTTATGGCCTGTGTGAACTAAATTGTGTATCCCAGAAACTAAGGAGTGTGACGGTCGCTCCGGGTATTCTTGAGGAGTCGAGAGTTAAAGTTGCCTGTCCAAATATCGAATCACTAAGCATCTCTGGATGGATTGAGCGTCTGGAACTAGAGAACCTGTCATCTCTACGAGATGCATCCGTTGATTTCTCTGATTGTTTCTTCTGTGTACCTGATGAGTATTGTGAGGTCCGAAAGATTCTAGAGGAGCTCCATCAAGTGAGAGTACTTACGATGCATCATCACCCAATTCTGGTGAGTTGATCTTCAATTCCTTATTTCTGACCTTCCCACTTTAACGTGGATTCTTGAGGTAATCATGTAAGTGAGGAAGCGAATTAGTAAATATGATTTTCTAAGCAGGGAAGGTATGGTTCTTAGATTGGTGGACAGTCAAAACATGCCGGTGTCCTGTGCCATTATAAGCACTTCCGCATTATTCTCTTCCCTGCCGCAGTTTGTGATCAGCTTGAGAGTATCATCTCAGTAATTGCTTGTGATTTCTGCGAGAGGAATTTCATGGACTCGTTCAGATGATTATACGTCTTTCATTTGATGCGTCATGATTATTCATTTTGTTCTACTAATTGATGACTTGTAATTCTGGAATAAAATCAGGTTCTCACGGTATGGGAGTTGATGAACTTGCCTTGCCCGTCTAACAGTTGGCAGCGCTTGATTCTTAGGACAATGCTTACCAAATGGCACCTTCCCGGAATTGCCAATGTATTGAGAAGCTCCCCTAGCTTGGAAGTGCTAGATATACACATCATCCCGGGGGAAAAGACTTCCATTGCTGTAAGTACATCTATCCCCATTTGAAGCTGTGCCCTACATGCTATTCTAGGGGTGTGCAAAATTTCGTGTAACTGTCTGCTCTGATTTTCTAGGCACAAGAAGCATGGCATCATTTGTACGAGATTTGTGAGGGGAACTACTGGGATTTACAAGATCGCTCTTTTGGATGTCTTGCAGACTGCCTTAGAATCGTCAGAGTGTCTGGCGACATAACAAAGGATCATGTGATTCAATTAGTGCGGTTTTTACTCCGTAAGGCATTAGTTTTACAGAAGCTTGTCATCTCTTCAGGGCCGAATGATTCTTCCATTTCAGTTGAGGAGTCGAAGGAATATTCTGACAAGTTGTCGAGTTTTCCGAGAGGTTCTCCTCAAGCTGTAGTTGTGTTTTCTAATGAAGGACGTTCTTTCCCTGAAAGCTAAGTTTTAATCCAGGGTCAATAAGAAGCGCCACCTACCGCAAGGTGGATTGTTACAGTCCTGATCAACCAGATTTTGTGGTTATGAAGCATATCTGATCAAGCTTTCTGAAGTGTTAGTTTTTTGGGTTTACAGTTCTTCCTTCTGATTTCCTTTTCTCTCCGGCAATGGGTTTTACCTTTTGAAGATGCATCGGCATCGGGATCGCCTGAGGAGGAGGCTGCTTGTAAAAACTATTTCTCTGTCAATATGCTTGGCAGGCCAACCTGTTTTTGAAGCGGAGGATTTTGGAGCGACCACTTTTAACATTGTAAGTATATTCAATATCTTGAGCTCACTCACAAAACCATAAATGTGAATAAATTTCATCCAATGTCTCTCTCCATGGCAAATCTAGGTGAATTATGAAAGCTCAACATAAGCAATACGTTCGGTCTTTAAATTATAACCTAAATATACTTATAATGTCTTTGATCTCATCTAATAATGTGAACATACCAGCCCACTTGATCATACAACCATAGTAGGGATGGACTGGATCACCTGATTGAGTTCATCCACTGCAAACTCGATTACCTATAAATGTCATACTTCTTAGGTTAGTCATGAAGTAATCGGTGAAGTGTTGGGTATCTACCACATAATAGATTCATCTAAGTATCAGATTAGTTCCGTAGTATATATAGTTTGTGCGCACTTTATTATTCCAAATCAATCTCTTCACACCGACTAATCAACCGTGCACAACATGGGAATTAGCACTAGTGTTGCTAGATGCTTGCATGATTACATCCAAGAGAAAACTTACAAGTCTTGCACTTAGGTTTTTTAAATTTGAGAGCACAAGTTTGCTAGAATATAGGCTCGGATGCTACAATATTTCAACATGCATATTGAAATAATATACACTTTGAACGGATGTGTAATTTGTTTGGCTTTTGAGCGACACTACAAATCGATATTAATATACACTTTTGACCCCCTTCCCCTACAGAGGCAAACAATGCACAACAGTTACATGATGCTTCCAAGTGAGAAATCAATTGAATCGTAGTGTGCGTTTGTTTCGCGGAAAATGAATAATTTGAAAAATAATTTTCTAAGAATGATTATTTGTATTACTTATAAAAATGAATAAACGAGAAATATTTTCTCTGTCCACGAAAATGTTTAAATATAAACTGTTGTCGATATTGAAAATATTTTTAATTGACTAATTATTTCAAGCGATATAAGCAATTATTTCTAGGAAATTTTTTTTTTAAATCATTCATTTTTCGCTCCTAATTGGCACGCGAAACTTCGAAAAGTAAAAACCTCATGATTGTTGAAGGCCACATGGCACTGCGCTTCCCTTATTGAACCTTTCTTGTTATAATTTTTTTGTTCTTTGTGCTAAATTATGCAATACACGAAGTACAAATTAGTAGGGTGAAAGAAACGAATGCCCAAAACCTGCCCGACCCGACCCGACCCGAAATTCCTTGTCCTTCAAAACATATGAACATTTCTGATTCTTCTACTCAGATGTCATCTTCCCTTGGTCCATTCAAGCTTTAACATGTCCTTATTCTATACCTCGTTCACTTTTTATGCTCATGTCCATTCACTCTCGGCAGGGGCAGAGCACTGCTCGGGTTTTAAACGTTTCCTGTGAGGACTCCATTTTCATATGGACACGTGCATCTATCAACTAGTGTGATGCTATCACTGCACGCACAATTAGCATTTGATGGCCTTGTCATCCTTCAAATAACAAAGGTTAGTTCCTGCAACAACCAGGTGATTTGAGGGTAGCGTGAGGATGACCTCGTGCAGGGTCATCCTGAGTGAAAGAGAGAGAGAGAGAGAGAGAGACAGAGGGAGCTATCGCATGATGGAACTTGTTGCATAAGTCTCGAGAGGCGAGGCATGCGTCACCTGTGCCGCCCTCGAGCACGAAAACCACATTTGATATGTTGATAGTCGGTTTTTTTATTTGATAAGATCAGCATGCTTCCAAAGGCGGCACCAAAGGCTTTCGTCCTTGCTGATGTGCCCATTCGAATCCACATAGAGCTCGGTGTTAAGTACGGTTTGGTTATCGGCAAGTTATCGATAATGGAGACATTTGTCGAGAACCATGATAATTATCAATGGCCGAAGTGTACAGCTATCGACATACGATGACGATTGATCATCGGTAGGGCCGTCAAATGGGTGGGTCGGGTCGGGTTTGGGTCGGATCCGAAATGCTCTGACCCATATTGACCCATTTTCATGCAATGCGAAATTAGTGACCCACATCCAACCAAACTCATATCCAACCCATATCTGACCCAACCCACATTACCAAAATAAACTAATATACAACCAAATTTAGGAAAATTCATACCCATTTATTTAACCAACTTTAAGCTCTTTACGTGTATATGTTATTTGGATAAAAACTTCACATTAAATCAAAAAAAATTTAAAAAATAAATAAAATAAAAACGTAAAAAACATACAATTTGAAAATTGGCAAATTAAAGCAAAACGAAAAATTGAAATGGCCTTTTATTAATCTTATGGTGTGGCAAAAAGAATTCCAAAATACTAATATAAAATTATAAAAGTTAAAAAGTTAATTTCCAAAAAACAGGGGAAAAAAGGAAATTTTAAAACACAAGAAGACAAAACCACGGCGAGGAACTGCAATTGTTGTGGAGATTGCAAAGTGTCGTCTTCTTCCCCAACTAGCATATGCACGCCACTTCTTCCGCATGGCCTTTGGTCACTTTGCCACGCCAAGACTACCCTTGCCGCACTGCAACCCTCATCTGGCCGTCGCCTTCTTCAACCCGAGTTCTTCGAAAAACCAAGCACAACGCCGTAGCCGAAGCAGGTGGAGGTCCTCCACCTCAAACCGGAGGTTGCGAACCTCTATCTTCGCTGATTTGGAGGTCCAGGACATTCAATTCGAGGCCGCAGATTTGTTCGGCGGCATCAGATCTGAGAGATTTTGACTCTCGGATAGAGAGAGTGATCTGAAACTGAGAACAGAGGATGATCGCGGTGCTCAGGGGACGAGCAATGGCGGCAACGAGCGGTGGAGGACATTGACGATGTGCGAGCGGCGAGCGCGACCGAGGCGATGGCGGTTTTTGGCCCTGTTTGGTTCAGCTTTGAGAAGAAGCTTTTGGCCTCGAAAGCCCCTTCTCAAAATGCTGAACCGTTTCGTTTAGCTTTTCGAGTCCGAAAAGTTGAAAGCTAGTATTTGGAATGCCGAAGCCTTTTTTTCTCTTTCCAAATTGCCCTCACTCAAATTTCAATATTCCGATTTTGCCCCTGTTACTATTCATCTTCTTCACCGTGAGGGTGGCCGACGAAGGGCCGGCGAGGACGGATCTGGCCGGCGAGGGCGGATTTGGCCGGCGAAGGGCCGGCGAGGTCGCCCGACCCAGGCAAAGGCCACCTGGGGTCGGGCGATCGCGACCTAGGCCGACGTCGCCTGAGGTCGTGCGACCCAGGCAACCTTCGCCTGGGGTCGGGCGACCGCCCAGGCGCCGTCGCCTGGGTCGCACGAGCTCAGGCGACGGCCGCTTGGGTCGCGTGACCCAGGTGACGGCGCCTGGGCGGTCGCCCCACCCCAGGTGGCTTTCGCTTGGGTCGGGCGACCTTGCCGGCCAGATCCGCCCTCGCCGGCCCTTTGCCGGCTAGATCCGCCCTCGCCGGTCACATTTTGGTGAAGAAGATGAACAGTAATAAGGGCAAAACAGGAATATTAAAAATAAAAATTGCCAAAGCTCTTTGCAAAAAAAAATTTGCCAAACATTACTTAGGCCAAAATAGTTTTACAAATTTTTTTTTACCAAACGCCACTTGCATTTTTTCAAGTGGCTTTCACCTAAAGGTATTTGCATTCCCCCAAGTAGCATTTGAAAAGCCGAACCAAACGGGCCCTTCGAGGGATGAGGGTCTTGGAAGGACGACGGCGGCGGCGAGTAGTGTCCTTTGCTTGGAGCTTGTCAGGTTACATTTTGGGTTTAACTTAAAAACTTAAATGGGTTGAATATGGGTATAAATTTGGATTTTAATATTTCAAACTCATTTTGACTTATTTTTTAAATTTTAAGTAATCCATATTCGACCTGATCCACTAAAACTGAGTTAAAAAATGGGTGGCTGACCCATATTGCCACCTCCAATAATCGGTAAACATATTAGCAGGTTTCGGTAAGTGTTGAATACTAAGGAAGTGAAGAAAGGAACAAAGTGAAGACGTGCACTGTGGCATTCGAAGGGAATTAACCACTTGCGCATAAGGCTGACGTGTGGTTATGGGACCTAAAGTCAAGAGATTACAGTTGTAACCGTTTGTAACTATATGTAGAATATAAAAATTAATTGTGTATAATAAGGGATCCCAATATGAATTTATGTCTTTTCTTAGTTTTCGTTTATCAATATATTTTCGTTTCGAGCACTTGAATTTCTTTTCCTTTAGATTTAGTTGTTCTCGATCCTTGTTTCGCAATTCAATTGCCGTCCAAATCGCCACCAAGCCCGATTCACAAAAACCCAAAGATCAACCTTTGGCGATAGATATTTCACTAATTGCTAGGGAAGCAAGCAGTCTTTTATATCTCAATAAGGAATAAACTAATTGGAGTATTTTATTTTTATTGTCTAGACGCCGTTTTGTTCTATCACGATATTATCGAGGTAAGAGGTCTTTTGATGGTCTCAAGAAATTTAAACAATGGGAATTGCCTACAATTTCGTTGGCCGTACCATTATTTAGATGGGTTAAGACCACTAAATAGTAAATACCAAATTGCTACACTTACGATAAATTTACCCAAAACTAACTTTTTAACTGCAAAAAATCCTAAACTGGTACCTCTATGATAAATATGGCCAAAACTAATTTTTTGACAACAAAAAATCATAAACTAGTATATTTGTGATAAATTTATTCTTCGTTAGTCTCCATTAAATTGGATTAATACCTAAAAAAATCCCATCAATTGCCGTGTGTCATTTAGCAAAGCAATTTAACAGTAAAATTTAAAGAAAACTAACGGATGGTAAATTTGCCATAGATGTATCAGTTTTAGGTTTTTTATGATCAAAAAATTAGTTTGGAGTAAATTTATCACAAATATACTAATTTGAAGTTTTTCGTGGTATTACCCTTATTTAATTTAGATCGATCATTTGTATCGTTGGATGAGAAATTGACAAAGGGAGAGTACCATGATAAAAACACATTCATTGATCGCCGACGGCGAACACGACAAAATTCTTAGCGAGGGAAGTAGAGAGAGTAGGAAACGTGTGGACAGGACGATGCTTCGCTTGTTTCTATTTTCCGGTACCATCCTCAGGATGTCGGTCTCAAAACTCACGGTTAAAGATTACCAGGAAGAGTTGAGAAATGTGAACAGGCCGATGCTCTGCCCCCGGCTTCCGTCGCCTGTGGTTGTTCCCGCCTCTCCTGGGTCTTCCCTGTCAGCTCAGTTGGATTGCGGCAGCACCGACCGAACTATGAGTCAATCTCGGTAGACCCTTTAATGCATACGTGATTAAGCTGGTTCCAGTTCTGCCCGATCGCTTCGAAACTGGAACGTACTGTTCGGTTCGTTCATCGGGTCGGGGATGGAGCGAAGTTGTGATTTTGATGAGGAATATGGAGTCGGTAGGAGGAACGAGGCAAAGGGTGTTGTTGCGAGAGACGAGCAAGAAGTGGACAGGATCGAGGATTTGCCGGATTCCATATTGATTCACATCCTCTCGCTTCTACCCACTAGGGACGCTGTGAGGACCCTCGTCATCCGTAGCTTTCGTCGCCTCTGGACCTCGGTTTACAATCTGGACTTCGATTGGTGCCTGTACCACGATTGCTCGAACAATTCGTCCTTGCGCTACTACCAAGAGAGCAGCCTGTTGAGGCTTGCGGAGCTCGTTCGCCACGTGCTCGCGCTTCACCAAGGTCCCAGGATTCGTGAATTCCGCCTTCATTTCGAGTTTTCCATATACCACCCATTGGATGAGCTGATGTTTCTTGAGCCCGAGAAGCAGGACATCACGATTAGGACTGGGGGATATGCAGGTGAGGTCAATCGTTGGATCGAATTTGCAGTGAATAAGAATGCTGAGATCCTTGACTTGGATTTTATGGCATGCGGCTTTCTCAACGCGACTAAATATGAATTGCCTGGTTTTGTTCTCCAGAGCAGCTTCTTAACTGAATTGAAGTTGGTGAGCTGCAAAGTGAATTTCTCTACAAAAATTGTCATGAGGGCGCTTAAAGTGTTGTATCTTAAGGAAATTGCGTTGAATGATGTTCCGATCAAGAATTTTATAGATGGGTGTCCAGTGCTCGAGAGCTTGACTGTACTGGATTGTTACGGTCTGCGTGAACTGAATTGTGCTTCCCAGGAACTTAGGATTTTGACGGTCGCTCCACGTTTTGCTATTGAGCCGAGAGTTAAAGTCGCCTGTCCAAATATCAAGTCACTGAGCATCTCTGGATGGCTTGAGCTTCTGGAACTAGAGAACCTACCATCTCTACGAGATGCATCCGTTGATTGCCATGACTGTTTCAGGCATATACCTTTTGAATATTGTGAGGTCCAAAAGATTCTGGAGAAGCTTCATCAGGTGAAAGTACTTACAATGCATCACCCACCGATTCTTGTGAGTTGACCTTCCTTTCCTCGTTTGTATAAAAAAGGATCTGTTTGTAAATCAAAATTTTGTTCTCCTCTGGAGTTCACGCTAGTTGTCGCCTTCTCTCTCTCTCTCTTCTTTTCCATTTTTTTACTGGGAGGGTGGAGGTAGTAAGGTTCCTTCAAGCAATGCCAAGAATTATGGCTGTGCTTTTCGTGGTCTCATCCATGGTGTGGCCTTTTTCTTCTTGGCAGAATCAATGTAGCTATCGCTTGTCGATGGCTGTCAACCTTATTCAGACTGTGCTGGTACATTTATGAGCATTACCTTGGATTTGGGGATGGTGCTACTTCTTTGAAGTTAAAGTTTGAACTAAAAAGCATAGCTTGAATGATACATGCAGCAGCTATTGGCTGCTCTATTCTTCTTTGATGCAAAGAAAGCAAACTTGCTGTTGCTGATGTTGTAACTGAAGTTCGTTCCTTGTGGTTTTTAGAACACTGGATAATGCCACTTTAACATGGATTCTTGATGTAATCATGTACGTGAGGAAACAAATTAGTAATATGTGATATTCTAAGCAGGGAAGCTATCGTTCTTAAATTGGTGAAGAGTCAAAAGATGCTGGTGTCCTGTCCAATTTCTGAGCAGTTCCACACTGTTCTCTTCCTTGCTGAAGTATGTGATAAGCCTCAGAGTAGCATCTCAGTAATTGCTTGTCATATCTGCAAGAGAATTTTTGCGGATTAATTTGGATGATTTTTACATCTTTTATGTCATCGTTACTGTGCCATGATTATTCATTTCGTTTACTAGGTACTGACTTGTGATTTTGGATAAAATCAGGTTCTCACGGTATGGGAGTTGACAAATTTGCCTTGCCCATCCAACAGTTGGCAGCGCTTGATTCTTAGGACAATGCTAACCAAGTGGCATCTCCCAGGAATTGCCAATGTTTTGAGAAGCTCTCCTAGCTTGGAAATGCTGGATATACACATCATCCCGGGTGAAGCGCCTTCCATTACTGTAAGTATATTTATCCCCATTTGAAGCTATTCTAGGTATATGCAAAATTTTGTATAACTGTCTGCTCTAATTTTCTAGGCCCAAGAAGCATGGCTGCATTTGTACAAGATTCGTGAAGGGAACTACTGGGATTTACAAGATCGCTCTTTTGGATGTCTTACAGACTGCCTCAGAATTGTCAAAATATCCGGCGACATAACGAAGGATCATGCAATTCAATTAGTGCAGTTTTTACTTCGTAGGGCATTGGTTTTACAGAAGCTTGTCATCTCCGCGGGGCTGAATGATTGTTCTATCTCAGTCGAGGAATGGAAGGAATATTCCGACAAGTTGTTGAGTTTTCCGAGAGGTTCTCCTCAAGCTGCGGTTTCGTTTTCTGATGAATGACGTTCTTTCCTGAATGCTAAGATTAACCGGGGGTTAGTTAATAAGAAGCGGCACCGACGGCAAGGTTGATCGATAAAGTCCTGATCAACCAGAATTTGTAAATTATCGAGCATATCTTATCAAGCTCTCCGCAGTGTAGTTTTTTTCAGTTTACCGTTCTTCGTTCCAAATTTCCTTTTCTTTCCAGCAACGAGTTTCACCTTTTGAAGATGCGTTGACGTCGGGATTGCCTGAAGCGGAGGCTGCTTCTGCCAATATACTTCGGCGGGCCAACGTGACCTCTTATTACTATGAGGACAAATGGGGACGTTATGCGCATTTCAATGCCGATAAGTGCATTTTTCTACCAGCAGATGATCAAAGTATATGCTTCCTATATGTACAGATGGGACCTGTGCCTGAAAAGATGGTTTGTATATCTTTGAAGGAGTAACCTGATGTGATTGTTGATACAGTAAAAATGCAGAAGATGGCTGTGCTTTGCAAGCACCAAAAAGAAACCCAGAAAGGAGAGACACACTGGTTGAAGATGCTTACTGCATTCGTCTATATAATTGAAATTAACAACTTAGCCGTTTTATAGGCTGTACATCAACAGAAGAGACCCCAACAAAAATAGCAACTACTTTGATTCAAAATGGTGAACGTGTGCAGCAACATGTTGCCAACTAAGTCCTGAAAACTAGGACCCACTAAGTAACAGAAACACACGACTAGCTATTAATTGAAAAACATAAAAAACAACTTTGACTCTTTCTAACATGCCCTCCCTTAAACTGATACTACAAGTGATCAATTTAAATGTGTAGAAATAAACTCTCCTTTAATCTGAGGCATCCATCGAGCAAACTCCAAGGAGCTTCCTTAACTTCTGAAATGTGGCCATTTTAAGAGGTTTTGTGAACAAATCAGCAACTTGATCTTCACTTCTGCAGAAAACAAGATCAATCACACCATCTTTTGTAAGATCCCTCAAGAAATGATACTTCACATCTATATGCTTGCTTCTCCCATGTAGAACTGGATTCTTTGACAATTTGATGGCTGAATTATTGTCACGAAAACTGTCGTTGCTTCTTCTAGTTTAAACCGAAGTTCTCCAAGAATCTTCCTTAACCAAATAGCTTGACAAGCACTCGAGGTGGCAGCCACAAACTCAGCCTCAGTGGTCGAAAGAGTAACAATTGGTTGCTTCTTTGAACACCATGAGACAGCCCCTGAACCAAGCATAAACACATAACCAGAAGTGCTTTTTCGGTCATCCATATCACCAGCGTAATCACTATCAGTAAAACCAAGCAAATCTGATCTTTCTCCTTTCTTGTAAAATAACCCAAGAGATGATGTCCCTTTCAAATAGCGTAAAATACGCTTTGTAGCCTCAAGGTGTTTTTCGGTGGGACTCTCCATGTATCTACTGATGAGACTAACACCATACATGATGTCAGGCCTTGTTGCTGTTAAGTACATGAGACTTCCCACAATTTACTTGTACATAGTGCTATTCACTTTCCTTCCACCGGGATCCTTGGTGAGCTTTAATCCAACCTCTATCGGTGTGGCAACTGAATTGCAATCCTTCAACTGAAACTTCTCTAAAATCTCCTGCACATATTTCTTTTGGCAAACAAATGTACCAGCTGCAGATTGATTAACTTCAATGCCTAAGAAATAGTGCATTAACCCAAGATCTGTCATCTCAAATTCATGCATCATGGATTGCTTAAATGTCTCCATCATGGCACCATTATTCCCTGTGTAGATGAGATCATCTACATACAAGCATACAAGAAGTAGTTTTCCACCATGATCAACCTTAATAAACAAAGTATGTTCATAAGGACACTTCGTAAAGCTTTCCTTCAAAAAATAAGCTTCAATCCTACTGTACCAAGCTCGAGGAGCTTGCTTTAATCCATATAAAGCCTTCTTTAATTTGTATACTTTATTCTCACAACCAGGCTTCACATATCCAGGAGGTTGGTCAATGAATACCTGTTCTTGGAGATCACCATGTAAAAAGGCAGACTTGACATCTAACTGATGGATAGACCACGATTTCTGAGCTGCTAGCGCAATCACCAATCGAATTGTGTCAAGTCTCGCAACTGGCGTGAACACCTCTTTGTAATCCACTCCGTATTCTTGCCTATAGCCTTTTGCCACCAAACGCGCCTTGTATTTGTCAATGCCACCATCCTTGTTCAGCTTTGTCTTGAAGACCCACTTGACACCAATAGTCTTGTGGCCTTTGGGAAGATTTGTTAAGTCCCAAGTATTGTTTTTCTCAATTGCTTTAATTTCAGCATCCATTGCATCTCTCCACTTTTGATGTTTTACTGCTTCATCAAAAGTAGTTGGATCACTATCTGCAAACAAAGCAAAGTGAGTTAACGGATCTTCACCTTGATCAACTCCAGACACCTCATAATCTCTCATCCATGTTGGCCTTTGTCGGTGACGTTGGGGGCGTTCATCATGTGTTGCAGCAATATCTGAATTGGGCTGCTGCTCCTCCGTTTCAATAGGGTCAGAACTGTTGCGAGCTGAGACCAAATTGTGTTGTTGGTCTTCCTCGCCAATCTCTTCAAAATTAGCTACAATTGGTGCAGCCCCTTCAGCTTGATCATTCCAAAGCCAGAAATTTTCTTCGTCAAATACTACATCACGGCTGATTATAATCTTCTTGGTCACAGGATCATAGAGTTTGTAAGCTTTTGTTTGATCACTTACACCAAGAAAGGTGCATTTTACTCCTTTATCGTCAAGCTTTTTCCTTTTTTGATCTGGAACGCGGGCATATGTTATACACCCGAAAATTTTGAAGTAATCAATCGTCGGCCTTCATCCATTCCAAGCTTCTTCAGGAGTCATATTCAGAACAGCAAGTGTGGGACTTCTGTTCAAGAGATGAACACTCCAATTTACAGCCTCTGGCCAAAACTTCTTCGGAATTCCACTACTTCGCAATAGACTTCGCACCATGTTGAGGATGGTTCGATTCTTCCTCTCACATACACCATTTTGTTGTGGTGTATAGGCTGCAGTAAGTTGCCTACGAATTCCATGCTTCATACAAAAATCATCAAACTCAAGAGACTTGTACTCTCCTCCACGATCAGTTCGAAGAACTTTGATTGGATTGCCACTTTCTTTTTCGACAAGACTCTTGAAATTCTTAAATGCTTCAAAAGCTTCAGATTTTTCATGCAAGAAATACACCCACACCTTTCGACTAAAATCATCAATGAATGTGATCAGATATCGTTTACCTCCATTAGAAACAGGTGAAATTGGACCGCAAAGATCTGAATGAACCAGCTCAAGCTGCTTTTTTGCCCTCCACGCCTTGCCTTGTGGAAACTGAGCTCGATGTTGTTTACTGACAACACAATCCTCGCAAACTTCTGATGGGATTTTGATAGCAGGGAGTCCCTCCACCATTTGCTTTTGGTGTAGTGTCCGCAAACCACCAAAATTAAGATGCCCATATCTAAAATGCCATATCCATGCTTCCTCTTTTAATTTTGCCACGTAACAAGCATGATCAGAATCATGAAGGTAAAGAGGAAACATTCTATTTGATGTCATATCAACTTGAACAAGCAAGTTCTGCTGCTGATCATAAATTTTGCAAACTCCACCTCTAAATACAATTTCATACCCCTTCTCAAGTAATTGGCCAGCACTCATGAGGTTTGTTTTCAATTCAGGAATATAGAAAACATCATTAATGGTCTGCATTTTCCCTCTTGAAGAAATTTGAACAGTACCTTTTCCCATGACTGAAATGGCAGAATCATCTCCAAGCTTCACTTTTGTGCGGTGGGTTTCATCGATAGAAGAAAATGCCTCCTTGTTGCCACACATATGATTACTACAACCAGTGTCAAGGTACCATAAATTTGGTGAAGACATTTCTTTCTCTTGACATGCCATTAGGAGCTTCTCTCCTTCTTCTTCATTTGCTGCAGCAAAATTTGTTGCTTCCACATGTCGACTAAGATTGGTTCGACATTCGGACTTGTAGTGTCCATATTTGTGGCATCTAAAGCATTCAACTTTAGATTTATCTGTTGGTTTTGGCTTGAAACCACCTGAATACCAACCTCGACCTCCACTTCGTGCATCATTAGAAGAAGAGCCTACAATTCTTGGATTGATGTTGCTGTTGCGTTGGTGGAATCCTCTTCCTCTCCCTCTACCATTATTCATTCTTGTTCTTTGAAGAATGACGGAAATTAGTAGAGGTCTTCAAGGCTTGTTCTTCCGTATCTTGGTGTTGGAGCTTCTGTTCATGAACCAATAAAGAACCTTGCAGTTCATCAATTGAAAGTTCTTCAATATCCTTAGCTTCTTCTATGGCGCAGACAACAAAATTGAATTTTGGCGTCAAGGATCGAAGAATTTTTTCAACAATGGTGACATCCTCCGTCTTGTCACCGTGGATTCGCATCTTATTAACGATTGCCATCGTTCTTGAGAAATAATCTGTGACCGACTCCCTTGATTTCATTCGTAGCGTTTCGAACTCCGTACGAAGAGCTTGCAATTGTTGCCTCTTTGCTCTTGTAGAGCCTTGATACTTCTTTTTCATAGAATCCCATATTTGCTTGGAAGTATCCTTGCAAAGGATTGTCTCCAAGACAAATCTGTCAATGGCCTAAAAGAGATAGTTCTTGGCTTTAAGATCTTTCAACCTAACTGCTTCTAGAGCCGTCCGCTGTGCTGCTGTCAACGTGGCTCCTTCTTCCGGTTCAAGAATTCCAGAAGAAACAACTTCCCAAAATTCTTTGGACCTTAGAAAATTTTCCATCAACATGCTCCAATGGTCATAATGACCATCAAAGCGAGGGATTGCCGGTTGGACAAAATTGGAATCTGTGGCCATGATTGCTGCTGGCTCTGATACCACTGATACAGTAAAAATGCAGAAGATGGCTGTGCTTTGCAAGCACCAAAAAGAAACCCAGAAAGGAGAGACACACTGGTTGAAGATGCTTATTGCATTCGTCTATATAATTGAAATTAACAACTTAGCCGTTTTATAGGCTGTACATCAACAGAAGAGATCCCAACAAAAATAGCAACTACTTTGATTCAAAATGGTGAACGTGTGCGGCAACATGTTGCCAACTAAGTCCTGAAAACTAGGACCCACTAAGTAACAGAAACACACGACTAGCTATTAATTGAAAAACATAAAAAACAACTTTGACTCTTCCTAACAATTGTCACTCACATTGCAGCGTGTGTTTATTGAAAGCGAAAATGCCCCCAAAAATCCAAGCTTTAGTCATTATGCATCGACATAAACATCCCAGTGAATTTCATACGAAAGCATCGGTTTTGAGGTTTTATCAGGACAACAGAGACATGCCCATGTCTACAAAGTCACGCGAGGGAATCGAGGTTGGACTCAATCATGTGATTTACGAGGAAAGAAACTCCGTAGGCTGTCCTGTACTCTCATCTCGTCATGCAGCGTCCGAGCCCGTCGTCGTGCTTGGTATCTCTCACCAAGGTCCTGACCTCTCACGTCAACCGAGGCTCGCACGACCAGGCCCTCGCTCTTTTTCGCCACATGCGCTCCTCCCTCGCCCTCTCTCTCGACCCCTTCGTCTTCTCCTCGGTCCTGAAATCCTGCGCCGCCGTCTCCCGCCCTCGGCTGGGCACTTCCATCCATGCCCATGTCGTCAAATCGGCCATCGCGTCGAACCCCGTCGTGGCTTGCTGCCTCGTCAACATGTACGGGAAATGCGTTTCTGTCTCGGCCGCCCGCCACCTGTTCGACGAAATTACCCAGAAAAATGCCTTTGTGTGGAACACCATGATCTCGCTTTACTCGCACGCTGATCGAGTTGATGACGCCTTGCGGTTATTTGAGGTCATGGATGTCGCGCCTGATGTTTCCACGTTTAATTCAATCATCGCCGGATTATCGTTATCTGATGAAGGTTCTTCCAAGGCAATTCTGTTTTATTGGCGAATGCGGGAATTGGGTTTGAAGCCGGATCTTATAACATTGCTAGCGCTATTGCCTGCATGTGAGCGCATGTCGGCTCTGAGTTTGATTAAGGAAATCCAAGGTTTTGGGATAAGAAACTACATTGATCCTCACCATCAGTTGAGAAGTGGCCTCGTGGAGGCTTACGGGCGATGCGGGTGTCTCGGTTATGCCCGTGCCATTTTCGATGGTACAAAGGAGAGAGATGTGGTGGCATGGAGCAGCTTAATATCGGCCTACGCACTTAACGGGGAGGCAAGAACTGCACTGAAGATTTTCGGGCAGATGGAGCAGGCAAGTGTGCAACCTGATGGTATCACATTTCTTGGAGTACTGAAAGCTTGTAGCCACGCAGGGTTAGCCGACGAAGCATTGGGCTACTTTGCTAGAATGCAGAAACTTTATGGGTTGGAAGCAAGTAGTGATCACTATTCATGTTTAGTGGATGTCTTAAGCAGAAGTGGGAGGTTACATGATGCTTATGAGATTTTAAAGGACATGCCAGTTAAGGTGACTGCAAAGGCATGGGGAGCTCTTCTAGGGGCATGCCGGACTTACGGGGAAGTGGAGCTGGGAGAGATTGCTGGGAAAGCGTTATCTGAGGTAGAGCCTAGTAATTGTGCTAATTACGTTTTGTTGGCCAGAATCTACTCTAGCATGGGGAGACACGAGGAGGCCCAGAGAGTTAGAACGGAAATGAAGGAGAATGGAGTGACGGCTGATTCTGGTAGTAGCTGGGTGGTGTAATAGGATTGATGGCATTGATTTCGAGCATTTGCCAAGATGACATTCGCGGGATGTATATGACCGGAGCACATATGTGTGGTTGCAAGCAGTCTCTATCTGGTTTGTAACTTGGGGGTTTGGACGGCTGATAGCTGGACGTAAGATTTCCTTGAGGAAATCTCTCGAGCAAAAAGAAGGGAAAGCGAAGGAAAAGGATGCTCTCGTCTTGAGATTGAGGGAAGGAGGAGCTGAGTCGGCGTGGGCAGTAGTATCTCTCACACGCCCCCCCTCTGGTGTGCTGTTCCGTGGACTTGGACAAGTTCTTTAATGGCCGCGTCGCTATGCGTTGGCTCATCCTACCTTGACTGCCTACTTTGGGATAGGAAAAACTTGTGTTCATCCAGAAAAGGGAAATTTTATATGAATGTAGGTATACTTGTACACAAAGCCAGTGGCATGTCACCTGTTAGAGCACACTTGGTTCTGATGTACCTTCGAAAGGGATTTGTATATTCGTCAGTGTGAATTGTGGCTTGTCCTAAATCTAGGATAGTCCCTGACAGATTCTTGTTCTCATATATAAAAAGGATGAAATCCCCGTTAGCTGCAGTCGGCTCATCTTCTGATTACACAAACTGTGGAAAGTGTCTTCTTCTTCACTCGCTGTTGAAAGCGAACAACTCTAGAGATACACTCGCAGCTGTAGGAAAGTGCCTTTGCCATGCCCAACTAGAAAGGTGGGTTCTTGCCCAGAAAATTGGACAAGAGAGAGCTGAACGCGATGAGAAAGCCCGGCCCGAAGCCAACATGAGTTAGCCCGCATTAAAATGATTGGGCCCGGGCTTTTCGCAAGGGACCGAGCAGAGCAGCAAAGCTGATGCCTTTATAAGCACCTGTCGGCGCACTGCGGTTGCTCCTGCTAGGGTTCATTGGAGGCCTCGCTTTCAGAAGATGAACCGTGTCTCTCTCTCTTCCCTACATTAGCGTTGGTGGGTTCGCTTCATCTATGGCATCTGCATGTTCAAAATTCTCTCTTTCTTTCTTTTTCTTTTGTGCCTCGCCACACCTTTAGCTTGTTTTCGATGGGTACTACGCCATGAAAATGAGGCTAGTCATGGAGGCATATAGTAAAATGGCGGTGTTAACGTAGGGGCAATGGCTTTATCCCTTGTTTTGCCTCTAAAAACATTTGCTACACTCGGTCATTTTTCTTTTTTCCATGTTCTTTTTGCCGAAACAATCGATCAGACCTTGGTTGTTAGCTGCAATGTTGGGGATGATGATGATGATGGATCCATGTGGTAAGGTGTAGATAACCCCAAGTTCCTGCTTGCAGGGAGAACCTACTTGGGATCCTGCACCATCCATTAAGCTTCTGGATCTATCTGAAGCACCTGATATACATTTTGTGCTGTTAGAGTTTCATGTGTTTGAGGAGTGAGTGACAAGGAATGTCATGTCTGGCTAGCTTGGTCTTTTGTTTGCTGTTTGCTGTATGCTGTTTGCTGTTCTTAGTTGCTTTTGTATCTTGGGACGGACAGCTGTGTCTCTGGAGCGAAGACCAAGTCCTTGTTAGATTGGAAAAAAGCCTACTTGGTCGATAATTTGATTTACATGGCCAGTTTAGTCGATGGGTTAAGATAATTGGATCATATCTACTGTTGATGTCTGTGTGGACGTTCAATATTAACTCTTATCATCGATCGATCTCCTTCTCTTATCAAAACGGTTTTTGTTTAATCAACCGGTTCAGCTGTTTTGATGTGAGTTTAACTGTACTCTTGCCCTGTTGCAGTAGTGGGTTTGGAGTCTGACAAACATCAGAAAGCCTATGTGTTGTCATCAGCTTCTTCTCTTAATCCAAGGAGTTGGAGTTAAATCACAGCACTAAATTTATAGCTTGTTCTTGAACATCTACGGCTTTTGTTGTTTTACTTTCAACTGCTATTTACAGGCTTTGTCAAACGTACATGATGCATTGTGTAATGTGAACTACGAATCAGGGAATTGATATATACTCATCCATTGCTCGTGGAATGAACTTCATGATCTGTCTATCATTACTTTGCAGAAACTTTTGTTTCCAGTCGTGCTTATATGTTGCGGAGTAGAATAAAATCTGACTGCCAGATTGCAAAATAGCAAGTCGCCCAGGCACCGCACCCGGGCGCAGCACGAGAGGAGAATCTGAGTTCCAGTCTCCAAGTGGATTGTGCGCAATGACTTCAGCATAATCTGATCAGATTGCTTAAATTAGTGTGCTGGAGAACTTTTTAGTTTATGTTAGGCATCCTCCATTAGGTGTATACAGTAATCAAGCAGAGCTACTCAAATGCACGTGCTCCTTGATAGCCAAACACGCAAATGATGCATTTCTTGTTGGATGTCATTTGGGCTATTGTAATGCTGTCAAAAGTGTTGTAACATTCAATTTCTTACATTGATGCCTCATTGTAATATAGCGTTACTGACTGTTATACTGCTTGTTTTTAGACATAGTTTCAAAGTCGCACTGGGTGTTCTCGCCCCCTTTCATCTTGTATTTTCTTGTGTTCTCGTATGATATGACCAGCACTCGAAACAATTGCTTCTAAACGAAAAATTTTATTGCATGGGGTGGATGTATCTATCTGGATCAATCTAAATTACTGAGTTGAAGCACTCTAATGCTACGTTGAATGATAAATCCAACCAGATTGGTGCGATCATCGGATGGACAAGCAACGGTTGGAGATCAAAACCAAGACTAGTGACAATTCGAGATCAAAACCAAGACTCTCGTGCAACAATCATGCTTCATATGTCCATGTGAGATAACAAATTAATCACAACCTAACAAAAATCTTTACATGAGTGGCCAAAAAGAAAAATATTCACGTCACATTGGACAAAAATTTTAAATCCTGGAAATCTCAAAGGTTTCGTCTTTCGTCAATCACGGGTAGGTCCTCTTATTTCATTCCCAGCATGAGCATGATTTCTTGACCTCACGTAAACACAGAAAACAGAATACATCTAGCATCCGGTTACCTCATGACCTGCAAGTAGAGAGGAAGTAATGAACAGAGCCAAGATCTAGTTAGTTCCAGCAAAGAAACATAACTCCCAATGCTGGAGAAGACTAAACTCTCATCGATCCTCAATATACAAGCAGTGGCCCTACCTACCATGACACACAGGAAACTAAAACATAGCAAAGAGAAAGTGCTTCTTTATTGTTTATTTATCTTCTTCAACTGCAGTCAAAATTAATCAAAAGTTAACCAAGAGACAATAATTTGCTTCTTTACTCGTTTCATCGTCCATTCGATGATATCTTTTTGGGAAGGGGAAAATTGTTTCACCAACTACAAGGTTGTGCCCACTATAAATTATCATAAGCACTCATCACTTCACTTCGCCTTCAGATGATTTTGGCCGGCTTTATTCAGAAAGGTAGGCAGAGTTTGGCAAAAGGAAAACATGGGAGAAAGTCCTGTGATCAGGTCCCCGTTGTGGATAGTACAGATAACTTCAAAGGAAAGCCCCAAAAGATCTCCTGCCACCAACCTGTCCAAATTAAGTTGAGAGAAGTTAAACGAGCTCATTTCTGAGGCATGACTTTGCAAAAATAGTGACTTAAGTGACAATCACAACCTGAAAAAGGCAGGCCTCCCGCCTCTTAAATTATGAAGCTGTCTTCGCAGTTGATCCTTTCAGTGCTAACATACCACAACAATTTCGCGGGTGTGGAAAATCTCGGTCAGCAGTATTCCACAATGCCAGAGGGAGACACCAACAGCTTGCGCCACCGCTAGACTGACGAGTCAATATTATGGATCAGTTCTTGCTTCTTCCACTTGTATCCAGAAGGAAAAGTTCAAGTAGGTGATGCACATCTAGAAGAGCAGCATCATCAGCACCTGTAGTTTTTACTTGCTCAACTCTGCAGGTTTTACCCTGCTGGGATCCTAATGAAGAACCAATAATACCACAGTTATATGGTGTACAAGATCAATACATCACCTAAATGTTGAAAACAACCACACAAGGAATGAAGAAAGTGGCATGCTGGGGATGGGGGGAGGAAAGAGTACCAGGACTTGCATTACTTATCACTTGAATAAATGAAGTGCTGCCCTGCTCCGCCGTACTTTCGCCATGTCGCCTAAAATGTCGCTAATAACAGATATTCAGATTTGACTCGAAACCAGGAACTTGTATGTCATAACTATCTTTTGTTTCGTTTAAAATCCTTTGGGCCGGCAAGTTCTGAAAGTGATGAGTTCAGTTCCTCGGAGATGGCCATTGCAACTTCCACCTTACCCATTTTCTTTAAATTGCTGATTAGTGATCTGTAGATGTGTATAGAAGGGCGAATCTGCTTCAGCTTCATTTCATGGAAGAGACTCAATGACTGATGAACGTTCCCCGAGCGGCCAAAACACTCAATAAGTGCAGTATATGTAAGCAAATCCGGTTGCACACCACTCTCTTTCATTTCCTTCCAGATACTTGAGCACATATCTAGTCGACCAACCTTCCGCAAACTGTTCAATAATGTGTTGTATGTTACAACATCAGGGATAATGCTGGCTTCTTTCATAGCAGTAAATTCATGGAGCATTTCATTTAAACGACCAACACGACCCAAGACATCCAATATAGTGTTGTAAGTAATTAAATCTCGTTTACATTTTAGGCTCTCGAGTTGATCAAATATCAAAAGGGCCTTGTCAATCTGCCCACATTCAGCAAAGGAGTATATGATTCTATTCAGAACTGGTGTGCTTTTTGGAGAAGCCAGCTCTGAAATTTCCTCGACAAATCTGAGAAGATGGGAACACTCACTTTGCTTTGCAAAGACCTTGGCAATACTTAGATAAGCAGCTGAACTTAAAGATTCACGAGACACCAACAGATACTTAAAAATGTAAGATGAAAAGTCCATCTCATTTCCTTCTGTGGCCATGGTGAGTAGGGACTTATAGGCGTTCTGACCTAGAAAGATGCCCTTATCATGCAAGAATTTTAGCAACCTCAAAGCAGATGAGAAATTTCCTGCCTTGCACAGCTTATCAATGTAGGTAAAACAGGCTTCCCAGCTCGATGCGGGATTATTTTCTATATCCGCAAGAACTGTACACAAGAAGTGGTCCATCACTTCCTCATCATCAGGAGAGGCCTGAGTTGTGTATAACTGCACAAAATTCCTAAGAAGATTACTTCCAATCCAAAAGGACTTTCATATCCAAATGAAACCAACTGCGATGAATGTGCAGCGATTTGTATTAGACATGTAATACAGCAGCGAGAGAATCGAAGTCTCAGAAAAAGTAAAGTATGAATCATCGATGCTACTACTTTAAAAGAAGGCTTATAACAATAATTGCTTGTTTTTCTTGTTGTCAAAATTATTTTGGCAGAAAAATGAGACAAGAAAAGAAAAGAGACTAGGAATATGTGTGAGTATGCATTTAAATGATTTACATAGTTCCACTATTCATATAAAGTTATAGCTGAAAGCTCTCTCTCTGATTTCACTTTTGTATCTTAGAGCCTTTGAATTCTCTTTCCTTCTCTGTGAATGCCCAGAATCACATGCAGCATTTGGTAAAAAGCACCGGCAACTGTGCTATTCATATTATGCATGAACATCGGAGATTGTACAAGAAAACCCATATCCATTTTCAATCCTTACTATTCTAGACTGTCATTAAGCAAGTATGGAGTAGTTTCAATTGTCAAACACCAAACCAAACATTCCATGACACCGCCATGCGTTTTAATAAGGTGACAGGTACTTATGGTTTACAACTCTTTAGGCAAATCTGTAAAACTTAAGCCGGCCATAGTTACAACTCTCCAATTGTTAAACCGAAGTTATCCGAGTCAATCCGACTACTGCTGCTTAACCACCGATTGCACCATTTGACTCTATCCTCCTATACTAATCATATCAAGGCCTTGGTTTTTTCTGCTGTGGTGCCACTATGCGAACACTTCGACATCCTTATAAGTGCATAAGCATCAAAATCAGCTAACCCATGATGCGACATGCGATCGCAAGCTCACATGGTGCGAAAAGAATGCAAAAAAGAGCGGAATAACAAGCATAAAATTTTTACGAAAAAACCCAATATCAGAGAAACCCAAAAGAATGTTAAAAAAAAATAGGGGAACACCAAGCACAACATTTCCGCGAAAAAATGCAAACTCACTGATTTCCGAATAGCTTCGACGGTGTAAATGCTTCTCGCTCTGGCCGGCGAATCCAAAGCAAACCCCGAACGCGCCGGAACTCGGAGGTCCCCTCTACCCTACAAAATTCAAGCCCAAATCAATCAGCAAATCAGAGAACTAACCCCAAGAGAACAGGCGTTCATATCTCATAACACAAAGCGTCAAATTTTTCTCACGGAAGGCACGAGCCCGAGGCTTTGCGCTCCCCCCGCATTTCCGGGCGCAGCTCCTCGAGCTTCCCTCGCGACCCTTTTCGCGCTCGCCCCGAAACCGAAACGCCCAACTGGTATTCCGGTCCGCCGGTGCTTGGCGACGAGAGAAGCCAGAGCCATGCGAACCCGGAATCTGTCTCACGACCATCTGGCGACCGACGCCGGCATCCGAGGCAGCGATCTGAGCCGCTCCATCGTGACCGCAACCGCAGCCGGCGAGGTCACAGATCGAGTGGCCGGTCCACGGCGGAGGCGGGGAGGGGTTCTTGCAGGGTTTAGCTCCGGGCTGAGAGAGGCCGAGGCAGCGCGGCGCGTAGTCTCGAGGCTAGCTGCTGGCTGAACGAAGGACAAAGAGCAGGGTGGGAGGGGGGGGGGGGGGGGTGAAAAAACCGAAAATACCCAGTATTTTTCCGGAATCTATCTTTTAGTCCGTGTTAGGAGAATTTGTTTCATTTTCGTCCTTCTTCTATTTGGGCTTCGCACTTTAGTCCACGTGTCTCTTGACAATGGTTGGCCAAACCCTAACTCTTCAGATTTATTTTTTGGAAATGAAAATTGTGTACCCTTTACTTTTTTTTTTTCCCTTTTCTCGCCTCATTTGTGAAATTTATATTGTTTTTTTCCCCTTTTGATGATTTCATTTGGAGACACTGTGTGTGTATAGTGCATCTATTTTTCCATAATCAAGTTCTTTAGGGTATAAATACCTTTTCTTATTACTTATTTGTTTATAAATTTTTTTCCCTTTGATAATTCTTCTTAGTAAATCAATAAATAAGAAGCTTTCCATAAACATCAACACCATTGATTCGCTCGACCTATACAAAACTTTATCTCTCAACAAAATGGATCATTACAACTTACGGAAAATGCTCATATCTAGGCCCACTTGGTACTCTGTTTATTCACCACAAACATTTTAATTTAACAACGTCGGAATGATACATTTGACCATGTTGATCTCTTATCCGTTAAATGTGTGATTATTATACGTTGTGTCTGCGTGAAGTCTCGTTTCACCTTACTACTTAAGTTAGCATAGTGGACAATAATCTTTAACACGGTACCAGAGCGCGTGTTGAGAGTTCAAAATCCTGACACTTTCCTTCTTGAACTCATTGCTCGTAGTGGGTTCGACAACTGGCTCACACAAAATGAAAAACCATGCCTATTTCACAATAGCTGAGCTGAGTCCAGAGAGTGTAGGGGGGTGACTTACGCGTAAAGGGAGCTTTAAGTATAATCCCACATTGGTTAAATACGCGGTTGTGAAGTGCATTACATTCGTATACTCGTCATCCGCTTATGGGGATAAACTTTTAGATGTATCAACAATGCATCATTAGAAGTGTACACAAATAAGACGAATCTATTTTGGAATTATATGGTTACTCAAACCTTCGCCAAAAATTCAGCATTTCTTGCGGCAGTGTCTGCGTGATAGAATGCACTCCAAGCATGTGTGTGGTGGGGCTAAGAATTCTTGAAATTCTTTGAATGTTGTTCCTCATGGGCTGAGAGGGACATTTCACCTGCCTTTTTCAAGTTAGAAATATACGCTCCATATCTTGAAAAGACCTACCTGTCTATATCGATTCACCCGGAGGACACAGCACGGAGATATGCTCGATTCGTTGAGGGGTCCAAAATCATCTCACAGATGCTCTGGCAATTCAGCTACGAAAGCTCAAATCAAACTGAAGCAAAAGCACGATCGTGGTGAGAAGTCGGCCCCTAATTGATCATCAATCATTGCACAGCATCCCACGAAAATTGAACAGGACAGCAAGAGGAGCTTTATCCAATCATTATTTGCTTAAAAGGTACTACTACTAACAAGACAGCAATCTCCTTAACCTACAAATCCCATTACCGACACAGCAGAAGCCAGAGCATAACAAGAGTTATGTTGGGCTGTTCTTTGGACCAGTTAAACTCCCAGAATTCACCCTAAGATAACCAAGAAACAGGAAAAGATCCCGACTTCTTCCCCTTTATCCATTCATTCATTCATTCAGTCATTCATCATCATATTCTTCTTCTTCATCATCTCGTATGAAGCTCAACGCCTGACAAAATGGCATCTGCATCTGCAACTCCCCCTCCTCCTCATTGCCACTGCCGAAGTAATTCCTCCTCCCGACCAAATCGGCCACTCTCCTCGCGGCTCCCGAATCCCTCGGGCTGTCTTTCACGCCCCGCACCGCCCTTATCTTCGGCAACACGCTGCCCATCCTCCTGATCGACGATGGCGTCTGCATCTGCGCCTCTACCGCCGAATCGTCCTTCTTACTTTCGAAGACTACCACTTCGCTCGGAATCTCCCACTTCTTCTTCGCTCTGCTCTCGTTCCCCTGAGTATTCAATCCCACCGAAGCTCGCCTTTTGTCTACCCTCTCGCCGCCCTCATCCTTGTTGTTATTTTCTGGGAACGACCTCTTCCTCGCGGCGCTCACAGTGATCTGGTTGTACCGGCTCGGCACTACCCGACCCGGCTTTCCTGGCTTCTTTGCGGGCACGGATTTCTCTCCGTCTTTGAACAGGCGTTTGGGCTGGATCGAGGCGATTATCGCTTCTTCCTTCTTCGTGAACCTCCTCGACCCCGCGGTCGTCGCAGCTTGCTTCTGAGGTTGAACTTTGGGGAACGTTTTGCGCGCATTACCGGGGCTTGCGGTCATGCTCATGCTCTTCCTTCTCTCCTTCGTGACTTTCAATTCATCGATCTCCTCCAGCTTCCAGAAGCACGATTTCCTCCGGTTCTGTATCGACAGAGCGGGAGTGATCTCTGCCTTGATCGAGGGCCGCGATTTGACGGCGCTCGAAGCGATCTCCACCGGCCCCAGACTGAGCCCTCTCCGGTTCAATTTCGGCTTCGCGCTCGACAGCAGCGGCGTCGTCTCCTCGATCCTCTTCACCGCATCCGGATCCCTTCCAATCCCCACCTGCTTCGGCTCCATGAACTTGGCCGCCACAGCCCTCCCGCGAGGCGGCTTCTTCTCTTCCCCCGCCGCCGCCGCCGCGGCCTTCTCGAGGCGAAGCGACTCGAGCCTCGACGACAGGCGCGTGATCTCCTCCTCTATTTCCTCAATCTCCGCATCGATGCTGCTCCTGCCGCCCCCGCCCTTGTCGTCTTCTCGATCTTCGGCCTTCGCCGACAGAGGCTCCAGCACGCTCTGCCTCCACTGGACTCTCGAAGGGACGGAGGACTTGAGCGAGACCCGGGAATTGGCGCACTCGGGGCTCCGGTTCTCCTTGCAGAAATCGTCCGACTCGAGGGATTCGGAGAGCTTCACGAAGACGGGGTTGACGGAAGACCAGGAGGCCTTGGCGGCGGCGGCGGCGACGGCGGCGGAGGAATCTTCGGATTCGCCGTTGTCGAAGGCGGCGTTGTTCCATATCTGGAGCTCCGGCGCGTCGAACGCGTCTGGGTACTCAAGAACGCTCATCTTCTGGGGATCCCCAGCAAGGCGGCGACGATGCTGCGAAACGAGATTTGGAGAGATTCTTTCGTCGTCTTCTGGGTCGGGTGGGGGTGCGACGATTCTTGAGGGGTTCCTTGGGGGAAGCAAATTGTTGTTGGGGTTGAGAGAGAGGGGATGATTTAGGTTTTCTTGAGAGTAATTTCGACCGTTGAGGAGGGGGTTTTTTAAAACGAGACGTTGTCGAAGGGGAAGGGGAAGGGTGGTGGAGTGCGAAACGGCTATGGATTGTGTTGGGGAGAGACGCTCCGATCTGATGATGGGTTGTGCTTATTTTGAAAAGAGACGGGGGGGGGTCCCCTAATTAGTGGGGCTTAAGTACCGTGTTTTTTTTGTTTTTTTTTTGTTTTGTCAGCAAGTGGTGGAGTGTGGGAAAAGTCGTGGGAAAGTGGGGGAGCGCCTTCCTTTTCTACGGCCTCGATTTTTTTTAAAAATTAAAATCGAATTTAATGTCATGTGACGACATTAGTCCAAAGCAAGGCCTTAAAAGACTTAAAAGAATAACAGGAGAACGAACTCTTCGGTATGCGATGGAGGGATCTCCCTATAAGCTCTTGCCGTGGTTCCCTCCCTCCTGGGGAAGAAAAACTTCCAGGGGAAAGAGGTGGGGTGGCCTCAGGGTTGCTCGGCCACTGAGACTCTAAACGAGGTGTGTATGCTAGCGGTCGGCCTTAATAGGGTTGGTCGGTAGTGCCCCTAAGGTAGCAATAATACCAAGGGCTTAAGGTAACCAAACAACCCTTGGAGGAACATTCATCGGGGTACATTGTTGCATTTGAGCATCGTGATTAATCTTAATTTTGAAGAAGGGGAAATAGATGTTGGAGTTGGCGAATACTTCGCGGACCCTTGTTTATCACACCGGTACGCCCACATGAGCTTAGGGAAACTGAAGTGTTATCCGACGACATGTGACCCCTGCGTGCGGAATGCGGAGATTCGGGGGCAGCGCCCCCAACACGGGTGTCCCGCTGCTCGGTCATCGGGCAGGGTTCGGGGGCAGCGCCCCCTGACGGGGGTTCCATATAGGTCAACAGGTTTGGGCTTTTATTTAAGCTGGCCTGTATGGTGCGAGATTAAGAGATTTCGTATAGGTTTAAGTTTTGGGCCCATTTGGGGCACACATATATTTTGCTCGTTTTCCTGATCATTGTAACGAGTTGAGTGGCTGTAAACCGAAAACATAGTGAAATCTCTTTGCAGGATGTAGCCCTATTCGAGGGTGAACCTGGGTAAATTCGTGCAACGTCTATTTTCTCTGATTTATGCGTGATCGTTCTGTTTTGGTTCTCGATACATCCCTTCAATAGAGGATCGCCACCCTTTGCTACCCCCCAAGAGGGTCGCGATCCTCTGCTCCTGCTTGGAGCCAATGTCGGGCCTCACATCTCTCTTCTCTCGATTTTTTTTTAAAATTTATTTAGAAATTTGCCGATGTGAAGCCATGAGGTACCAATGCTGGCGGCAGGAAAATTACCAAAAAAGTCCTAAACCTTTTGTAATTGTGCCAATTCAGTCCTAAACAATTTTTTTTGGTCAATTCAGTCCTAAACCTTTTACAATTGTGCCAATTTAGTCCATCCGGCCACTTTTTGCCGGCGGGCGCTGATGTGGCCGCTGGCCGGCTGACCGGCGTCCACGTGGCAATATTTTAATATATTTTTTTATTATTTTATTATTATTATTTCTTTTTTCTTTTTTTTTTCTTTTCCTTCTCCCCCCTGGCCTGTCCGGCCAGGGGGGAGGCTTGCCGGCGAGGCGAGCTGGGCCCTCGCCGAGATCTGGGCCCTCGCCGGCGAGCCTCCCCCCTGGCCGGACAGGCCAGGGGGGAGAAGGAAAAGAAAAAAAAAGAAAAAAGAAAAAAAGTTTTCGAAAATAATAATAAAAATATTAAAATGTTGTCACGTGGATGCCGGCCGGCGCTACGTCAATCGGCCGGCGGCCACGTCAGCACCGGCCGGCGGCCACGTCAGCACCGGCCGGCCAAAAGTGGCCGGATGGACTAAATTGGCACAATTGCAAAAGGTTTTAGGACTGAATTGGCCAAAAAAAATTGTTTAGGACTGAATTGGCACAATTACAAAAGGTTTAGGACTTTTTTGGTAATTTTCCCCGCTGGCGGCATTGGCAACATCGCAACATCGTGCTTCTGTCTCCAAATCGACACGTATCGACGTTTGGCGCGTTCAATAACTAAAAATCAAAGTTCGGTGATCTAATTGCAAAACACGTCAAGTCAATGATCGATCGACCGGCTACCTCACGATGTATCGCCTACGCTGTAGGCTACTTTGTTCGACGAGGTTACCAACTAGCAGCAGGATAACAAAAACTCCACGGTGAATAAGTGAATTGAAGAGACAAGGATGGGCCCAAAACGGGGAAAAGAAAGAAGAAGAAGAGAGAGTCTCGACCTTGAGGAGTAAAATCGGGAGTGCTTATGATTTTAATTCGTGCGGATGATGATGAGATTAATCAATTTTGAAACCTCAACCACTTGGAGAACGACCCCATCAACTTGACAAAGGTTACTTTCTCTTTCCTCGGACCCGCCCGGGCCGTCAATCAAAACCCGAAACGCAAAATAGCGGGCGAGGTTGTCTGGGCTGTGTCGCATCGAAACCGTCCAATCAACCCGCCCCATTCGAGCCCGGCCCGGCCCGTTGCACCTTCCCGTTTCCTCGGCAATTAAAGGCGCGAATGATCTTTTATTTTTTTTTGTTTCCAAAAACATGTTTGGAATTAAAAATTCGTATGGCAACGCAATTTTATTTCTCTAATCTCGAGACAAATTTTTAGCTCGGAAATGGATTTGGAACAGGAGCGAGAAGTACAGATTTTTTACTTTTCTATTTTTAGAACATAAACAAAAACATCAATTCTTCTCACAGCTCACTCTCGCCGCCTCGTCGATCAAATCAATTTATATTTCGGAAACATAAATTGCGTATCGTTTTCGAACGGTCACTTTCTTCTTCAGAAACTCATCCTGAAATATTTCCGGTTGGAAATGGGGGTCCGGAAGTGTGTACGATGGTCGAAACCCCCACGCAAGGGAAACCCACGGAAGAAAGCGCACACGCGACCAACGAGCGAAGCGGGTGGGTCGCCCCCAAATCGCCACGGGACGCCACGTGTCAGGAGCTTTCTTCTCCCCCTCCCCCCACAGCTCTCTCACACACTCTCGGACCGGATAAGCTTTCTTGTCCCTCTCTTGGTCCGTGACCTCTCCCTCGCTTTCCCGAGAAAAAAAAAAAAAGAAAAACCCCCAAAAAATCCGAGAGAAGCCTGCCGATGACCCAAATTTTCCCGGAAAATTTCTAGCTTTCCCGGGGAGCTCTCCCGCAGTTCCGGAACCTTCTGCTCACGGAAATGGCGGCGGCCGTTGCTCCCCTGTGCTTCTCGGCCATCGGTCAGTCCCGCGACAAGAGATCGCTCGCCTCGTCGACGGGGGCCGCCCCCCGTCCCCACGGCGGCGGCAGCTCCGGCTCCGGCTCCGGCTCCGGCTTCGAGGGGATTCGGTTCCGTTCGAGCGTATATGGAGTAGCGAGGACCTCGACCTCGAGCTCCCGCGCGGTGGCTGTTCGCTGCATGTGCGCCGCAGTAGGTCAGTGAGTTCCCGATTCGATTGCATTACTGTCGCTTGTTCCCTGGAAAATTGGAGAATTGGAGAGAGAGAGAGAGAGAGCGATGGAGTAGATTGCTGTTGAATTGAAGCTTCTGCTTCGCTGTGGCAGCGCGGGACTTGTTTGCCTCCGACCGCGAGTTTCGTTCCTCATCTTCCTGTTTTTGCCAGTGCGATGAGTGTTCGTTTTCTTGGAAGCATGGAATTAGTTGTTTGCGCTCTGCGGATACTTGCTCTCACTTTGGTCAATCCAGCTTGCGTTAGCTTTAGCTTTCTTGCGATGGGTTTGAGTTCCGAGGGAACTATCGGCTGGGTTATATGTACATCGAGTGTCTTCTCTTAGTTGTGAAGATGTTGGCCGCTTTGTGTTTTTTTTCTCTCTTTTTTCTTCCAGATGTTCCCACTGTCGCTGAGACGAAGCAGAAATTTCTGAACGCGTACAAGCGGCCCATCCCGAGTATCTACAACACCGTGCTGCAGGAGCTGCTCGTCCAGCAGCACCTGATGCGGTACAAGAAGTTCTACCGGTACGACCCCGTGTTCGCCCTTGGCTTCGTGACCGTGTTCGATCAGCTCATGGAAGGGTACCCGAGTGATGAGGACAGGGAAACGATTTTTCAGGCGTACATTCGGGCCTTGAGTGAGGATCCTGAGCAATACAGGTTCTTAATAAGTCCTCTCACTGTGTCCGTTTGCATCTGTGTGTGCACGCATGCGCGGGGTAGGCATGGGGTTTTTGTGCATGCCGAATGTTAATGTTACTATTATCCCATGGTTGTCAATTGTCATGATAGAATGTGCAGATGATTACTCTGACATACGTATGACGGATATTGTAGTAAATATTAGGACTATGGCTCCAATTGGCTGGAGATTTCTGTCTTTACAATTTTACAAGTTTCTGGTGATGAAATTATGGGAGGAGGTGGTAGTGGGGTAGTGAATTCCACCGCACCTGGAGAAGGTGTGAAGTTGGGTTGGCTGGTTAGGTTTTGGCAAATCGACTGGTACTCCTCTTGTTGAAGTGTTGGGCCCCTGTGAGTACCTTAGAAGCAAATTTGACTCTATTCGGTTCTCAGTCTTGACTTTACGCCACAGCAACTCCCCTTTTCTTCATAAGGCTTGTGTGAGCTCTGTATGGATAGAAATTAATGCCTGGGATGATCACCTGGATTGTATTTAACTTTTGCAGTAGTTGTGGAAATTTTAAAATGCTGCTGATGCTAAAAGATAGGGTGAAATATTACCCAAGGGTCCTAATTACCTTTATGTTGAGAATTTTTCATCATTATTTTTTTTTTAGTTCTTTTATCAGTTTATGCGTAAAGCGGGCTGTTTTCTATGATCAATTTGTTGAAATGGAACCGTTACTCATCAAATGTTAAACAATGTGTGGCAGAGTCGATGCACAAAAGTTGGAAGGATGGGCCCGCGACCAAAGTTCAGATTCATTAGTTAACTTTTCGTCCAGAGGAGGGGAGATTGAAGAGAAGTTGAAGGATATTGCAGAAAGAGCTCGGGGTAAGGGGAGTTTTAACTATAGCCGCTTCTTCGCCGTGGGCCTGTTTCGTCTTCTTGAACTGGCAAATGCAACAGAGCCTACAGTACTAGATAAGGTTTGCCTTTTGAATATCCTGTCTGTCAACAACTTGATGCATAATCTTATGATTCCTGATACATACTTTGGTGGGTAAATTGAATTTTCGGCACTGATAACTTTCATTCCATCTGGTTTTGGTATTTGAAAATTCTTCATATTTGCCCAAATTTTTTTTTTAAGTACCTGGCTTATCCTCTTATTATGCTTGCAAGCAACTTTTGTTGTTCTGCACGGTAGTTTATTTGCTTTATCTACAAGCAGCTGAAAGTAAAATAGGAAGCATTTAGTTTTTTTAGCTCTCTTTAACTTTACAAGAAGCAACTTAAGTTCATAGTGACGTATAGATATAGACTGCAAAATCAGCGTCTGCTTGGTTTAATATTTTCAGTAAAATAAAATGAAACAGCCTTTTGTTTCTTGAAACGTTTTAGTTCGTGAAAACAAAAGAATTTTACATTAATTTATATTTTGAAAACATGTTTGGTCGTATTGTTTTCAAGGTTAAGGAGCGTGTTTTCATTTTAATAGTTGATTCTTTTTGTTTTTGTGAGGAATTAAAATTTTGAAAACATCTTTTCAGTTTGTAGTTATAAAAAGTGACAACTAAAAACACTTTTCCTTGTTCTCGCTAGGAAACTGCTTTCAACGTGTGATCAAACTCATTGCAATACTGGTTTCATTTTCATAAAATAGAGATCTGGTACTCATACCAAGCTGTTCCTTAAAGTTTAGTTTTTCTTTTCTCAAACTGTAATTTCTGGTCCTGCTGGCATTGTTCTTGAGAATATTCATGACTAACAAGTAATGTTGACACCTTTTCTTTGTAATTTCTTTCCAGCTTTGTGCTGCTTTAAATATAAATAAGAGAAGTGTGGACCGTGATCTTGATGTATACCGTAACCTGCTCTCCAAGCTGGTTCAAGCGAAGGATTTACTGAAGGAATATATTGACAGGTGATTGCTTTGTTCAGACTGATGTGTCTTTCGTTATTTACCGGGTCATCTTATAATAGAAACTGTTCCTTACTGCGGTAAGACATAATACTCAACAAGGATAATAAAATGATGGAAATCAATGCTGAAAGTATTACATTGTCCACTAACCACCTTAAAACTTTAAAGTATTAGACATGTTAGAATTCCTGGTAAGCAATGCAATTGAAACGCAATTGGAGTAGGGAGGAAAAATGCCACAAATGTGCTAAAAAAATGGCGGGTCATTGTTTTTGACTGCTTTAACCAAATGAAGTGAGAGCCTCAGCTGCCTCGATTTTCTTTTGTTGATTGTGGCCATTAGTTGACCTAGAAGCAATTGTGGCTCTGATCGATTCCTCGCAAGTGATAAAATTATGCTTCTGTGAGGTTTCATCTTCAGTAATCACTATTTACTGGAATAAGTGCAATTTTCAGGGAGAAGAGGAAGAGAGAAGAAAGGACAGAGTCCCAGAAGGCTAACGAGGCTATCACAAAATGCGTGGGAGAGTACCAAGAAGTTGGCCACTAGTTCAGTATGATCACTTCTCCAATCTGCAATATGAGGCCCTTGTGACCTTTCTAAATTTTTGAGGTATTAGAGTCGGAGGCAACGTGGTTTTGGGCTCTTTGCCTCTTCTTGTGCATTTGCACGCTAAATGTGTCGTTCATATGTGAATTCAGCCGATACATAGTGTCCCATTTTTCTGGAAATATATTTTATATCCTCAATCGATGAATTTGCATACTGTAACCTCTCAAAACCTAATGTATCTATTTGGGTAAATGCAATACGCAAGATGTCTTTTTCGGATTATTTCTTGCTCTTTTGATTACCTTTGCATAGCATGGTGCAACGTACCGTTACAGTAAACTGAGGAATGGGCGCCGGACAAAACCACGCCCAGCAGTCAATTTTTCGTTGAATTCAAGCAGCTGGTGGTTGGAGAGGGACTCCTACAACTACAGGTTTTCTCATTCACAAAAATGCTTATTATTGATTATTGAAACAACAACCAGAAGAAGGATTCGCAAATAAAAGCGCTACGGACGATGGGGGCATACTTGCCCGACCGCCATCATACTATGCTCATTTGGTACCTAATCATACGGTATCTAAATTAAGTAATTCCATGCTTTCTTTGAACACAAGGATGACACAAGATAGCAAATGCAACTGTAAAGTAAACTAGTTTATGGAACCCTTATTCATATAGCGTGTAAGAATGAGAATTAGTGGTCCATATCAAGATGGTTTAGCTAAAACGAGCGATATCAACTTCATCTGGGATTTTGAAAGTGTCAGCTGCACCAAACTTCCTCCACTCCTCCCCTTCTGGTATGGATTCTTCTTCTTCAGGAATATCGTCTTCCTGGGTGTCGTGATCGCCAGTGGCCAGCGGACGATGGACGCTTCTTGACTTACAGTCATGAGTGGCGAGCACTTTGACCTGGTGGAGGTGAGAAATTTCCACAACCACGGTGTCGTCGTCGGTTGGCAGTGGCTGCTTCCAGGGCTCCCCATCAATCCTCATGTAGGTGTGATCAGCTGCTCCCTTGTGAAACTCGAAGCGGATTCTGTGCGCCTGAGGCATAAGTTAGGTCAACCAAAAGAGCTCAAAATGAATTTCGTGATTTTCCATAGAAAGAAGGCGCAAAAATTAACCCTACAAATGAATCCAACATGCTTTCCATCTGTAATAAACATAGCCCGATTTCCCTCTCCTGAAAGAAATTTCCCCTCTAGCCCTCCCACTTCTGGCACTGTATGAGCTTTGGTTGCATTTTTGTATCCCTTAACATGGGAAGCTCCACAACAGTTGAATAAGAACTTTGAGACTCAACAGTAGATGAAATGAAACATTTGGGATTTAACCTGAGCAAGACGAGTCCCATGGCCTTTTGGGGCAAGTAGCAAAAGCCCGTGCCAGGCATCTCTGAAGCCGACTACCTCGATGAGGCCATCATCTACATATGGTGGAGTGAAGTCCCCCTGCTGCACATCATGTTACTCAGGCTAACATTCAAGAGATTAAGGACAATAACACTGAGTTGTTGCGATCTCACTTAACTTCACTCACGTAAAAGACATGAGGAAAGCTAATTGAAGCTAACGTCACTCACGTTAGTTCTACGTGGTCTTCCCCAAGGGTTTAATCCACCAGAAAAGCTCGGCAAGTTGAGGCATATGATTGACCTTATGCTGTTAACACAAAAGGTGTAAGAAAGGAATAAGAGTTGCCGCTCCAAGAGTAGAGACAAGAAAATAAAGGAGCGTAGACAGCCATTTCTGATTCCTGCTATATCATTGACACACACACACACACACACACACACAGCACATGGGAAGCATTGTAATCAGCGAAGATGAAGAAACACATGTCAAATCATGAAGAGTCAGAATACCTATCAAGTTTTGTTCTTTACAGTAATCGAATATTCAAGAACTCTGAGAAATGGACAAGCTGATTACGGATGTTGTAAGACATTTTAAACAAAAATAGGATCTTGGCATTGAGATGGCCTATGAAACTAAACAACTACATGGCCCCCTTGCATATCTAGCATATCATCTTTCCAACTGATAACTTGTCACGGCGACATCAAATGGTTTAACTTAAACATGGTAGCATGATTGGAAAATATCATATATAAATAGATCTCATTGACCTAATTTTTTCTTTTCTTACTTTGAGGAGGCCTTAAACCAATGAATAAAATTAGAATATAGGTGAAATTGGACTGACGGAAAGCGGGACAGACAGACAGACAGACAAATCCATACCCAGCAAAGCTCAAAAGAACATACCCCAGTATGTATAGCTACAGTACCTGTGAGGTATGTGGAGGTCTTGCCATTGACCTTCCTGCTTCATTATCTTCACCTTTGCTAGCTGAGCTATGTTCCTGAATTGACATTAGGGTAGAAGGCAGTGATACCTCTAGCAAACAGTATAAGACAAGATATATCAACAATACAACTTTTATATTCACTTACAAAATAAGTTTTCGGACCTAGGGGGACAGGGACACCACCAAAATTGTATAAATAGACTAAAATGCTGCTTGCTAAACCAAAATCGTAAATGCTTACTTAGAATTGGATTGAAACGGTGAAGCGAAAAACCCTCCTTGCGTTCCCACAAGCTTCATATAAGTACTCTATGACGGGCAAAAATGAAAAGGTCAGAAGGATATATGTTTTATGAACAAAATAATATGCTAGAAAGAGGCCGTGTGAATTTACTTACTCATCTTAGAATGACATGACAATGCAATAGAAACACACACGCATGAAGTCCTAAACTAGTATTCACTCCAAATAAGTAAACTTGGGGATACAAGCTCTCAAGAGATCATTCTTAAGTTTGGTTGCCCCTAAGAAAGTATGTCAGCCTCAGCCAGAGACTTGGACGATGCTTTGTGCAAAGATCTCATACAGGGGCCAGATTTCCTATTTTTTTCGTTTGAAAGATCATATGAGTATCAGAAGGAAAAATGATTCACTGAACACATCTTGGACTGCTTAAAATGGCGGACATAGTAACTATTTAGAAAGGACATGATACCTGATTAACCAGCTGGTTTTTAAATTTTCCAGGATGTGACTTCCTTTCTGAATGAAATGCATATGAGACTTGGGCATCCATTCCTGCAGGAAACAGAGTGCAAAGATTACTTGCGTCAGAAAATGAATTCCGTATAAAACTATATGCTGCCAAACTCACCAAAGAAAACAAATTGGAATAAGCAACAGATGATCATGTAATTCCACCAATACCAATCTAAAATTAGTAAGCCATTCTAATTTGGTCAAATACATAGAATGTGGAAAATCAGTTGTTAGAAAAATCATGCATCTTTGTGTTGCAATTAGATATGAGAATCACTTTCTCCAGAGAAAGTATTTTTACCCATGCTAAAGTAGTTCCAGAATCCCCCACGAAATGTATGGCAACCTTCCTGAGAAGCAAGTTAGACGTATAAGGAAACAAAGAAAGCAAATTATGTGCAACAACCAGCAAGATAGAGACACCGATTTACATTTTTGTCAAGAAATCTTTGTAAAGGGGAACTGAAGAGTCTAAGTTTGTTCACAAGCTATAGATGACCAACGCCTTCTTAAATTCCCCTATTTTTCTCCAAGAAGAGGTTGCAGTTTTTCTAATGTATCCCTCAGCTAATTCATTTTGTTATTGTCGCTGCAGCATAAAGCAACTAAAGTCTCATCATGTACCACCCATAGGCATAGTCCTTCAAGGGTACAGACTTCTTCCTGTCGACAGAGCATTGATGCCATGAAATGGGTGGAAATATTCAACCGACTATATTTTGATGCCATACATTGTATCATCCAATCTTAATAGTAGAGGGAGACCATAAAGTCAATGCTGTCATTGTTCATATGCAGCACTGTTTGACCGGAGAAATGACTTCAAACATAAAAACATATCTATCATCCTTGAATTTCCTGAGACATGACTATATATTGTAAGCAAGTGCTACAAGGTAGTCACGTTGTCTTACCATGTTCAGTTCATCTGATGTAGAAATACGGCCAAATGCATGCAGAGAATGAGGTAACTCAAGGGGTGCGATAGGGTCATAAGATCCTTCATGCGGAGCTCTCATCCTCATGAGAATATGCCAGCTGAATCACAAGAATCCCTTTTTAGCACTCAGAAAAGGAAAGAGCAAAAGTTAAATCGGATTTGGTCAAATTGCCAAAGGTTTACTATGTAATGCTTTTTACTCGATGAATGCAATGACATCTAAGGAATTCACCAGATACCAACCAACCAACCCTCAATTAAGCCTCTACAAAGACTTTGGAAGAAGCTGCGTTGCATTTCTAGGATTATTCTGTCAACATTTACCCTATGTAGATCATCTAGTAAACCCGATCACAATAATGCGAAGATGAAGCGGATAACTCGGAGAATATTCGAAAAGAAGCTTCAACAGAGAACTTTGCAATTTCAGATCGGTAGTTGCTGTCACCAATTGGCAAGGAAAAGGAAAAGAGAGCATCTGCTCGAGTTCTAAAGACATAGCCCCGCATCTGGCCTAAACCTTTGTCCTTAACATATGACAGAGAAAAAGAGGGGCTATTTTAACTCATGTAGAGGCTGTCCTCGTGGAGTAAGTGACTTATTACTTTGGAGACAAAAGACAATTATCATATTTTGATTCTTTCTCCTTTTGTGATTATCGTGAGATTTTGAATGTAGACAAATTTTAGGAGATGAGATAATGTATGCAGTATAACCTGTCTATCTTCATTTCCTCCGCCTTCATCACCTTTTCCAGGAATGCCTCTACAGATGGACGATCAGTCCCAGGATTCTTCTTACCCTGTAAGAGATTAGCAGCCTCATTACCCACAAGTCATGCAAGATATCCAGGAAAGAGTTGGGTGGCTTCTTGATATCGTAAAGCCTTACAAACATGAAAAATTAGAGAACATGACACATTAAAAGTAAGATGGCATAAAATGCAGTCTATATTTTTGGTCAAAAAATTCCGAGTCATTAATCAGAAAGATCAGGAAGGCCGCACCCAACCAAATGCAAAGGGTAGGTTATTTCCAGTTCCAAGGGGGACTGTGGCAATCGCAGGTGGGTGAGGTAATTTTAGATCCGACACGACTCCAAGAAGCCAACCAGCCGTTCCATCGCCACCTGCAACCTAGTGAAGGAGTTGCAATTAAGAAGTCAACTTTATCCACAAAAATAATAGTGTGTTACTATCGGATAAGTTGTTAAGAGTCCTCACAATGATTTTCAGCGTCTCTTGGATCTTTGCCGCGCCCTCATTTCCTTCCAGCTTCAGTTTTTCCAGGTTCATATAAATTCTATTCAAAACCTTGTCAGGGGGTTCTTCGCCCAGATCAAAAACCTGTAGTCAAAGCATCGAGTGTCCCCTCAGAAAATCAGTGATGAACAAAAAAGCAATGTCAGAATTTAAAGAACACTAGGTTGTTGAGATATCCATAGCCCAGCTACTGTTGTGGAATACCTGATGTTTATTTAGAAGGGCACGATACGTGACGAGAAGGTTCCCACCGAGCTGACCGCCACTTTTCGAGTTGATGAATACTAACACCGGGCATACAGGAATACGCGCCACGGGCTCAACCTTCGAACCGGGTAAAAGTATGTAACTAGGAATGTAAAAGTTGCTCCACAATGGGAAGTCAGAGCTGGAATTCTCCGTCGCCATCTCCAACTGCAAACCGCAAAAACAGATCAAGCATCAACTGGGAATGGATACATTTGGGTTCTGGAAGAAGGATTCCCAATTCCCAAAAACATCATCGGCTGCTGAGTAAAAATTGCAAAAGTACAAGCAACCGCATCACAAGTTCACAATCACCACAAAAGCACTCGCGCACCGCAATTCATCATCCACTGACCACGACTAAAGTCATAAGGGAATTCAATCTCAACAGCTCCACCAGTTCATTCACTACATCAAAAGATCGCCATTGTCTTCGGTCACCCCCGAAAGAAGCAGCAGAAGGACCCGAAACGGAAATCGATGGAAGCTACGTACGTCAGAGAAGCAAGCATTCAGATTTACCTGGAGAACGAACCCTTTGAGGAGATCAACTCGAAACCGCCTTCCTTGGGAGAAACCAGATTAAAGATTGGACCTTCAAGCAGGCTGGCTTTGACTTTTCTGACGCGAGAGAGAGAGAGAGAGAGAGAGAGAGAGAGAGAGAGAGAGAGAGAGAGAGACGGGTTGACCGAGACCATGGCATAGTCGGGTCGTTCTTCGCGTTAGTGTTTTCTTGAAGAAGCGGGATCGCTCGCTCGCACGGACAGACCGACAGTGCGCACGTTATAAATGAGCCCGTGAGCTTTCTAGCCGAGGAAATGACGCAGAATCTTCGCTGCCGTGTCGGGATTCGTGAATCTAATCGGAGGATAGGACGGCGGTATATGGGTGTTGGCCGGCACACATTCTGTCTGACGTCAGCATGTCCTGATGACAGGTCAAGCTATACTTCTTCAACAATCTTGCATAGCTGAAAGGGTGTGTCTAACAATCTTTTATCGTTGGATTGAAATATAAAAAAACAGGCTCGACCGTCTGACATATATCGGCTCGTATCGATCTAGTTATGAAAATCGATGGAGGTACGGTGCCCACGAGAGATCGTAGACTCGATCCCCCTAGAAGTAAACAAGTATTGCCCCCTAAGCGAACATAGATCATAGGAAGGCCAACACCGGATCTGGACCGTTCAGGCCTCATCAATGGTCCTATTCTTCCCCACAGGCCTCTGAACTAAGCCAGTTTGGGCCTGCCCAACGATCAGGTTTATGTGCAAGAAGCTATCTAGGGCACAAGGCTTGAGCCCACGTGACAAAGACGAAGGAAGAGACTGGTTCGGTGTTGTGATTTGGGCCCGCGCACATCATGAAATCCATCATCAAGAACATATGGCAACCCCGATCATTGGGGCACAGGGCATAGAGTTGTTGAGTTTGTGTCCCTATATAACTAGCTAGAGATTCAATTTCTTCACAAGTAGTTTGATCACCTTGTTCGGGATCCTATCTCATGCATATCGGGTAATTATTAGACACACATAGATCTACCCTGGAGGGTGGTCTTGAGAAAATGGGCAAGTAGAGTGATTCAAAACGGGTTGTGAGTGAGAAAGACGAACGTGCTTATCACTTGATCTTGTCTTGATATTTTTAAAGGAGTTCAATCCATGGGTAGAGGGTCTATGCCTATATAGACCCATGGATCCATATATCTCGATCGGAAGAATGGGAGAAGGATTGAAAAAGGATCTTAGAGCGTCTAGGGTTGGTCCAGTAGGGACGCCTTCTCTTTTATTCTCATTGGAGTTATTTCACAAAGACTGGACATGGTAAGGAAGAAGGGCGGAATAAACTGTTAAGATACATGTGTAAGTTGTGTTAGAAAATTCTCACATCCAAGATTGGTGTAAGTGTGAAGGAGTTAATAAATCGTAATTTGCTCATAATTCATTGGCTTAATTTTTTGAATGAATACGCTAACAAGCACACTTGGAGAGTGCAGCCCTTAGGATTGGCAGATCTAAGTGTTAGATATGAGACCAAAAATCTAAGCATTAGCTACACGTAACAAAATTAAAATCATATTTTTTAGCGCAAATATCTCGTACCGGAAATATTAACCTACTTATAGAATAGTTCATTGCTAAAAAAAATTTACATAGTGTCATTATTGTCTAAAGTTTGCTCATGTAATTATTCTTTCACACCGTGTCAGAGTAATTAAAGTCGTAAATTTTTTTTGTTAGGCCTACTATCAATGGCCTTCCTCTTCCAATACAAACACCAATTAATATCTTCACTTTCGATTTTTATAATTCTTTTCACCAGCAGCGAACCTAATACTAATCCCTTTTCTTGGGACTACGAGAGAAATTATAGTCATCAATCCTCAATTTTTTCCATCTGGGTAGAGAGAGAAAGGAGATAAAATCATCCTAGGCATTTCGTCAAACAGTTCAGGTAATGTGAATGTACTGTTAAATAACTAAAACGAGGGATAACAGGTTCACATCTTTTCAGACCACCAACAAGTACAGAGGCTGATGACACCAGCCTTGCGAGTTGTGGCAGAAGTTCCTTCATCCCCATCTGTAAAATCGAGCCATGTTCGGATCATGTTAAAACACGTTTTCTACCTTAGCTCAAACCATATTATTATTTTATAACCCACTTGTTTAATCACCATTTAATTAATAATCAAAGCGCAACACCTGTCGACCCCAGGCAATCCAATTTCGAGATCTTCTAGTTAACCCTCTCTCTCTCTCTCTCTCTCTCTCTCTCTCTCTCTCTCTCTCTCTCTCTCTCTCCATGCATTCCATACATCAGCACGATCAGAAATGGATCCACGTGTCGTGCACCTGCTAGCCGCAGAATTTCACTTAGCTCATTTTATACGTGAAATGCATTTTTAAATTGCATGCATTGTATACAAAGTATACGCAGTAGACTACGTAGTGCATTGGTGAATCTGCATGCAGGTATATGTCATTACAAGCAAATTCCAACCACATGTACTTGGTCCATTGTTTATTTTTCGGAAACGTATTATTTCTTGCCAAGAATGTTTATTTTACTTATTTCTTGATTCGAAGTTTTGTGACTCCCCGCACCATAATTTTTCCAGGGTTTCATTATTCAAAGGTTGTTGGGTTATCAGGACACCTCGCAACCAAGAACAACGACACTATATAACTACCCGATGGTTGTATAATGGAAGTCAACGTTAAAAGACGTACATGACTATATAAGGCATGCCATGCACAAGCAAACCCTAGGCGGGAGACATGTTCTTGCCACAACGAGATCGCCATGCATTATCATCCCCTAATCAAATCCATATAATAACAACGCAGATCTGGACACATTGACCGACCCTTGCGTAATGGTCTCCATGGCAAAATCTAGAAGGCAACATCAACACCACAGAAGCGAAACCGACGAACACGATCCACCATTTTCTTATGCAATTTTTTTGCATGACAGGCAAGATTATTTAAAACCTTCATGAGAAATCTAACGTGACGAAGAGATGTCTTAGAGACGTCGAACAGAGGAATAGTCGATTGCCGCATAATTTAATCCCAAAATCTCTCGGCGATTAACTAAGTAATATTCTGAAATACTTGGCGAACACACGTCCAACAGTTCTAGCGCCATTGCTGTTTTTTTAATGCACCTGCAGGGACAAGACGCAACATCATTGACTCTGGAAACGTGGATTAGAACAAGAAACAAGTAAAATAAAGGGTTAATGGTAATTATCTTGTGAAGTGAAACTACAGTGCAAGCGAACGGACAACGCAGTGGGTTTATGACCTCAGAGTTAGAAAAGGAAATAAAATAATAGTTGACCATCCTTCCTACGTTGTTAGATAGAGGTGGATGAGATGAACACCTGATTTTATTTGACTTTGAAAAAGTTGCTCGTTAACCCCAGGTGGAGTGTCAAGTTCATGTTCCTGCAAAGCCAAAAAAAGAAAAAGCAGCACAGACATATGAATATCCTATTTACAGTAGACAACTGTCAAAATGAGATGAAACTATGAGCTGGGGAGAGAAGAGAGGGGGGATGTGGTTGACCTTCGAGGTTGTGGCTCAGAAGGAGAAGGGACATGATATGTTGGGTCTGATGCTACGTGGCGATGTTTTGGTGGCTCAGTCCAAACATAGTCCAGCTTGGAAAGGCTGCTTCCTACAGTTAGACACGTGTTCAAGAGCTGACATGCATGTCTCAAATGTGATAGACCCCTAAGAGAAAAAAGAAGAAGTAGCCAACGGAGATGAACAATTATGGACTTTTTGTAGAGTACTAGAGTGTAAATTTAGATTGTAAGGTGGTGCTCTGTGACTAGTTGTCATGAGTATTGCACATCACAAGATTCATCCAGTTTCCTTAGGCTTATTCTGTCTGTGGGGCTTAGTTGAAGAGGCATACACATGGATATACTTTTGCCCTAGATTTTGCCACCCATTAATTAATAGGTTTTATTCGGTAGATGGTGATAAAGTCATCAAATTTTATTGCTCAAATTCCCCAATATCCAACTTTCTATCCCTTGGTATATCTCCATTTTGTGTCATATATGCGGGACAAGATTAAATGAGGTTAATTTTAGAAATCAAAATTAAGTCCGACAAGTTTTAGATCTGGAGACGCAATAAGATACAGGAGCAATGCCCCTATGTTCCTTCTATTTTAATGTAATATGGCTAACTAACTCTATTGTTTCAAATTTAGGTTCTATTGTCTTTTCATCAACACCTAGATATAGAAATTATTATTAGATCCTACTTGACATTAATGAGAATATGAATTTAAAGGGGGTGATTTTTATTATAAATTATAATGATACTGTAAATTTTTATTTTCACGCAAGTAAAATAAAATGGAAACATCCATTTACTAGACTAAAAATTGTGTGTATAGGTATCTTAACCCCATTTTGTAGTGATACTTTTTCGAACCGCAATGTACCAAATGAAAGTCCATGAAAAAATAGCTCGCCTCCATATTGAGCAAAAATCATGAAGTCAAAGAGTACTCTACTTATAACTCATCGGATACAGATTCTCTCTCTCTCTCTCTCTCTCTCTCTCTCTCTCCCCCCCCGCCCTCGCGCAAGCGTATACGTGCATATGTTAGAAGGTTGGGAACTCCCTTTTGATCACACACAGTGGTGTGTGCGACCTAAATGGAAGGTCGGGCACTCCATTTTGGTTGCACATAGTGGTGGGTGGGGAGAGAGGATGCGTATCTCCTGTCCTCGTTATGTAACCATCTCTTGTCCCTATCACGAGATCATGCTTATTTGGATGTTATCGCATCAAATTTAATTCCCACAATCTCTCTCTCTCTGTCGATCTTGAGCCCCTGTACACCTCAGCTGTCTATCTCTAGCGCCTCTACACTTTAGTGTGCCGCCGTTGATTGTCCTCCGACACTGCATTCTGAGCCACTTTGGAGTCACCACCGGCTCGTCGTTGTGTCCACCGTTGCCAACGGTGACAATGGTGGCTTTAGGTGAAGGGTCAGCACTGGCTAGTGGCAGCTATACAACCGGTGGCATTGATGACAATAGGGGGTGGTCTACAAGAGAAATACCTTGCTATGCCATTTTACAAGTGCAATGGGCAGACCCAAGACATAAAAGCATTTTAAGCATATAATGGTCCAATTATTACGCCAACTGGCGAAAGTGTGGAACAAACACAAACAATCAAGTGAGATATAAGCGCGGAAAATAGACCTAATAAAGAAGACTTCGGCAGAGAATGCCTCTTCTACAAGGAGAGATTGGCGAGATGTTCCATTAAATCATAAGGATGTTACAATCACTTGAAACACATGATTTTCAAGTGTTTTTAAAACCCCAATTACATATGAAATCCTCGTGAACTCAAATCAAAGAGATACAAATTGTTTACCTCACTTACTCACACTCCTCGATGGCTTTCTGAGTACGGTCTCGAGTTAGGCTTTGACATTGTGTACGAAATTTGGTTGAAAACATCTTTTAACGAGCATTCCAACGTGCTCCCAAATCCGTCCTCGCTTAAACCAAAACCAATTTGCTTGCTCCATATGTCCAGGATTTCAATCTGGAACTGATTCAAAATTGAAGTGAGTTTAACTTCAAGCCACATTCAACGGAAACTTTGTTTATATTCAAGAGACATGACCTTTTTCAAAGTAAAGCGAATGCCCGATGGAAATGCAATAAGCTTGAATAAGCTTTAAGATGCATGCTAACGTAACATGGATAAACATTAAAGTTTCTCAGTAAAACTTGCTGGCCATAAAAGATGGCGGCATAGAGTTAGATCTTTTAAACGATCAAAATAACCAAATATTATTGAAGAAAACTTCCTACTAGATCTTTTTTTTCTCTTTTCGCATGATTTTCGTTGATCGCTTTACATGTTAGAGCAAAATATATATTTTGAAGGAAATTTCAGCGACCGTGGATCTAATATGAAAGTAAACACGAACTAAAATTATAATACACATACGTACATTCACACACGGCCTCATTCATCATAAACAAATCGTGATAAACATTTAGGGCGCAGCCCTCGCTCTTTCCTCCCCATATTATTCAAATCCTAAATTTGCAGCAATTTTAGCAAAGGCTTACGTTGGTTCCCAAAATCATATGTCACCAAGAAGGGCAAGAGTGTATCATCTTCACCCACGTATTTACACCCTATGTTCGCCCACATATAAACATACCACGTGGCAACCAGGCCGGCGCCAAATCTCGTTGACTTCGATCTAAGCTTTCCCTTTCTTTCCCTGCCCTCTATATAAGCTCGTCTCTCTTCGACCTATGCACTTCAAGCGCTCGTCTTGTTCATCTCAATCTTCTCCTCACAAAGAGTCAAAATCACTTTCCACAAAACTTTTTTCTTCCCTTCGTTTACAAGACAAAACCCTTTTCAACGCCGAGTTCAACACCCAAAGTTTTGTTCTTGTGTTTTGCCGTGTAGCGATGGGAAGAGCACCTTGCTGCGCCAAGAATGGGCTCAAGAAAGGGCCATGGACGCCTGAGGAAGATCTCAAGCTCATCAACTATATTCAGACTCATGGACCGGGAAACTGGAGGACCCTTCCCAAGAACGCCGGTAGGTGATGGATCACAAGATCAATTCCTTTTTTTGGTCGCATGAAGCCATATCAAGATTATGTTTGAATCTATGTTCTAAACACTTTATCTCTTCGATGATGATTTAGGGCTTCAAAGATGTGGGAAGAGTTGTCGTCTTCGCTGGACTAACTATCTGAGGCCAGACATCAAGAGAGGAAGGTTTTCTTTCGAGGAAGAAGAGACCATCATCCAATTGCACAGCATCTTGGGTAACAAGTATGGCTTTCACTCTCAATAGTTGATAAATAATTCATGCCTCAACAATAGTTTTCATTATATCTCCTAAGCGGTTCATGAATATTCTTATTCTAACTCTGGTACCATTTTCAACATATGTTAGGTGGTCGGCTATAGCTGCTCGCTTGCCTGGAAGAACTGACAACGAGATCAAGAACTACTGGAACACCCATATTAGGAAGAGGCTCCTCCGGAATGGGATCGACCCAGTGACTCACGCGCCTCGCCTCGATCTTCTCGACCTCTCCTCGCTTCTCAGCTCATCTCTATGCAACCCTTCTCTCATGAACATGGCCAACTTGTTGAAAACGCAAGCCCTGTTGAACCCGGAGCTCTTAAGGCTTGCTTCAACCATATTGTCGCTCAAAAATGAAAGCCCAGATCTGTTCTCACAAAATAATCTGCAGGCGAACCAAATCTCTGATCTCCCGTTGTCGCAGTCTAATCAATTTCAAGTTCAAGCTCAATCTCAAGCTGAACAAGTTCCGGCTTGCACCACTTCTACCGTTCCTTGTGGTCCACTTGTGGACCAAGCACAACTTGGACAGGCCAATGTGGGAGATTTCACATCGAACTTGCCGAGTAATTTCAGCTGTTCAAACACCGGACAAATTATTGTGCCTCCAATGATAAGTCAAGATTTGGTGTCACAGCCGCACTATGGCCAGTGCAATTCGAGTCCAGCTATTCCCCAATCATTGGAAAAGTTCTGTCACTTCCCACCAAACATCGGCGACAACCAGAACTTCGGGTTTGACTCGATCATGTCGACGCCTTTGTCCAGTTCGACGCCATTGAACTCATCATCCACATTCATGAACAGCAGCCCCGATGAGGAGAGAGAGAGCTACTGCAGCAACTTCTTGAAGTTTGAGCTTCCAGAGAGTTTGGACATCAACGACTTCATGTGAATACGCCTTACAATGATTATAAAGTACGTGCGGAATAATAAAGTGGATAAGTAAGTGCGGAATAATATAGTGGATGAAGTAGGACCTCTTTTTGTGGCTCTTTCTGTTTTTTATACTTCATTTCCCTTTTCTGGTGAGGTATTGGTTGTATCTTCGCTAGCTGTCAATATATGGAATTCTTTGTATTGCTTGTGCAGACTTTTCTCATCTTTCAGAGAAGCAACAGTTTCATGTTGGTTTGGAAACAAAAAGGCAACATACATACTACACATGAACGAGCCAACGCGTTCATTTTAAGAAAAAACATGACAAGGCTCCTACAGAAGGATATACTTTGGAAAGAAATACTAAGTAATATTCTAAAGAAAATTTCACTGTGTAACAGTAGTGATGTGAAGTTTTTTTTCCCCAAGCAGACTTAAATGGAATTGCGTAATCATTGTTCATTTTGGGAAACATCTCATCTTTCTATTTATGCACTTCGTTTGTGTGGATGTTTCCCATCTCAGGCATGCTCGCCTCAGCATTTCAAACCTTTGCCCCTGAAGGTGTTTGTAATATGGTTTTTATTTATTCAAAGCAGACAGTTGAGAGAAAGCCCGAGTTATAGACATCCTACTTCCATCCGCCAAGGACTAAATTAAGTTATACCGCAATCACTTTATGTTAAAGTACTCTTAATGACTAAAAAAAAAAAATACATGCGTATTGATAATATGGTATTAGGTTTTCTTTCATAAGTATAGTGGAAATGCGAGTTTTGAGGTCTCGATCTGCCCGAAGAAAGATGATCCAGGACCACCTAGCCTTTGTCGCCACTACGCGACTAAAAAATGAAAATGGGATGATCTTTTCAAGCGTTCAATACAATTTATTGAAAGACCTTATTCGTACGTATAGGAAGGAAAAATTCAACTGGATAGGCTAAATCAACTTATCATATTCCGATTGATTGCGTTACTAGTCTAGAAATTAGCTTTTGGGTACGATGTGTAGTCATTATAGTTAGTAAGAGATACAAACCACAATTAACTGATCGGTTTGACCTCTAAGTTTACCCTAAGCATGTACACGAGAGTTATTACGAAGAAGGCTCCATTCGGTTGCACATTTCAGGTGGACATGCATATTTGCATGTCGTAGGCTTCTGTTTGCATTTTTTTTTACAGCTAGGTCGAATTCATCTACGAGAATAATAAGATGGTCGAACTCAGTAACATTTTTTATAGGCGATCGATGTGTCATGTGTATATGAACATATGTGTGTAGGGAAAGCTTAAAAAGTGCACTCTTGTCGTGGTGTGGACATCTTAAACCGGTTGAAATGACGGTTTTCCTTTCAACACATCTCGTTGATCTTCGTCTTGTCTATGAAGTCATGACCAAACCTTATCATAATTTCCTGGCAATTTCATCATCTGATGCTGCGTTTTTGGTTAGGGTTGGCACACCACACCTTCTCCTTTCCATTTTCTTTTTTCGTGTGGTCGTGGACAACCTTAAATTTGTTTACCCTTTTTACAAGGAAAAGACCCACCCCCATTCGAAATAAAAAAAGCATATCTTATGCTATTAGAGGAGGGAAAAAGGGGTTGGGGGCTAAATATTCATTCGCTAGTTTCTAAGGAGAAATTTCAAAGACAGGAGAAGTTTTCCCGACATTTTTCTCTGCGGACACATGTAAACGAGATGTTGACGTTATACGAGGGCAACGAGCAGGTGCAAGCAGTTGACTTTGCTCATATGTAGATCTGTCCATTTCACGACCGTCCATGATTGCTTGTAAGGCCACGGTTCGAACTAAGCCATTGTCCCGAAAGAGAGGAAAACCGGAGTAGAACTTTATTGATCACGTTTAGGGTGCATTTTGTAACTTGCCAAATAGCGACTGATTTTATTTTTTTGTTCCCGGAAACAAAAAAAGAACATAAATCCATTTGATAAATTTTTTGTTTCCGGGCACAAATTTGTTCCCAGATTTAGTTTTGGAATAGAATCAAGATTAAAAAAAAAAAGTTGTTTCTTGATTCTAGGGATAAGAATCAAAAATAGAAGAGAAAGTTTTTTTTTTCTTTTTCTTCTTTCCTTCCTGGCTGTGGCTGGTTCTTCTTCTTTCCTGGCCTATGGCCGGTGGCTGGCGACCGGCCACAGGCCAGGGCCGGTGAGGGCTGTGATGCCCTCCCTGGCCATAGGCAAGGGCTGGACCCTCGCGGCCTGGCCGAGGGCCGCCCTTGCGGCCTGGGCGAGGGTCGCCCTCGCCGGCCTTTTCCAGCCCTCGCCGGCCCTGGCTTGTGGCCGGTCGCCGGCAACCTGGCCACGGCCAAGAAGAAGAAGAAGAAAAAAAGAAAAGAAAAAAAAGAAATAAATATTAAAAATGTTATTAATAAAAAGAAATTTTGTGCGCATTTCTGTTTTTTTTCTTATTCCAAGAATGGAAATTTTGGGCTATTATCAAATGCCTCCAAATGCTTATAAATTGTTTCCGGGAACAAAATAAAAAATAATTATTTCTGAACAGAAATTATTTATGGAAACAAAATGGTTATCAAACGCACCCTTAGTACCATAATAAATGCCATATTGTGTAATAGTGTACCATCTTCAAAGGAGCAATGCTACCGCGAAGAAATCGCTAAAGCTAAAGCATGTAGTAATCCTCGATGGAAAAGTTTTATTCGACAAGGAGGACCGAATCACGAATAACATTCGTTTTAGGGGCTTAGCTACGGCGCCATGTAGTTAAGCAGGACAATCTTGTCCTACGAAACGTAGACTGTTGGGTTAGAAATAAAATGTCAACCGTTGAATGATGAGCGTATCCACACCGTTGGATCACCAACTTTCATTGTCAGCCGTTGGATCTTGCGCGATAAAGTTGTTATCTAATACCTCAAGGCATGGTAGAAAGGTCCCGGTAATCATTGGTTTGTTTTCTTCGGTCCATTATAGATCGATCGACCATAATTCAAGCAATGTGACCTCATGAAAGATATGCATGATTGATTACATCTATCATGTCAATCAAAGAAAGCTATGAGAAGGACGAGTTTCAAATTACAGTAATAAACTTACATGTAAAATAGATAATACCATGGGAACGTCCCTATATGAAAAGATTGTACAGATCCTGAATTTAAGGGATCCTATATCTTCAACAGCTTCTGATATTGTGTCGTCACGTGTTTTGTTCGCTAAAGCAAGATTTTGTTCGTGCTATCCTCACGTTCCTTAGGCGCATCAGGTCAACAGGAAAGGTGGGAAGGTAGACGAAGCAGAGGACAATGATAGATCGGTGCTATTATTGCCCTTAATTAATCTATGAAACATATCGCCTTCATACATAATCTTTGTCAGCTATTTTTCGATGGTTTCCAACCATTGCCAAACATGGAAAATGGGTGATGAACATTTTGGTTGGACTAATACTTTGATGAACGGGGAACAAAAGCTTTAAAAAAATATATCTTGAAGAACATAAATATAGATTAAGGGGTTAATTCAAAATACATAGATTTATGTAATCTTTAGTCTTTTTCTTTATGCATTCCATTTTCATAATTTTCAAACTATATACGAGAGTCTATATCGATGGTGATTGAGATAGGATATGTGACAAATAATCGTGCAGTCAATTTACATATCGTATGTAAAAATAATCTTTTCCATTGTCCAAAGACACAATTATTCCCCAACATAAATGACCAAAGTTGGATCACAACGACATCGCTTTAGCTACGTCACCGCCACATATGCTAGAAAAATTAATTAAAAAAATAATGTCAACATTTTCCATTAACCAAATTGTACGGAGTTAATAGAAGGATTTGATTGAACCGATTTGACAAGTTTTAGGATTTGATTGAACTTTTTGTAAGTTTTAGGACTTAATTGCATTTTTTGACAAGTCTTAGTACTTTTTTTTTTTTGGTAAGGTAAGAAATTTATATACTTTTCCAATGAAGGCTTACAGCGAAAAAAGTCGTACACAAAAACCTCGCACTTGAGGCGACACAACAAGTGTCCCGACAGGTGCAACGGCGTAACGACTCATGCAAAGGCTACAAGCAACAGCAAAGCCACAAAGAAGTCCAACCGGAAAAGAGACCTATAGACTGCAAACAAAGTAATCAAAGGATTACTCAAAAATGGAAGGGGATAAGCCCCAATTTTGCTTAATTCTTCTGTTGCGGTCATTATCAAGCACTGGCTTCATGGATAAGGCTTTGTCCCTTACCAACTTGACAAGTCTTAGTACTTTCAGTGCACTTATCCCATGAATAAAAGAAGACATTCGAAATCTCATGTCGAAGTAGGAAGAAGGTGTTCGCAGCGAATTTATGCTTTTCCTCTTGTATATCCATTTCGTAGGACGTATTTCATCTAAGCAACGGTAAATAGCATTTTGCTTATTGCTGTAAGGACCATTGCTACATTGCTATAGGACGTGTTTGGGGATCTTTGAGGAAATGTGAAGCCATTTTCACGAACATCTTTGACTGCAGGTGCATTTGGTGAAAACAAATAGAGTGTGGATGATTGAATTTTGGTGTATATTTCACAAAGCAATTTTAAAGTTAAAAAAAAGAAAAGGAAAGCAGGCGATTGGGGCGAGCATCGGCAGAGAGCGCAAGAATAGTACTGGGCGAGCTTCAGTGGCAACCAAACGCCAGCATCGGCGACCGTCGGTGAGGCGAGTGCCGGAGGGCGGCGGTCCACCCTGAGCTAGTTGATCCTCGTCGACTAGATCTCGACCTCGCATGGCCGACCCTTGACAGCCGGATTTTGCGTTGATCAAGCCTCGTCGCACCACATCTCAGTCAGTCGATCCTCGGTTGGTCGACCCCCGTCACACTAGATCTCGACGTCAGCAACCAGATCTCACGCAACCCTCAGCAACTTCGACGGCCACTTGACCGATCATAGCGACATCGCCAATGAGACTTGAGCCCAATGGTCTGAGGTCGCATGCAACTGCTTGAGTTTGCAGTATCCAGAGGACGTTTGGGGATAAAAACAAAATTATACTAAGTTTTTGATGGCAAGAAAGGCAACCGAAAAAATTCATTAATCCTTGGAGAGGGCTTTTCGAATATGCTGCAAAGCCAGAATAAGGGAAGGCCTGCCTTAGGTTTTGGGCTTTGTCAATGCTTGCTTTCATTCAAAGTAATCCCAAAAAAAAAAAAATTTATCAAACGCCCTAACTTTCACTCAAGGAACTTGAGAAGCCCAAAATCCTTTCGCAAAGTTGCGCAAATGCAGCCTTAATCGTCTAATGTCTATCTTCTTTTTTGCTTGATCTTCGGGAAGAGCATAATGGATTTCGACTGTCTCATCTGTTTTCAGCAAAGGCGTCAGTTTTACCCAAAAAAAACCCAAGATTATTGAAGGAAACTAGTGATAACATGGAAAACTACCGATTGTAGATGAAAGATGACAAGCCCACAGAGCCCAATTTCGTATAATGGGCCTGAGATTCATCAATTGAGGGAGTTGGAAGCATACTATGTAGTATATATTTCATGATTCATCCCCCGTGAGCTATATTTTCAATGATTGTAAAACCGTGGGATAATCATTTGTTGGCATGAAATGACAAGCTATAACACCTTTTCCCTTCGTGACTAGGAAACCCACCACCGGATACATGCACTCTGGACTCGTGAAGTACCGAGCAAACCTCACAAATCCTATAAAACGCGAGCTACAGTATGATCGGCATCTCGAGCATATAAACGTTTGCATCTCATGATGTTGTCACTCGGGTCCCTCGAAATGCCCTTCACCTTCCAAGATTCATTCGCGCAATGTGACTTATGGTGCAAACCAGAGAAGCTATCAAACAACTTTGCCGTTGCAGCCTCGTGAAAATTCAAGCTGCACAATGCTCCGTTCGGAAAAGAACGATAAAGAAAGATGAACCTCCGGAACTCCTCCGTCATTGGCTGGAGAGAGGGAGTCATGCGGCCGATGAGAAAGCAGAGACGACAGAAGCCAACCAGAATACACCACCGCACTGTCCCTATAATGGATACACAATCGGGTTCGAGACTGCCCAACCTTGATTTGCAGCACCATGATTACGCCCTTTTTCTCTCCTCCCCCCACTTTCCTTTCCTTTTCTTCTTTAAGCTCAATTACCAAGATTTCCTGCAGACCCCATCGACCTTTTGTTTAATCTAACGAAGATGATTATCTCGCATCATTGAAAAAGAAACCAGAGCAAAAGCAGCAGCAGCAGCCACTTTCCTTTCCCTTCTTCGTTTGTTTTTTTGGCCTGCACTGCTGGTTTCCTCTTCGGACATGGAGGGACCCTCCTCCTTTCCTAAACCCCTCACAGGAAAAAGCAAAAAGAGAGATTTCGCGGAGCCTTTCGCAAAAGACGCGCTTTATTTGTGGCATAATTTGGCACGACCCTTCATGTATTTCTCCCCTTTTTCTGGTGCTACTACTTCAACATAACATATGCCTCTAGGACTTATGAGATTGGACCAGCTCTGAAGATCAAAGCTTGATCAAAGATCCGACTCGTAAGTCAATTTTTAAAATTTAATTGTTTATACTGAAGATGATCGAGTGATGGCTTGTGTTAAAAATTCGAGATTTTGGGGATCACTGTACCTCCTGTTCTGATGCCATATGAAACTGTGTGGTCTATACAAATCGTTCTAAAAACTTAAGGTATTAGATGAATCTACGATTTGATACTTAAATATTCTAAGAAAAAAAAGTCACATGGATCGATATACTAAACATTATTTAGTCTAGCTCTTTGGAACATTGAGCATTATTAAGAGTTTTGAAAGCAGGTAAAGACTAAGAACCCTGGGGTCACGAGATTATCGAGAATATATAATTATGAAAAACCATCTTCCACTTTCTCTTATTTATAATTAGGATCCTGCATATTCAAAACTCTATACTTTCACATATCTATATTTCACAAATTGAGATTTGCATCTATAAATCTAGCACTATTAAAAAGGTTTGCAATATTGTAGAAACTAGAGTAAAGCGTGTTCTGCGAATTAGAGGGTGCAAAATTTATTAAAAGAGGATGTAATTATAAAAGTAACTTGTGAAAATTTCAGATATGAGTTGAGGGAATTGTATTTTAGTTCAATAATGGTTATGATATTTTTGTGAATTGGTATTGACTTAACAGTTTTGACCTCTTCGATCACTTCATATCTCTCTCTTCGTGGTTGTCCTTTGAAAAATCGATTCTAGTAAGGACAATGGCATAAATGGTCCCTGAAGTTTGGCAAAATATGCAATATGATTGCTGAACTTTTAATTTTTTCAATATAGTCCTTGAACTTTCTTAATGTGCAATATGATCTTGAACTTTTAATTTGTTCAATATGGTCCCTGAAATTTTGGTAGATGTTCAATTTAGTTCCTAGACTATGTGAAAATATTCAATGTTGTCCCTGAACTTGATTTAATGGAAGAATAACATTGGATATTTTCATATAGTTTAAGGACTAGATTAAATATTTACCAAAAGTTCAGGAATCATATTAAACATATTAAAATTTTATGAACCACATTACACATTGGGATAAAGTTCAATGATCATATTGAACAAATTAAAAGTTTAAGGACCATATTGTACATTTGATCAAAGTTCAGGGACTATCTGTAACTATCCCATTCTAATATTAGAGGGCCCTCCCGCGGGAAACCTAAGAGGATTTACTTTCTACTTGTTGTGCAAATCTAATAGCAGTCGAAAGAGTTCGATGTTCGCCGGAGAATGGCCGGGGAATTTATGCATCATCACGATCAAATAGCAAAGAGAGCATAGAATTTCGTCCACAACCGTTTGCTTAGTTCACAAAAACCATCCCCATATCATTCCATCACCACTTCACTAAACACCCGATTCGCCATAACTTCTTTTTCCGTGTAATCTCACGATCGCGACGCACTTGCCTCGCATGAATCAGGGATCCAATGGTGGAGAGAAAGAGAGAGAGAGAGAGAGAGAGAGAGAGAGAGAGAGAGAGAAGGGGGACCCACAATGGATCTCTTGCAATCGCCGTACGATCAGTTACCAAAGGCTGGTCCCCTTCCTAGCTATTTTGACAAAGATACCATACGAACAATCACCAACCTTGTTCCCAGTACAAGCGAACCCCTTGATTTATAGTATCAATTGTGTTGTGGATGGTCCTAAAGTCTTCTCACTTTCACAGCATTCTCATCATGTGTTTGTGTTGAAGATTTATCAAAAGTCAAAAGGCCACGGCATTAATTTCTGATTTCTCTCCTCGAAGTTGACCCTACGACGAATTGGCTATTGAGGCAGAGTATATGAAAAGGAGTTTCTTCCATTTTGGCCTTTTAATGGATCATGGCATGTGAACATTGCAAGAGTTGATGTTGATGTGATTGCCTTGATGCATATGTGTGATCAATTCTAGGAACGCCTTGGAAATGTTATTTGAGAAGTCGTATCTAGACTTCTAAGCTCGAGTTATCGATAAGTCATCCCAAAAATCAATCGTTCATCGATGTATTGGTCCGGCAACAGTTGCATGAACATTCCAGTTCTATTCTCTCAAAATCCTCTTACCTGCATAGTACTATATCAACGATTGAGAATACTGTGACACATGTTGCGAAATATTATAAATCTCACGTGAGGTTTACATAATCAAAAAATAATCGATCAGATTTATAGAATACCTATACAGTGGAGACTTTCAATAGACTTTTCACCTCTCCTTATCATTTACAAAAGTATCACAAGACCAACTTTCTTTTCCCTAGAATACACACTCATTAGGAATCGGTCCCATACTACGTATATATATCTATAATTACTAAAACGTAGAGTCTTTTTCTCTGAATTTCAACATATCTAGGGGAAGTAATGTATAAAGAAATCGTAAGTGAAGGGACGAGGTCGCGTCAATATTTGAACAAGGCAATCACCATCTCGTACACCCAATTCAAAATTTTTACCATCGCAACTTTTTAACCTAATCGTCCAGGCAATGCCCAGCTGAAGTTTCCTACTCCTGCTGTGATCAGATTTGCTGCACTACACAGTTTCTTTTCGTGGGTACAAATCTCTCTCTGTCCTTTCTTGGAGATTAAAAAACAAAATGTGACTACAAGAGAGAGAGAGAGAGAGAGAGAGAGAGAGAGAGAGAGAGAGAGACTCCTCTCAGTCCTCTAATATCAAGTCATCAATCCGTCTCTCCCTCGCCCTCTCACCCTCTCTACAATCGAACTTCCATTTCTTTGAAGCCCGAAGCAGAGACGACCCAGAGCATCTCCTGAATCTCTCAACACCTCTTCGACCTCGTCGTCAATCCTTTCGCCTTCGACAAATACAAAAACCCGGACGAGGGTCGGAAGAAAAGAAGCGAAAAAGCATCCAGAAAAGCAAAGATTCAGAGGCCCACCTTTACACATTATTGAGAAAGGAAAAAAAGATAGAGAAAAGCGTCCCCCCCCCGGCTTTATCTTTTAGTCGTCTCTCTCCTTCTGCTTTCCTTCTTCAATTTCCGAGTAGTAGGCTTCCCAACTTTTCCCCTCCTTTCCCGCACACGAGAACCCTTCTCTCTCTCCCTCTCTTTCTCTCGCAAGTCAAAGCGTTAATCATTTCATCTTCATCACCCAGAAGGAAAAAAAAGAGAACATCCACTTTCCCCACTCGCCTCTTCTCCACGACAGACCAATTCACTTTCCTCGACACAGATAAAGATGCCACTCCGGCTTCTTCTCACGTTGCTCGTCGCTTTCTCGTCCTGCGCTCTTCTCCGCCCGTCCTCCGCCGGCATAATCGCCGAGCCCGTCCAGGGCGGCCACGACCAGCCCTACACCGTCCCGGCTTTCCCCGCGGACTCGGCGGGCCAAATCTGCAAGCTCGACCTCTCCGCCGAGCTCTTCGGCGGCGTCAGCGAGGCTTGCGGCCGCAACCTCGACCGCAGCCGCTGCTGCCCCGTGCTCGCCGCTTGGCTCTTCGCCGCCCACGCCAGGTAAAGCGGAGTCTTTTTATGTTATCGAATCGCATTGCCATGGTCTCGGTCAAATTCGTGCTCGAGCACCGGAAAAATCCCACCTTTGCTTGCTTGCTTTTACGTATCGGTCGTGCGGTGATAGCTGAGAGTCTTGAGAAACCCTATGGGCAGGTACGCGCTGCAGGTGGCTCCGGCGGCGGCGCCGTCGTCCGGGGAGGAGCTGCCCATGATCCCGGACGACTCGCAGAAGTGCGTGAACACGCTGCAGTCGGCGCTGGTGAGCAAGAACGTGCACCTCCCGCAGCCGAACGCGAGCTGCGACGCCGTCCTGTGCTTCTGCGGGATCAGGGTGCACCAGATCAGCTCGCTGAGCTGCCCGGCGGCGTTCAACGTCTCCGCCGGGCTCCGGAACGCGACGCCCACCGCCGCGGTGAGGAACCTCGAGAAGAGCTGCCGGAACTCATCCTACGCCGGCTGCACCAAATGCCTCGGCGCTCTCGAAAAGGTACTTTCGACTTCGCTCATTTGTTTGTTTTTTTCTACCCTTTTCTTTTCAAGAAAGCCAATACCAGGGTAAAAGAAGAAAGTGCTTTATTCTCGCCATTGCTGGATAAACGTTTTCTTTTCCCTATGAGGAGCCATATAAATTCAGCAACTTTTTATGACGTGAGCTTTTCAATCACTTCATAAGATGGGTATACTTTGCATCTTACAGACCAACCCCCCACACACCTTTCTTTATCTTCTATACATGTATGCACTAGCAGAACAGTGGCCTGCTCACCACCATGAAGTTGTGGATGGCACATGGATTGCATGGAGAGGAGCGAGAGAGAGAGAGAGTTGCGACCATGTTCGCTTCCGAGTCAAAGTCTGTTTTCTTTGCCCCTTTCTGGAACAGACCAAATTGGTTCCGGTACACTCCCAGGACAGTGACAACCTTTAACCGCATTGCACATTATGAACAGTGAACAGATTCACACCACAAGCGCGGACCCTTTTTCTTGTCAGTTGTCCGCATCTGTTGTTGGTGCTCCTCCACTGAAATCCAAAACGTATATATGCATTTTTTTAATTCGATACCCTTTTGAAAGTGCGCATTATTATAATCTCCTTTTCACATGATTGACAAAGCGAGGTTCCTTCGGGCCCAATCATGTCCTAGATTTACATTGGCGCCTTGATCTCCAAGTTCAGCTTTACCCGCACCCCCGCTTGCTTGAACTTGGTCGAATATATTAACCGAAAAAATTAACTCGTGTGTTCTCTACAGCTGAAGGGAGGATACAAGAACGGGACGGGGGACCCGAGCGACCGGACGAGCCGGATGCTGGACCGGGACTGCCAGCTCATGGGCCTGACGTGGCTCCTGGCACGCAACAAGACGGCCTACATCCCCACTGTCTCCGCCGCGCTGCGGGCCATCATGTACGGGTGGCACCCCCCGCAGGGTGCCAAGTGCAGCCCGGACCAGGAGAACATGCCGCTGGCCGTCGACTCCCTGCAGTTCGAGAGGGCACAGTCCTCGCCGGCGCCGCCCGTCGTTCGGCTCCCTGTCCTGCCCTTCATAATGTGGCTTTGTCTGTTTATTTAGAAGGAAGCCCGTGACCGTTCGGGCCCTCTATCTCTGTCTCCCTCTCTCGCTCTCGTTCTGTGTCGGGTCACGTGGTGATGTTAGGACTTAGGTCAATTTTTGGTCGATCTCTCCATTTTTGTTTCGTTTGGATCCCCACCACTGTAAATTACAGTTTTTAGTCAGTAATCTAATCTCGGCCTCTGCTCGAATCAAGATCATCTCTGCACTGAAGGCTGCGTTTTCCAAATTGTTAACCATTTTCGAAGAGCGAGTTTTTTTATCCATGTCGTTCGCATTTCGAAGTTGGGATTCGATTAGATTAGATTAGATTAGATTAATCAAATCTCGAGGCGAGAAGAAAACAAAGCTTGCGGAGCAGGTCCCGAGGACCGAGTATGTTGGTCGTGTAGCCAAGAACTAGGAATGGCCTCGTTGAGATAATTGCTAAAACAAGGCTTTGGGTTAAGGAAAGAGCATCGTTTCACTTGTCCGAAGGAGGAGGGATTTGATCGAGGTTCGTTCATTTGTTGCGACGTAAGAAACAGAAGAAGATACTCAAATTTTTCGTAATTTACCTGAAATCATCGCAAAGTTTGCCGTGCCTGATTACAAAATTTTAACTTTGTAGGTACATGATTCATCGATTTTTATGGTAACTCATTTTCACTTGTAAGTAGTATGGGCGATAATTTGGCTATAGAGATCGTGTCTTGAAAATATTAACTAGTAAATTGATAACATAGTAGAATGTCGCAAGTTATCGTTAGTATTGTATCTCTACTTCGTAATTGGCCCAATAATTGCGACTTTCTTGTGAGTCATTGTGAATGACAAGTTAGTGATCATTATTCGTGAGTAGTATTTTACCTCAAAGTCTCGTAAGGAAGTTGAATGCGCTAACCTTCTCGACTTTTTACGGGATGTTTATTGTAAAATCTTGTTTCATATTTTTAGTAACTTATCTCAATAATCGTGACACTACTTTACAATTTATAAATTCAAAGATCTATCGGTGAGTAGATATCCTTATATGTCGTAATTTTCCTTAGCTAATGGTAATGGACAGTGCCAGCGCGACAGTACCGTTATTTCTAGTTAGTGACGGTGTAGTATTGGCCACCCATTTTAATTATCGAGAGAATGACTAGTTTTATCTTTAAAGAAACAAATCAATGAAGTTATGAAAGGGGAAAAAAACCCATTGGGTAATTGAATTGCATTTTTTTAGATGGCAGATTTTGGTAAAAAAAATGATTTATATCCTATATTAGAGAATTCATCTAAGAAGTAAGAAGCAAATTAAATATCAAACACAAATATAATATTTTGATTTGCATACTTTCAACTTTTCCGGAGTTTGACAAAAGAAATTTACTAACCTCTCTTGATTTTAATTTCGACGTCAAACAGAAAAAGAAAAAAATCACATTTAACGTGACGTAGGGAGTAGAATGAACATGAATCCAATAGCAGTTATCGACACGGCACAACACGAGAACAAAATAGAATAACATTTCTAATGTCTTTTAAACGAAACAAATGTTATACTTATTATTTTATTTTAGCAGTTAATTTTCTTCGAAATGATTTTGTCCCTTGTTATCTTTCTCTTTCACATATAAAAGCAAACCCACTCAGTGGAAGCGGAGCAAATCCCAAGTGCGAAATTTTTTTTTTCTTCCCAAATTTCCTAAAGAAATGATTCCCCAAGTCTGCAACAACGCAGATCTCGAGCTTCCAGTTCCAGCTTCCCTCTTCTATTTAATCATTTTCTTTCAGGATTATACCTTTTGCTTTTCAGAAAAAGAGGAATTTCCTCCAATTTTTTTTTTCTTTTTATATCTACGTCTTCTTTTTGGACACCTCTCGGTTTCCTTGGCCTTTACATGACCGAGAGTAGCCCACCAAATGTTTCTCTTGCTTTTGTTTTGTGAAATCTTGCTGGGAACCATCTTCACCGTGCCTAATTGCACGTTTGGACATGCCTATCGAACCGTCAGGCCCGCCAACCACGTACCTATTCAGCCATTCTGGATGGAAAAATCCTAAATTTGGAGGGTTCATCTCATTCGGAATCGGGATGAGTTGTATGCTACCATGATGTTTATGCGGCTTCCTTTGCTGCGATTGCCGATATAACCAAAATTTTTTTTCGGTAACGTGCGTTTTGAAAGTTCGAATGCTTTAAAAGTACTCGGGGGCAACTTCTTGCAAAAAAATTGCCAGGGGCTGCGCGGATCACCAAATGTTTATCCCTTGGCCTTGTGGAACTTGAAGCGGCCCTTTTCAAAAGCTGTAATTATTCTCTTTCAGGTTTCCCTTTTCTCTTCCGCTCCAAGCTCCCTTGACTGAGAAATAACTCTCATTTGAGGGAGGCTCCATCTTCTCAACTTGAGTTGAGATTCTCTCTCCCGATGTTGTTTTCATATATATATATATATTCTTTGCACGCTATTGATGCTCTTCTCCGCACGTTGGGTGAATTATCCACTTCCATGTTAGGAATCAATCCGCTGCTTTAGATCTTTCATACCAAGAAGTCCGATAGGATCGAGGAAGAATACAACAAGCTCTCTTGCAATGGAAGCGGTTACACGACTTTTCCGAACTTTCAAATCTCTCATTTCCTGATTTAGATATGGGAGTTCCTTAGACGTGTTTATGTGCTCGTTCAATTGTGAGCTTGTTTAATATGTTTTTTGTGTCTTTGTTTAGTGATGGTGTTGAGGATGTTCAACTTAGGTGTACACCACCCACTGGGCAGTTCATAGTTATTACAAAAAGAGATCGTGGTGTAAGCTCATCACTGATGACGAAGTGAGATCCAGTGATTGGCCATTGTTCCCTTCTTTTTTTTTTTTTTAATGTTAAGGTAGATTCGTTCTAATGGGATGAGAGTGTATTGTGCTTTGTTGTTTTGCTTTGTTGTATGGGATTTGCTTTGTTTTGACCTTCTCATATAGCATTTTGTAATTGGAGCCTCATAGCTACACCACAAGGTATCCCACAAATGCACTAACCACTGACATCACATAGGAGATTGAAGGTTAGTTAGTATAGTACTAGGTACACGTATTTCTTAGAAAAAAATGGAGCAAAATGCATGGAACTCCTAATCTTGGCTTCCATCTGGTCTTGGATACCTTAATTAATTAACACATTCACTTTTCTTGCTCAAGGAGGGAAACTCGCTAAGTTTACAATGGCAATATCAATAAAAGGATCCTCTTGGAAGTTAAAAAGAAAAAATGGATATCCATCCGTACTATTTTCTTCTGCTAATCAAATTGCTCATAGTAGATGAATGTCAATGCATCCTCCAAACTTTGATGTGATTCGCGACACTTGCGTATCGGCAGCAACTACGCTACTATCAAAGGGGAACAATTCCCAAATGAATCGGGTGAATGATTCGGACACTATCCTAGTCAATGAATCTCGTATAAATTTTATTATCATCAGCAGTCATGGTCATATTTGTACATAATGGGATCGTACCGAATAAGGATTCTCTGCAGAACACTGGTGGTTTCAAAGTTTTTTTCTATTAGAGAGAACCGAAGCACGACCATGCCTGCCGAAATCTTGAATCTACAGATCATGTTCCCAAAGCAGTACTTTTTTTCTTTTTGGCCTAGTCCTAGATCCCTCCATGCTTCTATGATCTTGTGGCCAAAGATCATATTTTGCTCTCCTCGCATTTTGAATTCGGGTGGTACCATGACGCACGACATCTGGTGCCACTTCTAACACTATATATATAGTAGAAACACTTGCCATTTGCTCAGTTTCATGACTGACCCAAATGAAAAAGAGTCACGCTGCTTTTGATCTCGAGTTCGTTTCTTAGACAAAGGAATCAACCCCACCGGTGCCTTGATGAACCTGTAGGAAGCGATGCAACCTCTAAAAGGGGACATCGAACTATAAATAATCTGCACTTTCAAGCAACGAGTCAGCTCCTTCCTTGATCAAATTCCACGCGGCAACCACCGTGGCGCTCCTCAGTGAGAGTAGCTCCCACCGCGAACCTCAGCACGTACACCCCTCCCTCCACCGTGTGCGTCGTGTAGACCCGACCCGTCAAGTTGACCCACTCCAGCAGCTTCCGGTTCATCGTGTCGGCCTCCCCCGAGCCGACCCGTTGACACGGGATGTACCGAAAACACACCAGCGCGAACAGCCTAGGCAAGGGTTACGTGATGATGATAGGACTTGGGAGGATACAAGGGTTATCGGGTAAGTTCTGGTCAATCTCTCCATTTTTCTCTGACCCACCTCTGTAAATTACAGTTTTAGTCAGTAATATCGACCTCTATTCAGATCAGATTTATCTCTGCACTGAAGGCTGAGCTTTGAATCTCATTAGGAATCGAGAAGAGCCAAGTGGAACTTAAAAACCAATTCTCCCGATTTCACGTCAACGATGTGTGGCTGTATTTCTGACGGATCTGATCGGATCGATCAGTCGTATCGTGTTCCCATTTCCAAGTTGGGATTAGATTAATCAATTTCGAGGCGAGAAGAAAACGAGCCAGGGAACAGGTCCCGGGGGACTGAGCATGTTGGTCGTATGGCTCAAAACTAGGCATGAAATTAGTAATTTAGGCAATGGATTTGATGAGTAAACAAGGGTTCGGGTTCACTATCCAGAGTGCATGTAGGTTTTCTCTGCTGCCCGGATTAAGGAAAGAGCATCGTTCAACGTGCTCGAATGGGAAAGGATTTGATCGAGGTTTCCATCGTTTCCAATTTTCCCAATTTTTTGTCAGTTTAGGCTTTGGACGAAGGAAGCCCCGGTGCAAGTTGTGATGGAAATATCACGTGTTATGTCAGAGGGCGCCATAATCAAAAGTCAATTGGTCATCTTTTCTGATAGGATGACCCACTAAGGTGCTTCTAGGGTCCGTAGCCAAAAAACAAAGGGGGGATGATGGAAGTTTATCGTAATTTACCTTAAATTATCGTAAGTTTAGCCATGCCCATATATATAGTGATTTGAATACATGGGTCGTAGTTTATCGTTAGATGTAATTTGGCCATAGAGTTCGTGGTCCGTACCTTGAAAATGTTTATGTTTGATAACATAGTAAAATATTACATGTTGTTGTGGAATTAAATCACAATAGGTTTAATTTAGAGTGTTTTTGTGATATTAATCCTTTTAATTATTTTTTTTGGGATCTACCTTTTGCTTTTTAGGAAAACAGCAACTTCATTTTTTTCTCCATTTTTTTCTTTGGGTACTGCCTCTTTTTGGACACCGAAATTTCCTTTACCTTTGCATAACTGAGAAGCCCACCAAAACTTTCTCTTTCTTTTAATTTGGGATTCCCTTAACGTTGATTAATGTATGAACCATTTTCACCATGCCCAATTGCAAGCGCGGACCACGTACCTATTCAGCCATCCTCGATGGAAAATAATAATTTTTGGGAGTTCATCTCAATTCGAGATCGCCATTAATTATATTTTACGACGATGTTCATGCCGCTTCCTTTGCGGCGATTGCCGATATGGAAAATATGTCTGGTAATCTATGTTCTGAAGTTTCAAAGCGGTCAAGTACGCGGAGGCAACTTGTCGAAAAGAAATTGCGGGCCGCACGAATCACCCAATGTTTACCCCTTCGCGTTGTCGAACTTGAAGTGGATCTTTCACGTGTTTCGCGGTACTATATTAACAGTACTAGCAAAGGGAAGTATTCTTCTATACGAGCGGGTAATTGAATTGGACATTATTTCAGTCATTTGACCGTATGAAATCTACTTATAATCAATCTCAAATCTATTTATAACGGATTATGTTGAATTCGGGTGGTACCACGATGCACGACATCCGGTGCCACTCCTAACACTATAGTATATAGTAGAAACTCTTGTCATTACCCAATTTACATAATCAACCCAGATAAAAAGAAGCACACTGCTTTTGATTTTCCTGTTCATTAAATAATACACACGAATCAACCACCAACCGTGCCTTTGGTCAACGCAAATCAACCTATGAAAAAAGACATCATCGAACTATCGTAGATCGTGTGAGATCGATTTTGAGCAACGAGTCAGCTCCTTCCTCGATCAGATTCCACGCGGCGACCACGTGTCGCTCCTCGGTGAGTGTGGTCCCCACTGCGAACCTCAGCACGTACACCCCTCCCACCACCGTGTGAGTCATGTACACCCGACCCGTCGAGTTAACCCACTCCAGCAGCCGCCGGTTCACCGCGTAGGCCTCCCCCGGCCCGGCCCGGCGGCACGGGACGCACCGAAAGCACACCAGCGTGAGCAGCCTCGGCACCACCACCTCGAACCGGCGATCCGACTTCACGAGCCCCTCGAACAACTCGGCCATCCGCACGTCCGTGTTGGAGTTGGCGAATACTTCGGGGACTCCTGTTTCTCATACTGGACACGCCCACACGAGCTTAGGGAAATCGAAATATGATCCGACGACATATGACCCCTGCGCACGAAATGCGGGGTTCAGGGGCAGCGCCCCCGACACGGGGGTCCCGCTGACCGGACAACGGGCGGGGGTTTCGCTCCCCGGTGAGCGGACGGCGGCCCTGCTCTCCGGTGAGCGGGCGGGGGCTCGGGGGCAGCGCCCCCGAAACAACATCGGGTTTGCTGGCCCGTTTGTTGTGGTATCAAAGGGATTTTAATAGGCTTGGGCTTTGGGTCCATTTAAGTCCTATATATATTGTACTCATATGAAAGATCATTGTAACGAGTGGTTGTGGTTGTAAACCCTAAAAATCATAATGGAATCCCTTTGCAGGACGTAACCCTATTCAGGGGTGAACCTGGATAAACTCGTGCATCATTTAATTTTTTTCTATTCTCTGCGTGATCGTTCTGATTCGATTAGCGATACACCCCCAATCAGTCCCACCGTATGTGCCCCTGGAGGTTCGCGACGCCGTAGCTGCGCAAGACGAGCCAGAGCCGGAGGGATTTGAACCGTCGGCCCGTGCCCACCTGCTAGTCCTTGTAGTCCACCACCGAGTCCGACTCGCTCGGCCGGTTTCTCAGGTACTCCGGGTTCGTGCTCAAGGCTCTCACTAGCGAGCCCGGTTTCTTCACCCACAAGCAACAGCAGTCCAAGTAGCTTAGCAGCCACTTGTGCGGGCTCAGACTCAGTGAGTTGGCCCGCTTCGATCCCGTTCAGGTAGTGCCGGAACTCGGGGCATATGCATGCGCTTCCGCCGTAGGCGGCATCCACGTGGAGCCACAAGCTGTATTCGTTTGCCACGTCGACAAGCTGGTCGACCGGGTCTATGGCCGTAGTCGAGGTCATCCCCACAGTCGCGCAAACATAGAGCGGGACCAGCTCGGCCGCAACGTCGGCTTCGACGACCTTGCGGAACAATACATGGGAGAGAGCAAAATGGGTATGAAACGAGGTCGGAATAGACCTGATGTTGCACGGATGTATTCCCGCCAATTTACAAGACTTTGTGAACGTAGAATGAGTGAACGGAGCAGTAGACGACGAGCTTTCGTAAGCTCTCGATGCCAATCCCGTCGAATGCTCGGTCCCTCGCGGCGACAAGGGTGACGAGGATCGACTTGCTGGTGGTGTTCTGAATCACGCCGCCTCCGGTGCCGGCGAACATGAAGGACTTGGGGAGCTTGAGCATGCGAGCGAGCCAATCCATGACGACCATCTCGAGCTCGGTTGCAGCCGGAGAAGCGAGCCAGGTGAAACCGACGGAATTGAAGCACGTGCACAACATTTCTCCCAGAAAGGCGGCCGTGTTTACTGTGGCGGGGAAGAACGCAAAGAAGCTCGGGCTCAGCCAGTGTGTCATACCCGGTATGATACAGCTTCGAACATCTCTGAGGATAGAATCCAACGACTCCGGTCGATACGGCGCGGATTCGGGCAAGCGGGCACGGAGGTCACCCGGTTGGACTTGACTGAGGACCGGGTAGGTCTCCACTTTTTCGTAGTAGTTGGCAATGAAGTCGACCATTTGATGAGCTTGGGTGCGAAACTCTTCAGGGTCCAAGGGCTTAAAGTGGTGAGAATCGACGCAACTTGAACCGAGACTACCCATTTGCAAGCAAGAAATCGGAATCTTTGGCTGTGACAGTGAAGAGTGTTGAGACTACAGAAAAGGAACAAGCAGTGGAAAGCTGAAGCTCAAGGAAGAAGTAGAAAGCTGAAGCTCAAGTCTTCTATACGTATCAACAATGTTCTGCATAACTGATTTCTATTCTTAGAACTAAGGAAAAACAGAGTAGTTGACATTCTGTTTTTCAGTTCTGTTAGTTCAGTTGTACAGATTTGTTTCTTCTGTTAGTTTAGTTAGATTTGTTTCTTCTGTTAGTTTAGTTGTTCAGTTGTATTTTCTGGTATATGAGCTGTAAACTTGAGTGTTATTTGTAGCTGTATGAACAATATAAACAGCGAGATACACAAGAGAGAAAAATGCTCTCAGATGAAGTTCTGTATGAAGTTTCTCTGCATAATCTGATGAATAGAAGTTCACGTATCTTCAACTATAGTTTTCCTTCTCCTTTCTTCCATTTCTCAAATTCTTCACAAAGAGAAAGATGGTAGGAAGCAAAAGGAAAGCATACAAATAGAGGGCAAAAGGAGGTGTTGCAAAGGGACAGAAGAGAATCTAATGCATTTATGAACGTGTTATTTTTGAAGGTTTGGGAGTGTTTTTGGTTTTGCTTGTGATGCAACATTTGGCAACTTGAGATAACAGCAAAGTCCTGCAATGTCAGGAGTCTCTTGCATTGATGGAGATTTGTAGTTGTTCAACCATGACTGATTAAATGGACTACATCGGCTCTGCTTTTATGTGTAAAGGATTGTAAATGAGCTGGGAGTCCACGGCATATAGGGGCTTTCTGTCAAGACAGCTCTTGCGCATGCATTGGCTTTCAAATGTCAAGAGACCAAAGAGAGCGAAATGCCACGTTCAGGACACTTGGGAAAAGGCCACGTGAGAGGAAAAAGAAGCATCCTTTGGCTTTCCCGACCCTGACCCAACAGAGCCACCTGCCCGACCCCCCGTTCTCTCTCTCTCTCTCTCTCTCTCTCTCTCTCTCTCTCTCTCTCTCTCTCTCTCTCTCGCTTTCTCGCGCACGCACATAGGCAGGTGCGCACGAGTGAGCGTGCACAGACGCACACTCTCATTTGCATGAGTGCATGAAGGGAGTTCGGTGCATACAGAGTAGTAGGAGAGACCATCTTCAACCAGTCAATGTGTTCAAATACCGGTAAAGAGTAACATCAGTAAAAGATCTAGGACACCTCAGGCGACATGGGTTTCTGGCTGCAAGTGAAACTCTGTTCTGAATATGTGTTAACAGTTATTATCAAAGAAACATGTATTGTACATGAAAGAGGATATTATGCTAAATAGTTTGATGGTCGTTGCAGCATTCAGCCGTTTTTACAAGATACATACATTGTGAATGATATTAGTCGACAGACATACAAACTCGCTTCGGTGGATAGTGTCATCTAAGGGATAATACAGCTCGAACCTGAGAGAGGAAGCTCAAGCCCACCATGGAGCATCCCCAGTTCTGAAATCTGTTTCGGTCCAGGGTACAAACACTACTTTCCCATCATCTATGTCGCAATGAGCCAATGCCAAGGACTGTTTCAATGGAGAATGTTAGTCAATGCAAGTGGAAACTGTCTTCAAAGATAATTGAGGGACTTGTGCTACGAATCTCAAACTGCCCATGGATCTCAATGAAGTTGCATTACATGGTGTTCTCACTTGTTCTATAATTTGCTAGGATTTAAGTTCATTTTTACAGTTTCAGGCTGCCCGACACATGAAAATCATATCCGCAGGACAAAACAAAATGCGTCACAGTGACACCTAACACAAAAGGAGAATACTGATGTCTGTGTAATGTAATCGTATATATGTCCGATTGCATCTACACATGCACTGATAGTAATTGGAAGAAATTAGAGGGGTTATTTACTTACCAAAGGAGCAGGTCCCCTCACAACCGTGCCTTTGTCATTGTACTGGGAACCATGGCAGGGGCAGATGAACTTGTTCTCAGCTGTATTCCATGGAACCACGCATCCCAGATGAGTGCATACGGCATTGATTCCATACGTTGCAAGAGTCCTGTCTTTCTCCACAACAAGGTAAGTGGGATCTCCCTGGGTACAAATATCAATTCAGAGTCTGTTCCAGTTCATCAAATAACCTTATGATCTCTCCAGGCTCAGCCAACATGATGCAGGTTTTAACTGCTGCTAGCATAACTGTACGACTTTTAATTAGAAACTTACCCTCAATCCCTGAGTGAGAGTCCGGTCCCCAGGACCATGGTCCTTTAGCCATTGAGCAGCAACGACATCATTTCCAATGGCATCCTTTGCAATTGTTCCACTGCCTGCACCTCCTGTTCTGTAGGATGTAGTCATCCAGATTACATCAGAGAACCATACTAATATATTATAAGTGTTGCGAAGGGTAGGGGTTCACACGATGCTTGCCCAATTGCATAGGTTGATCTCTGATGTTCTAGGATTTTTAAGGAAGATGATTGCAGTTTAAGAAAGAAATTTTGGGCCAATACAAATTCATAAGACAAGAAAATACAATTAATACAAGGCAGGCAGTTTTGAAATAAATGAAGCATACACAAAATCAGCACTATGAACATTCCGCGACATTTTTTGTTAAGAATAGATTGTTGGATTGATTTATTGCTCTGGTTAGCCCAAAAACCTCTATGTTCTTTTCACCAATAGGTTCTATAAGAACTACCCGATCCTCTTAGGAGCAATATATAGTGACAAACTCCAATTTTTCAGGCTCTTTCCATCACCTGTGTAGTAAGATAGAGTTCGTTCCTGCTACCATATGAAGATAAGCTACTTTGTTAGGAAACTTATGATGCAGAATGGTTCGTCAATACAAGCCAAAAGAGTTGGGAAAGATGCTCATAGAGCAGCCCACACGAGAAAGCAGGAGGCAGAAAATTACAAATTATTCATCAAGACCTGCTTTCTCCAGAAATAACTTTACTTGCACTCTCCAAACACACGAGTTAACGAAGATTTCACCCTTCCGATGTGTTAAACCTCTGACAAGGCCTCTCTAATTTCAGATTCTTTAGCCTAATCGGTGGTGTAACAGCGACCCATTCCTAGAGATATTAAGGTCCAGAAATAACGCAGAAATGGGCATGCAGGATTTACTCTAACATCAAACCGAAATTCACGTCACTCGTTCCAGTACAAACACTTAAGCAGCAAAAAAAGAAAAAAAGCCACAAAACCCCATTTCCAAAACATCGATCAAATCACTAACACAAACCCAGTGAAGAACCCTCACAAGAAGAAATAACAACAATAAACTTGTAAGTTCCTTCACGAGAAAGAAAGGGAAAAGAAAAGGAGAGAACTATACTAACCCAGGAGGGACAAAGAAGGAGGCGTAGGGGACTAGCATGCCAGCGGTGGGGAGAGAGAGAGTGCCCAGAAGCAGCAGATTCAAGAGCTGCCTCTTCTCCATGTCGGGCACTCGGTCGTCAGCAGGCACACTCGTTGCCTGGCACTTCACTTTCATCCCCATCTCTCTAACCACCGCCAACTGGTGGGTGGTTCTCGTGAAGGCCTTGGGCGATGCAGAGAGGACGTCGCTCTTCGAAGAGCATAGCTGCACAAAGAATGGAGCTTTCTTTTCCACTTCGCCTTATTGCATAAAAAGGGGAAAAACCCAGGAAGATAAAGGCTAAGAGGGGTACAGAATCAGTACCTGTGAAGGGTTTGCTGGGGAAATGAAGGTGCTTGCCATGGCGGGAGAGTTGGAAGAGCTTGACCTTCGGCTTTGCGACGACTGTAGGAGGGTTGGCTGGTCGGTTTTTAGGATGTAATAACGACCACAACTGGTAACAGTCAGTAGATAAGGCAAAAGTGGCGCACGGTTGCCACAAAAATTCCCTCCATTTCGGCCGGGGTCCTGCTTTAGCCGGTTCAATAAAATCTGAGAGAAAAAATGATCATTATAAATACATCAATTGATTTTTCGGAATTTTGAGCTATTATCAACTGTTCTAGAAAAGATAAATGTGTGGCTTAATGCCTAAATATAGTGTATAGGTTTCATATTTTAGTCACTGATCTTAAATTAGTGAGATTTATGAATTATTATTCTTGATTGTGACTTGAACTTTTCATTAGATTGAAGCAATCTTAATTAATGGCTTTCTGGATTCTATACCGCAAAGTAGAAGCTATATAAGTTGGGGTGAAAGCTCTATTTCTTCGATGACTCAACATGAGAAAATATTCATTGAATTGAATGACGGCTCGTTATTCATTTATATATAACAAAAGATCAATTATATATCTAAAAGCATTGCACGTAACCTACATGAATCTACTCACTTAGAGTATTTGTGTCAGAAGATGAGAAAGTAGTTGAAGTCGCAAAATCCAATTCGATCGTGAAAAAGTTAAACATTGTAAATGGGCTCTCACATTGGAATTAGGTTTACTCTTTTAAATGAACCTTGCTACATGAAGATAAATAAGAGAACATTTACTCATTGCAAATCTCACGCGATGTGCGGGTTCACGACTATTGAGAAAATAATGTAGTAAAAACGTCGGGAAAACTGTAATTTGCATAGAAAGATGTTTTAGACGATGGTCCGAATTGCAGGCATGCAGCTGATGAAAATAAAAGATTATGGTAGTAATTGACAAAAATATAATGTTTATTTTTCTGCCTCATTCAAGTATAGCACTTATTTACTATGTGAACAAAACAACTTACAAAATTATCCCGAGGTAAAGGAAAACATTCCCGTGGCACTATATCAATGTTTCGACATTCCACAACCACTTTCAACGGGATTTGATTTTCATTGTGTGTAGCTAGAACAGTCAAAATGAGTCTTAGGCCCATTTCTTAATGTACATATGATGGGTCAAGTTGCTATATAGGTTAGTTAAATAGATCATAAATGGGTTTACAACTTATTTAGACCAAACTCACTTTTATGACTCTTTTTTCATTCTCTCTCGCCTTTACTTGATATCGCGCTCACTCGTTCCGCACTCTTACCTCAGTTTGAGAATGAGTTTTCCTAAATTAGGTGAAATATGAAAACGTTTTAGTAATATGAACCGGGTACGAGTCACTAGATTTGCATTGCATGAAAATGGGTCAAAACGGGTTAAATGGGCATATTTGAGTCGGACCATTTTTCGACTTGACCCAAATTCGACCTGATCCACCCGTTTGATAGGTCTATGTGTAACTCGCAATTCGTTATCTTAGCTATTGGATGAGGCAAGATCCACACGAGATCTACAATGACCGAGATTTGTCTATTCTATGGCGGGTGGAATGGAGGCGAAATTTTGCTGATGAAAAAGGTTGGTTGTCACAAAAGATGGCTGAATTTCTTGGCCATGGCCATTCCACCTACTCCAAAATTGCTGGTCTCTAAAAGCAAAAGCCTCCACAAAACTGAGTACAGCAAAATGGGAATGGGCTTTCACATCGATTCTTCATTTGCAAATCTGCACCTTTTTGGTGAATCCTGGGCTGGAGTTTTCCATTTGCTAGGAACCAAAGATCTCTAGGACGATACCTGGTTGAAAGGTTTTCAGAAGAATTGGGGCTAAGACCTACAAGAAACCATAATGCACCTCGATGATTATATTGAAGTGCTAGCAGCATTTCAGAGTGTCTTTAGAGCGGTTGCTGAATGATTTTGTAGCTTTGATATATTGACTTTGCCTTGACATGAATATTAATGTTTTGAGATAATTTCTTCATCAATTGAGTTTAGGGCAATCATTCCTATAATTTGGACCAATAAAGTGAACTTTTTGGAATGTTTTAGCATATTGAGCCGCTAACTTCACGTTCCTACACACTATCGCGACTCATAAATTGAACAATGTCTTATGTTAGATTACCTTCTCACAACCCAACTCCCCAAAATATATCTCTTCCTCCTCCTCATCGTCGCCATTGTCATGTTCAGGCCCTCATTAAAATGTGCAAACATCTCGCGTATGACTAGATTGGACCTTAGTTTAGTTTCCACTCGAAACAGTCAAATCCACATTGTTTGGAAAAAGGCAATGATAAAGTAAAGTGGGCATTTAGCCAGAAAAAGGGATCCTAACATGATGATATGGAAAACTTTAGCCACTCTCTTGCCTGCCAATTGCCAGTGCAAGAACTAGGAATACCAAAGGGAAGAACCCCACCGTGCATCCCCTTTAGCTCAAATTATTGGAAGAAACAATCACAAGAGATGAACGAGGACAGACATAACATTTTGTTAGGGCAACGAAGCATATCGGTTCTGAATGTGCCAACATTTCTTTCTTTCCCTAGGATGAGTAAATGGGCCTCCTCTTTAGATCGTTTGTAAGACGTGCTTATCAGCCTTCAGAGCTACGAGCGTGGAGTCTGATGGCGATATCGAGATGGAATGTCAATGATTAGCTAAAATAAACATTTTTTTGCCGATCTACTGTGATAATTAAGCTTTATCCATACACAATTCCTTCTTAAATCCCAAAGATTAATTCACTCGCGCGACCTTGACTCATTGTCATGTCACACGGAGGCACAACACTTTGGCCCAAAAGTGAATTTTATCTCGAGTGGGAATAGAATCCGAGATAGAGGGAGAGGACAGCCTGCGAAAGCCGTCCAAAGGAGATAATAATTGGGTGTAGGGCTCATTGATTTTTCGTCTCCACTTGGGAAATTAGAAGCAGGTCCACTCGATCACTGTCTTTTGTTTCTTTATTTTTCTTTATATTCTATGTTTTCGTGCATTCCTTTGGAGACTTGGGCTGCATACATATTAGGTAATAATCATGGTGTCCATCTGCATGGGGACTATGGCGTGAGAACTTGGACTCAATCATCATCCTTTGTCCCCTTCTCCGTTTCCCCCACCGCGTGCACTCTCTCTCTACAGTGTAGTCTTGTTGACTTGACTTGTATCCTTGTAAAGTTGTGATACAAAGGCAGACTAATCTGTGACAGCACTGGTTTCCAGCTTTCTATGCGAATGAAAAGGTTACTTATTGATGGGGGCAGATGATCTTATTATTTGATGTGTATTATTATAAAAAACTATGACATTTATGAGTAATGCCGAACAGAGTATGCCCTGCTCAAAGTGTACAACGATCATTATATTGTTACTCTTTTGTTAAAAAGTGTTCTCGAAACACTTGTTAAGCAATCAAATAGAGAAAATTAAAATTTTTAAATGCATATGACTGTCCTTGTGACGTGAATGCACGATTATCACTTTGAAGTTGGATATCTCCCTATTAAACATGTTTAATAAGTGCACCGAAAATGCTGATTAACGCGATCATAAATGATAATAACTTAGGATATCATTGCATAAAATGTGGAGTTCGCATGGTTGTGTTAGTGTTGATAGGATAAGGTACTGATCTTGGTTGAAACCTACACGACTAATTTGAAATGAATTGCGAGTGTTTTTTAAGAATAGAACATGATAATCATAAAGAGCAATTGTTTTTTCTTTGCATCAATGCCTAGAAAGCGAATCCAATTTGCCAATTGCCATGGTGTTAGAGAATAAGACACTCAACCAACGGCATAAAAAAGTCCCAAAGAGAAAAGTAAACATAAACAAAGTAAAGAAAAGAAAGTGTTTCCTGGGAATAGGAAGATTGGAGGGTTACGAGACAGATGAAAGGTTGAATAGAATCAAACACCCTTACAAAAAAATATTGGAACGTTTCTCGAGGGCATTTCAAAATCATAACATAAAAATAATCACATTCCGCCAAAAATCTTATTAACGAGTGCTTTGAGAATACTTGTTAAGTATGCTTAATGAGGAAATTTTTTTTTCATTTTCAATACACAAATTAAACACGACACGAGAAAGACGGTGCATCGGAAATCACAATTTTTTCTTTGTGCCGGTGTTTAGTAACTGCTCAAAAAGAGTTGCTAACAAAACCCTTTTGTAAAAGCTGTTTGGCTCCTTCTGCTATCCGTAGCTTTTGTCCCTCCATCAGATCTTCCCAGTTTTTGTAATTTACCGTCTATTGGATCCACGGCTTCATTATTTTATCCTCACTTGTCTACTCAGATTGACCCACTACCGAGATAGAATCCAATGGAGAAGCAAACCCTCGTGCACATTCAAATGTTCACAGAAACAATCACCAGCTATGTTGGTTCTGCTTAACAAATGAATGAGTCGATCTAACTTCATTTTCTTTCATGGCCAAACGTCAGAAGCACCACGTTAATAATCCAACTTGGGAGGACCATGTTCGTTCGTAGATCTAATTAGTTGGACAAAGGGACAAGCTTGCTCTGTAGAGTCGCATAGTTTGAGGCCAATGATACACACATGGCTCCAAATCTTTGTCCTGATACCCGCAGTATTGAGCCGCCAAGGACTGACTAATCATGCTCCAGCATGATTTTGAAACAGAGGGTCCAAGTGTCAGAGTGCATGTTGATGTGTACATGTAGATGCATTCGCCATGCACATATGCATTATGCCATGGTTCTATAGCAAATCCATGGGTTTTGCATTATTGTTTCTGCACTGTCCTCTTCGTTTTACGTGGTTACTTACTGTGCTGGTGAAGAAAAAGGGGTAAGATCCTTTTCAAGTCAAGGACCAAATGGGGACAAGTAGAAACTGAAACCCATGTATGGCTGCTTCGAGTAAAAAAAGCGCGAAGGTCAAAGGAGTAAGTAGAACTGTAGAAGACCATGTGAGTGAATAATTTCTGCTGAAAGTCATGCTCGACGTACATCATCACATGTTCTGTGTTTGATAGCTTAACAATTTGACGATAATCAACAACTTGGAATGATACGAGAGGACGAGAGACAAGAGCACAAATCGTGGCACCCACTAGCTCAGCAGATTAT